GCAGACATTCATAGTCATTTTGTCGTTATGTAATAATAGAGTGTTTGACATTTTGAGCGAAGAAAAAAAAAGAGAAAAATTTCATTGAATGGATAGATTACAAATTTCTAGTCAAGATAATGCTTATGTCGATTGCTTTTGTATGCCAGTTGTGTGTAGTTGGCCATTGTGAACAAATTTCTCTTTCTTTCCAAAATGACAACGACAACAATGACAAGAATGAAATCATAATTCTTGGTGATTTATATTTAAATTTTTTTTCTGCTCATTCAAATTCTATTATATGCGGCCGGTTTCATTTTTCATCACTTTTGATGATGATGATAATAGCTGAAACAAGACGACAACGAGAAAAAAAATTTCCATATTTCTCGAATTCCATTATCGCCATCAATTAGTGAAAATAATTATGAAATCATTTCATTACGGAAAAGCATTTGAAATGATCATGATGATCATAGAATCACAAGATTTTTCAAAAACAGAAAAAATGATGATGATGATGATGGATGATGAATAGAAAAAAAAAAGCCAGAGAGAAATCTGTACAATGAATTTCATTTGAAGAAATGTGATTTTTCAAAGAAAAAAAAATATAAAGAATGGCAAGACAAAACCAAAGGAATGAATGAATGAATGAATGGATTTAAGAGATTTTTTTTTTCGTTTGCAACAGCAATCGATCATTTTCTTTGTGTTTTTTTTTCGGTTCTGTTTTCTTTCTTTCTTTCTTTCTTTTTTTTTTAATTCTACATAGAAAGACAGTCGCAGTAGATAGATGATATGATGAACCAGAAAAAAAAATAGAAAATTTGTCAGACAATCATTATTCGATGTGAGAATGAATGAATGAATGAAAATTTCTGAAAAGTTTTTTCCGAATAAATGTACACATTATGTGTATATATATCGTTGTAACATATCACACTTGGTGTATATGTTTGCTGGTGTGTCAAATATCGTAAAATTTCTAACCATCAGATTCATTTAATTATCATGGCTGTTGTTGTTGTTGTTGTTGTTGTTCCACCATCCATTCATTCATTGTTGTTGATCATCATCCATTGTATGACATTGTTGGACGTCATTTTTTTTTTTGTTTCTGTTTGTTCATTTTTTTCCATGTTTTCAGAATCATTCTAATTAAATTATAATAGAAATTGACAATCATCATCATCATCATCATCATCATTCTCTCTAGATAGATAGAATCATATGAAAGTGATAAACAAAACTATCAATGTGTGTATGTGCACACACAAACACAAACACGTCATGTGTGTTTGTGTTTGAATTTTGAAAATTTTTATTTTTCTTTCTTGTTTTCTTTCTTTTGTCTAAATCTATTTACCAATTAGTTTTTTTTTTCATTTCATTGTTTGTTTGGTCGTGTGTCTGATGATTATATATAATCAATTAAAATGATTTTGCTGTTCTGTAGTTTCAACGGTAGTAGTAGTAGTAGTAGTGGAAATTTCATTTCATTAATAAATAGAGAGGAAGAGAGCAACGAAAAAAAAAAAAATTTTTTAATCAAAACAAATTGATTAGAAGAAAACAAAAAATCATCATCATCATCATGGTCGTCTATGAGAGAATACAGAATAAACCAGTGAAAAAAAAAACACTGAAAATTCAATGAAAATCATTCTATTTTTATTCATTCAATGAATCTATCGGAATTTCGAGAATATATATGTGGAAATAAATCAATTTTTTTTCCTATTGTAATCTACTTTCAAACTTTTTTTTTCTATTTTAATCGAATGAAAATAAATATAAATATATATATATAACCAGTTTAATCTAGTTTTTTTTCTCGTTCTATTCTCATGTAAAATAAACATAAACATTTACCAGTGGAAGATTGGCAATTCCCCATAGTGTATAAAAAAAATAACAATGTGGACCATGTTAAATTATGGACAACATTTTGATACATCGATGATGCGGATGAGTATGACAAACCATATAATGTACAGATAGAATTGAAGAAGAATGGGCTAACTTTTTGGCTAAAATATTTTGAGAATAGTTTTGGGACAAGAAGACTACTTTTTTCATAGAGAGAGATCTTTGAAAAAAACCAAACTAAACAAAAAAAAAATTTGTCATCGTTTTTTTGTTGTTGTTGTTGGTGTTACGAAACCATTCCTTCCCCCTTCAAAAAAAACGTGAATATTCTTTTTCCGTGTGTGTGTCTGTGTGTGTATGTTTATGTTGTCTCCATAAAGTTTTCTTTTGACAACAAAAAAAAATTGATCGAATTATTTCAAAATTTCTTTTGTTCTGTAGTTGCTCTGTTGTTATTATTATCTTTATTTGTCACTGTTTACTCGTTCATTATTCATCCGGAATTCATTGTACCAAAATTCATGAATCATTGTCGATTCTTTCGAAATTTCATCTTAGCATTTGAGTCGATAGAAGAAGAAGAAAAAAAAGGTAACAAAAAAAAAAATCTCTAATCTCGTTTAATTCATCATCATCATTCTGGATCAAACACACATGCAAAGGGGATAAAGAAGAATAAAAAAAAATGAAAATATTTGGCACGAACATTCAGGGTTTGTTTGTGACATTGAGAGAAAAAAACATTTCATTCATTCACATATACACACATTGTATTTTGGATGGCAATGACGACGATGATGATGATATGATGATGGCACGAATCAACGATTAATGCCTAGACAAAACATATCGATCCATCCACAATGTGATTATTATAGGTATACAAGGGTGGTTTTTTTTTTCGGATTTTTTTTGGATTTCATTTCATAATCTATCAATAGTGAAAAAAAAAGAATCCTGGAAAATGAAAAAAAAACATGAGAATAACAACAACAACAACAAAAAAGAAATAAATAAAAACGTCTTATTAGTGGTATTTCACAATCTGCACACACACAAAAAAACACACACAGAGAGAGAAACTTTATTTTTTTGTGCGTCTTTGTTTAATGACATGTAATATAAAAGAATTTTTTTTAGGGTAATTTTTTTATCGTCTTTTTCTTTGAACTCTTGAATCGTTTTTTGTTTTGTTTTGTTTTTTGCTTACCAAATCCAAATGGCCTTTATCTATAAATCTATAATGCACTCAGTCAGTATGTATGTGCGTTTTATATACGGATAAACATAATGGTTATTATTATTATTATTATTTAATGCCGCAATGTCTAAACAACAGAACAACAACAAAAATTTACCAAAAAAAAAAAAAAAAAAAAAATATTGCTGCTAATATACATATATGTGCGTGTGTATTGTACAAGGTTCCAAATGGAACGCATGAAGTACATGCGCACAAACCGGCCCAGCGGTATGGAACGCACCCATAAAATACACATACACAGAAACACACACACACACACACACATACAGACAGACATTATATCTACTATATGGAACATGTTCATATTCATTCCATTTGGATCGATCCACGAAAGACGTAGCAGTAGTAGTATATTATATGGTTTGCTACATTGCTTCTAAAATTCTGTTTACAGGGTTGCTTTGGGTTCTTTTTTTTTTTGGTTTGTATTCAAGAATGAAAAAAAAACTTTTTGTTTCGATATATTTCCTTGAATGAAATGAATGATTCCCACGACTACCGACCACACACACCATCACCACTACCAGTATGAATGTTGTTGTTCCAATTTTTTTTTTTTTTTTTTTTGCTATCGTTGCTTTTAACTCAAATCTTAGACCAATGTGAATGTTTATTCTGGCTGTGTTAGTTGATGAATTTCATTTTTTTTCACTTTATTTGGCAATTTGGTGATTCTGGCATTCTTGTGAAATTTTTTTTCTTTTTTTTTTTTTTGTTGGGTTTTTTTTTCTCGCTGTAAATGTATATTTACCAACTGTTTAATTCATCATATATTCAAAAATATTGTTCATGTGTGTTTTTAGAATAATTTTCGGCTACATGAAACATGAATCCCTTTTTTCCCCCGTTGATTTGTTAATCATCATCATCATCATCATGTTAAACACTTGCTGAAAAATTAAATTTCACTGAAAAAACCATATTCCATCTTGGTGTTTGTGTGTGTGTGTGTGTGTGTGCGTGTGTGTTTACTTTGTGTTAGTAATAACACAGTGGATCAATTAATTTTCCATTGTGTTTCATGGCCATATTCACATATTCACGGTTTTTTTTAAATTGCTATTTTTGTAATGTTCCAAAAAAAAAATTTCATAAGAATTCTAGAATCTTGTACAGTTTTTGGTGGTAATTATATCAAAAAGAATTACCTACAGCAGCAATGAAAATGAAAATTTTTCCATTTTCACAATGTTGACGGAATTTTCGATTTTTTTTTCTTTCGCTTTCCTGCTCATCACCATCATCATTCATCATCATTCATTCCATTCATGCATTATTGATAGTCAAAAGCCATACCAACAAACAAAACAAAACAAAACAAAAACGTACGTCCAACGATATGAAAAAACCTTGCCACAATTTTATTATTCTGTTTGGTGAATTATTTGTTCAAATTTTTTAGTATTTTTTGAAAGATTAACAAACATTTTGTAGTTATTCATAACCGGAAGCATATTGTGTGTGTGTGTGTGTGCGGGGTGTATGTTTTGCATCATCATCATCATCATAATCAATTTGGTCCAGTTATTTTTATTTTCTCTCATAAATTCTCATAAAGAAAAAAAAACGACAAAAAGAGACGAAACAAAACAAAAACAAAAATCGAAATGTTTATCCGTTTTGAACCGATAAAAAGGCCACAATCATATAATGATAATCCAATTACAAGCCTTTCATGGATGATAAATGATTGTAGCCAAAATAATAATAATAATGTCAATACGAATAATAATTTAAATGATGATGAAAATGTTGACCAAATATCCGATAATAATAATAATAATAATGTTGATGATGGTCACCAACATTATATCATCATCATCATCATCATCATAATCATGATGATGATGAATATAATGATGATAATGGAATTCAATTTCAACAACAACAACAACAACAACTGCAACCGGAAGCATTATATTCATATCCGATAGACAATCATCATCATCATCATCATCATCATCATCATAATCATCGACATCAATCATTACAACAGGAACATTATTATCAATCATTCGATAATAATAATGATAATGATAATGGACAGAATGAAATACTTGATGGATGGTTAGCTATCGGTAATTGTCGTGGAGTTGTCGGTGTTAGCTATACAACAATCGATTCATTAAAAATACAGAATTTTAAAAGACAAATCAATAATAATAATAACAACGATGATGATGAGGATAATCAAAATAATTTTATGACATTGAATCAATCAAATAATCAGCATCAAAATCAAAATCAATCATCATCATCGACAACAGCAGCAGCAGCAGCAATAATACCACAACGAACAAATTTTAATTTACGTGGTCATCGTTCGGAAATAATATTTGTACGTTGGAATGAACCGTATCAAAAATTAGCCAGCTGTGATCGTAATGGTGTTATATTCGTATGGATCAAATATGAAGGTCGTTGGTCAATTGAATTGATAAATGATCGCAATACAAGGGTTACGGATTTTGCTTGGAGTCATGATGGTCGTATGGCATTGATTTGTTATATGGATGGTTTCGTGCTGGTTGGTTCAGTATCAGGTCAACGTTATTGGTCATCGATGCTCAATTTAAATGGTTGTTCAATTACATGCGGTACATGGACCGCTAATAATCAACATGTTTTATTCGGTACATCGAATGGTCATATATTAGGTATGATTATTGTTTTGTATATTTTCATTACATATTCATCTGATTTGATTCAATTTCAATTTTAATTTCCCATTCATAAACATAGTAATCTCTGTACATGGTGTATTTATAACACAAATAAGTGTACAAGAAGGCGTTGAAATAGCAAGTATGATGTGGTCATGTCAAAAATTTCAATCATCATCATCATCATCATCAACAACAACAACAACAAAACAATCAAATACAAATGAACAAACGTCAACAACGACGACTACATCGACAGAACAACCGCAGCAGCAGCAGCAGCAGCAATCGAATCATATGTTAGCAATTAGTTTTGTTGATGGTACAATTTATTTGATGCATAATTATGATGAAGTTTTTCCAATAATAATTGAAACATCATTGATTAATATTAAAATGGAATGGTCAATGAATGGTGAATTATTGGCCATTGGTGGACATCGTATAATACGATCATCATCATCACAATCACAATCATCATCATCATCGTCATCAACATTGAAAAATGGTTTCTATATGTATCAAAATATAATCAATATCTATCGGTTTGATGGAACATTAATCCGCCAATGTCAATTAGATTTTAATTATCAACCATTATCGGCATTAACATGGGCCTGTAATGATCGTCGTTTATTTATTGCATGTGGACAATTATTATTTGTTGCATGGATTATACATGGGTATGTTGTTTGTGTGATTTTTTTAGTCAATTTTTTGTTTTGTTTTGTTTTGAACATTCGTGTTTTCCATCTTTTCAACAGGATACCAAGTCTTTCATTTATTTCTGCATTACAAGTTTATAATAGAATAAAAAATGAAATCGATATAACCAGATTACAAGTGCCAATACCGGTCAAATTATTATTAAATGAATTATTTACGCCAACAGTACATTGTTATTTGCCGGATTATCACGAAATTGGTAGATTTGTGTTTCGTCCACCAGCAAATAATATCCGTTTACATTGTACATTAATGCGGCATGATGAAACAACAACAATAACGAATAATTCTCAATCATCATCATCATCATCGATAATCAATCATTATGCGCAACAACAGCAATTTGATTCATCATCATCATCAATTACAAATCAATCATCATCAAATGATGATACAATCTATATATTATATTTAGAATATTTAGGTGGCCTTGTACCAATATTGAAAGGAAAACGTTCATCAAAAATTAAACCAGAATTCATTATATTTGATCCACAACGTAATGTTTATTTACCATCCACATCATCCGAATCTACAGAATCAGCAACCAATTTTATAAATGAAAATCAAAATAATTTTAATTCACAAAAAATTTCCACCACCACCACCAGCAGCACTACATCCGATATAAATCATGTAGTCAATGGTAATGGTGGTCGTATTAAACATTTTTTACAAAATTCTGTTTGGACAAGTGCAAATAATAATAGAAATTTAACAACAACAACAACAACTGATAGTGAAAATGATGAAAATTCTAATCATTCATCAACCACATCATCATCATCAATATTATATCATTTAACACCGAAAACACGACGTCGTTTACGTTGTCGTACACCACAATTCAATGGTCATCATCATCGTGGTCATAATCAACGTTTTCATGATGATGAAAATAATAATTTAGAACAACAACAACAACAATTTCTATTTTCCAATCAAGCATCATCATCATCATGGATTGATGATAATTTACCAGTAACAGATAAAATCGTTCTGATTACATCAAATATATGGGGTACAAAATTTAAATTTGTTGGTTTAACACCAAAACTACCATCGCATTTAGGTTCAGTTACTTATCGTACAAGTTTATTGCATTTACAGCCAAGACAAATGTCATTGGTGATCAAAGAATTGAACGATAAAAATACATTGATCAATGATCATCAAAATTTTAGTTATAAACAACGTAAAAATATTGAACAACAACAACGACAACAGCAATCAATTAATGATTATCGGTCCGATTATGAATACAATAATAATAACGGTGGTGGTTATATAAGTAGTAGCAGTAATGGTGGTGGTGGTGGTGGTGGTGGTGGTGGTGGTGGTAATTATTCTTATTATTCATCGGATTCTGAAGATGAATTTAGTGAATCACAAAAATTAATGATAATGAAAATGACAATGATGCAAAATGGAACATTGTACAATAATGATCCAACAGCAATGATAGCGCCAATAAATACATTTAAATCTGTAAGAAATTCAATGTTAATCAATGTGGATGAAAATAATATTCCACCACCACCCACCACCACCACAGCAGCAACAACAACAACAACGACAACGACGACTACTACAATCATCATTAGCATCATCAATACATCAAGATGAATTTCTTACATTACAAATAAATCAAAATGAAAATGGTTTACCGACAAGTTATAATGTTGAGATTAAACCATCATCGTCATCATCATCATCATCAACAAATCATATGGGCCATAATAATAATCATCAATCAATGAATCAATATCATCATCATCAGCAACCATCGATTGATTCACCACCACCACCACCACCATCAGCTGCAACAATTTCATCAACATTTGTACGACAATTTAAACATCAAACATTTCAATCTGAAAGTCCTAAACATGTTTCATCATTTTCACGTTTATCACAACAACATCAACAAGGATCACCATCAATGACAGCAACAGCAGCAACAACAACGACAACAACAACACAGCAACAATCATCATCAACATCGCCTAAATTATATTCATCACCAAATATTTCACCAAATAAACAAAGTAAGTTAACAGATTCTTTTTTTTTTTGCTTTTAAATTAATTATTCCTTCTGCTCTCATAGTAATACGATCAAAAATTCTAAAAGAATCGCCTAGAAAATCAAGTGTTTCATATTGTTCAAATGAATTTACTAAAAAAAGTTTTGTTGGTGAAACACCAACATCAACGATCTGTGATATTGTTGAAACTACTATTGGTGCACCATCTGTTGGCCGTGGTGATAGTAATGATGATTCCAATTGTAATGATAATGTTGCATCGAAACAAACATCAACAACTTATTTGGTTAAATATAAAACCTGTGTGAATGAAGCTCTTTGTACATCGGATTGTAATGCAGCTACAGCAACGATATCTTCAAATATTAATGGTATTGGTAATGGTAATAGCCGATCAATTGAATGGTTAACGGATGGCAATCATTCATCGATTCGACATAATCATCATCATCATCATCATCATCAGACCACCATACCATATGTTCCATCACAATCATTTCAAACTTATCATATTTATGATGATACTGATCTTGTTACTATGAAAACTAATCTAGATGAATCCAAGCAACAACAACAACAACAACAATCGGGAATTGTTCGTAAATCAAAAAATCCAAAAGATGATCCAGATCTAATTGAGGATGATTCCACTGATCATTATATACGTAATGTTGAACAAGTTGTAAAATCATTGAGTGAAAAATTACAGCTACAACAGCAGCAGCAGCAACAACAACAATTACAAAATGATGAAAATGGTCATCATCTGATTTCCAATCATCATAATAATAATCAATATCATCCATCATCAATTGATCATGGACGAAATTTATCATTCCGTAGCAATTCATTATCATATGATGGTGATGATTATCGATCAACAACTGCATCATCATTATCAACCTTACAATTACAACAGACACCATCACGGCGATTCATTATGAATGGGATCGATAATAATCAAAATAATCGATCAACAGGTGAACAAAGACGACGAAATATGTCCATTACAAGTTTGATTTCATTACAACAACAACAACAACAACCGAATACAATGGATAGATTACGATCATTGATTTCAAGATCAAATCATCATCAAAATCGGAATGATAATAATAATAATTTATTAATAAATAAAAATCGTAGTCTGCCAGCATCACCATTAATGAATACGAATCGTAAAGAAATGAATTTAAATTTACAGACAACCAGTTCATCCATTACCACCACCACAGCAACAAGACAACGGTCATCAAATGGGCGGCATTTTTTTCATAGTCCAAAAGTTGTACGAAAATTACGAAGAAAGTAAGTTTGTTGTGCATTTTGTTTTTTATTTTTCATTGAATTTAATGTTTTTTTTCTTGCCACCCACAATCCATCATCATTCATCTAGATTAAGCTATCTGGATTGTAGTTCCGAAGATGATGAAAATAATACCAGTGATGATGATGATGATTTAGAAAATCAAATTGGATCATCATCATCATCGCCATCAATAATTATGGATAGAAATAATGGATCGAAATCAATTAAAATGGAAAAGAAAAAAATAAAAAATGAAAAATATCGACGCCAAAAATATGGTGATGATGATGATGATGATGATAATGAAAAAAGTAAACGATTTGTATTGCATAATAAAGCACCACTTTGGAATGAAATATCGCAGGTATATCAATTAGATTTTGGTGGACGTGTTACACAAGAATCGGCAAAAAATTTTCAAATTGAATATCAAGGTCGACAGGTATGTCATATCGATGCTAATTAATTGATTGATTTTATTATCAATTTCTATTTTTTCTTTTTCTTTTTTTTTGAATTCCAGGTGATGCAATTTGGCCGTATCGATACAAATGCCTATACATTGGATTTTGAATATCCATTTTCAGCTGTACAAGCTATGGCTGTTGCATTGGCCAATGTTACACAAAGACTTAAATGAAAACAAACAAAAAAAAATTCCAATTCCAATTCTTGATCAATCAATTTCTGTTTTATTTTTTTTTTTTTTTGGTGTGTTTGCACGCATGCGCGCTTGTGTCTTATTTCATTTCATTTCATTTCATTTTATTTTTTTTTTTTTTTGTTGTTGTTGTTTGTTGTTGTTTGTCTATTTTTCTCTCTCTCTTTCTTCCACATGAATGATATAAATAACCAAATTCTAGTCTAATTATTCAAAAAAAAAAAAAAAAAAAATTTTTTAGCAAAATGAATCCATATATATAATATTCAACACAACGGAAAACAAAACAATCAAATGTGTCAATGTCAATCAATTGCCTATAGAGCGAAAACACAAAATTTATTATATTATTTTTTTTTTGTAAAAAAAAATAAATCACCAAATTCAAATTTCAAATTAATTTTTAAATGATGATGATGAATAAAATTAAAATGCACTTATTATTATTAAAAAATAAATAAAACGACACTGTCCAATGTCCATTTTGTGTGCTCCATCACCACCGCTAGATGGCAACGATGATGAAACATTTGAACAATTCATTCATTCAGCCAAAAAAAAAAATTCAAGTGAAAAATGAAATGAATGATGATTTATCATCATCATCATCATTTGGTGAGTAAAAAAAAAAACAACAATTACTCATGTGACTATAAATACTATACCTCTCATTTTATGAATAAGAAGAGAAAAATTGTTTTTTTTTTTGCTGGTTTCATTTCACATCCACATGAATAAAAAAAAAATACTATACCCATTCATTTGTGGCTCATCAACTTTTGTTTTTCATTCATCGTTTACCATTTTACCATGACTGTTTGTATTGTATATATATATATTTATATTATGGCAATTAAATTTCAATCCATCATTTTCATACTGATATATATGTATACAAAGAACTCGTTTACATGAAAACTTGATGTTATTTATATGTATAATATCTGGGTTAAAAACAAAACAAAACAAAACATTCTATACCGGACCATATATCACATATATAAAAACAAACAAATAGACAAAACACATGACATACGACCGAATACAGCAGTAGCAGCAGCAGCAGCAGTACATTTTTAGTAGTGAAATTAATAAAAAAAAAAAAAAAAAAAAACAAAAAAAATAATGCAAACAAACAATGATGATGATGATAAGTTTTTTTTTCATTCATCTTTCCAGAATTTTTTTTTTCTTTTGTTTTGTTTTGTTTTGTTTTGGGGTTACTACAAATGATTATTTAAAATATTGGCGATTATTATGTGTTTGAAGAAAACGAAGAAAAAAAACCAAGTCAATCGTAACAGAATAATTGTTTGTGTAAGTCTCTCTCTCTCTCTCTCTCTCTCTCTTTTCTTTTTTTTTTTGCTTTTTGAGAATATTCTTGGGAACACACACTGAATATTATTATTCAGCCGATTATCCATCCGTTTCGTCACTATGATCAAAATGATCGTCCATTATTTTTTTTTTTATTTCAAATTCATGAATTATTCTTTTTCGTTTTTTTTCTCTGTCGTTGTTGTTGTTGTTGTTGTTTGATCATCATTAATTTAAATTTTTTTTCTTCTCGTACGTACATTATGTGTGACCACAACTACTTTTCCATTATCATTATCGTCTCTCTCTCACACACACACACACACACACACAAGAAGAAAAATTCCTGTCACGACATTCTTTGTTTTTTTTGTTCACTAGAAAATTTCTTCTATATTCAGGGGTGTCGAAGAAAAAAAAATTTGTTTTTTTTTCACCGCTTACCAGATTATAAACCAGAATATGATTTTTTTTTCTCCATCCACAGTATATGGATAGGTAAAGATGGATTTTGTTTTTTTTTTTGCTGATGTAGTGTACAAAAGCAAAAAAAAAACATTATCTTTATAAATCATTCAATAGCCAAAAGCACAGAAGAATACAGAATTCAGGTTTTCATCATGTGTGTGTGTGTGTGTGTGTGTGTGTGTGAGAAAACATCGCGTCACATGATAAGATTCATTATTTAATTTCTTTTTCTTTTTGGTGTTATTCACACACTCACACACACACACCATTACATAATCATCATCATCACTATAACGGACAAATGATGAAATTTCGTCAGTCATGTCCCATTTTGAGAAGCGCGTTACCGTTTTTTTTTCTCGTCTTCTTATATTTCATAAAAACTTTCCGATTCGACCATTGAATTATGATGATGATGATGATGATGATGATGTGAAGATGAGATGTTACCTATTCTATCTATGTTTGTTTTTTGTAATCTTGTGTGTGTGTGTGATGGTAATTAAATTTTATAACGTCACAAAAAAAAACTAAATCTAAACAGCGAAAATGGAATCCGAGTGTTGATGATAAGAATCAATGTGGTGGTGGTGGTATTTGAAAATTTCATTTGAAAAAAAACTTTTTTTTCACTTCATGTTAGATGATGTGACTGAAGTGACTGAATAAAGAATCATAAGAATCCATTCTGTGTGTGTGTGTGTGTGTGTGAGAGAGAGAGAGTTATTCATATGTAAATTCTAGAACGAGGGGGGAGGTAAAAATATCTTCTTTTTTCAGTTACAATTTCTTTTTTTTTTTTTTACCATTGTCCAAAACAAAAATTTGTAATTCGTTCTGTCTGTCATTTTTATTGTCGTTTTGTGTGATGTATGTGTGTGTGTGTGTCGAATACATTAAAAAAACATTGACATTAACTCATTTATTTCTATTGTATTTTTTTTTTTTTTTTTTTTTTGAGTGAAAGTAATCATTTGAAATTAGCATCTATAGATTTCGAGCGAGAGAGAGAGAGAGAGAGAGTTGAATTATTTTGACCGATTTACAATTATAATACACAGACAGTCAGTCGGTCGGTCGGTTAGTCGTTTATTTTCATTTCATTTCATTCATTTGTTTGTTTGTTTGTTTTTTTTGATGAATTCTTTTCATTTGAAAGTGGAGACAGAAAATTTTTCTTTTGTTGTTGTTGTATTCTTTCACTTTAATTTCATTCAGATTCATTTTGATTGTGTATAGCGTGCATATACACAAAGGGTTAATTGTGAATTATTTGTATATATATATGGTACTTTTTCTGGAGTAATCAAATTATGATTATCTCTCTCTCTCTCGAACAAGAAGAAAAAAAAACAATGATGATTATTATTGTGACAACTTATTGTGTCCATGATGGGGTTAATTTTGTTCACAATTTCAATTGAAAACAAAAAAAACAATTTCACTAAATCTGGATTTATTTGGACAATGTTGCTTTGTCCAAATATTTGAAATTTGCACTCTATCTGTGTGTGTGTGTGTGTGTGCGTTTTTTTTTCGTTGAACTCTGAAACAAGAAAGTGGTAAAAAAAAATCCAAAGTTAATGACATCAAAACACGAAAATGGTAATGGAATAATAATAAAAAAAAGCCATGAACCTAAAAAGAAAATGGTATCTACAAACGAACGAACGAACCATATACCAACCAAATCCAAAATACCATGCACGAATGATTTCAACCAGCGACAAGTATGTATGTATGTGGCTAGTGAATGAAAAATTTAAAAAATTTTCCAGTAGCAATAACACACACACACACACACACATGTGACATAAAACCGGTGTGTATAATAATTTTACCTATAAACACTCATTGATAATGATGATGATCTTTTGGAACATGATGTTGACACACACACACACACACACACGCAAAACTATAAATTGTTTCTTGTTTCTTTGTTTCAAATCACTGGGAAAAGAATTAATTGATTTTTTTTTCTTTTCGCTTTGCTTTGCATTGCTTTCACTCCGGTTTTCCTAGTATATGCAAATAAATTATATAAAATAAAAAATTGTAAAAAATTTACAATGAAACAATTGAAATAGAAATGGAGAGATCTAATGTGACATTTATTTCAACCATGAAATGAAATGAATGGTTTGTGAATGATAAAAAAAAAAATGCCGCTGACAAAAAACACTAGCAGTGTAGTAGTGGTAAATCAATTTCAAATCACAAGTTTCGATTTGTATGATAAATTGAAATTAGAATTTTCCAAGTATTTTTTTTTGTTGCTCCTCATTTTTTTTGATTCTTCCATTTCATTTCGTTTTTTTTCTCCCATTTCGTCATTTTGTTGTTGTTTCAAAATTTGTTACATTTGTTTTTGTTCCAAACACAACAACAACAACAACAACAAAACAACGATTTTCTAATTAATTTTTTTGTTCTCTGAATCTTCCTGAATTTCACGCCATTTGTTTTGTTGGATTTATTTTTATTTTCAAAAAAAAATCAAAACAAAACTAAAAGATTTCAAAACAACCAAAAAGTAATGCAGGAAATCATTTTCAGTGTTCATTGTCATTGTTTTTTTTTGGATTTTGATTTTCTTATTGGAATCAAACACCGATTCATCGATGATGATGACGATGAGTTCTCGAATCTCGATTCTTTTTTTTTTTTACTTTCACATTCGAATCAAAATTCTCGTATTATATTCATCCGGTTTCTAGTTCTATTTTTTTTTTTCATTTTGATTTGGATTTTGAAATGTAGCAGAAAAAAAACGGAAATTAAAACATTTCTCATAACAGATGTGTGTGTGTGTGTGTGTGCGAGTGGATATTAAAGAAGCAGTAGAAAAAAAACGTTGCCAGTACATTGGAAATATTTTTGGATAATCAAAGGTTACGTCTCTTTTTTTTCAAATCCAAGATTATCTCTTTTTTTCAACTTTTTGGATTTTTCTCACTCGTTGATCAAATGTTGTTCTCCATTGCCTGTGTCCATTGGCTTTTTCTCAAAAATTTTTTTGTTTGTCATCAATTTTTTTTTTCACCATTTGTTTCATGAGTAAATGGAAATTTTTTTTTTTGCTGTTTTCGAAATGATTGATTTATTGATATCATGTCAATCGACAAACAATGATGACAGCGACTATCCATTTGGGAATTTATGAAAATTGCAATGAAAAACATATATATAGATCACCTGAATACATCGATGAATGTATGATCATGATTCAAACAGACAAACAATCATCATGCAAACACAAGAAACAGAGACATGGAAAGTTCATTTGAATTTATAATGATGATGATGATGTGGATGTGGATGTTGATGTTAAAAACAACAGCAATACAATTTGATTGTCATCATCATCATCATCATCATCAAGGGACCAAAATGAAAAAAAAATGTCATAAGATTCCATTCTACATTACCATTATGATGATGATCATCATAATGAAGAAATGTTTATTCTTGTTATTATTGAATTACATTTTTTTTCTCACGTTTTTTTTGTTGTCTGGTTTGGTAGCTTTGTTGTCGCTCAACAACAGCCACAACAACAACAACAACAATCAAAAATGTCATAGACTTGATGGACAAAAAAGATTCTGATTCTCTTCATCATTCTGATTCTTCATTCATTCATTGATCAAAATATTCGTCTTGTCTTATTTTTTTTCTCTGTTGTAATTCTTTCATTTTGATGTTTTTATTCGTTTGCTATAATTCATCCAAAGATTTTCATTATTTTCATGTATCAATCCGTCTTTATTTATTTTTTTTCGGGAATTATTATTATTAAGATTTACGTTTTTTTGTTGTTGTTGTTCATGTTCATGTTAATGTTCATATTCTCATTCATCCATTGGTGGTTCCAATCATCATGGTATAAATTCCGGTTCGGTTTTTTTTTGTTCCATTTCATTTCGTATCAATTTCATTTCTTTATTGGTGGAAAATTTGTTCCAAACAAGTACCAAAAAAAAAAAAAAATCGAATGAATGTGTATTTGAATCAAATGGAATCCAGTTTATTATGACGATGATGACTTCAATATAATCATCATCATCATCATAATAATAATCATATGTGTGTAAGCTTTTATAATTAAAAATCTATTCAAGAATTTCTACATTCACAGTATTCGTCGATATATATAAGATATGAGTCTAATTAATCTGTCGATTTTTCTCTCTCTTTTTTTTTTCTTCACAGGCGTTAACTTTGTTTGTTGTGTGGTTATTTTTTTTTCTGTTGTGAAAAGGAGTTGCATTGGTTGTTATTCATCGTGGTTTTTTTTGTATATAATAATAATTTCATCATGGATCTTTTCATCATCATCATCCTCATCTTATTATTATTACTATGATTACAAGATGATTATTATTAAGATCGACATAATTAACAAAAAAAAAAAAAAAAAATAAAAGAATCTGTCCTGATTGAATTTGCAAACATTCATTCATCGAATGATTTTAGTTATATTCGTGAACAACATTTTTGAAAAAAAATTTTTTTTCTTCTTCATTCAAAAAACAATGAAAATGTAATCAAAAAAAAAAAAAAAAAAATGGGCGTAATATATCGAATGTTGGTTGTAGTTCTAAGAAAGCGTAAAATTTTTTTTTTTTTTGATAAACGACGCATGCGTCAAACTTAGCATCATCATCATCATATTCATTGGGTTGTATATAAAGTTTCTACTTCTTTACATCATAAGTAAAAATTTCATGATTTTCTTTCATTTTTTTTTTTCTTCTTCCTTTTTGTTTTCACTGATTTTCATGTTTATGTGTGTGTGTGTGCGCTTGTGATACTGGTCTACGTTTTCATTCTTTTAGGTTTCGAATCTCAAATTTTAGTTTTTTTTTTTTTGGTTTTGGTTCTTTTATTCCATAGTCAGATTTCAGACTATATTTTTTTTACAACCAAGGAATCTGTATGAATGAATCGGATAACCAGTAGCAGCAGCAGCAGCAGCACATGATCAATCGTTTGACTTTGGATTTATAGTTGGTTTTTTTTGTTTTATTCTGTGGATTTATTATCAAGTATACGATATGATGAATAAATGAAAACCAAAACAAAAAACTTTGATCCAATTGAAACAACAACAACAACCAGAAAATCGAAGCAAAGTTTTCAAGTCCATCATCAATCCGGCACGTACCACTTAGACAAAAACAACAACAACAACAACAGCGATAAATGTTGAATATTTTATACGGGGAATTTTCTTTCTTCGATTTTATTTTTTCTGGTGATTTTTTTTTCTTCATCATTTAATGAAATTTTTCATTGACCACCAGATTCAATATAATTGAATGTGCTGATTGTTTGTTTGTCAGTTTCGATGCTTTCTCGATACTTTTCCAATTATCTCATTTTATTGTTCCCTGGATGATGATGAATATAAGATAAAAAAAAACTTTTCACACGTTTATTAAACATTGATTTTCGATTATTGGAACAACAACAAAAAAAAATGCTGAATCGGTTATTGTTGTTGTTGTTGTTGTGAAAAATTCCAGAATTTGTGAATAAAAAAAAAGAATATTCTGAATTTTCTTGCCATGAAATCATCGTCATCCTCATCATTTTTATTCTGATTTCAAAAACGACAATTCTTTGACCAAGAAAAAACAAGAAGAAAACAAAAGCGAAATGAAAATCAATTTCCAATCAATATTTTCATCACCGTTATTATCGATGACAAATCACCTGTTTCAAACCATCATCATGTTGATCATTTTATTTTAATCAATTTTTCATTTTCATCATCATCGTCATCAATGATATCAGATTGCTCATCATCAACATCATCATGGCGACTTTATTCAATGGATAAAATTAATTCTTCAATTGTTAATAATAAAACGGATAAAATGATAATTTCCATAAACAATATTTGGCCTAAAATGAATAATGGTAATGTTATATGTGGATTTTTCATTTTCATTTTCTTTCCCTGTTAACTTTGCTCATCATCACCACCAACAACATGCATTTTTGTGTGTGGTTTTGGAGAAACAATTTGTTTGTTTGTTTTGCATAGTTTCCGTATGAATTTTTTTTTCTTTCCTCGGATCCATTTAAAAATCAAAAAAAAAAAAAACACAAAACATTTTGTACAGACAAACAAAAAACAACATGACAAACGAAACATTCAAAGAAAAATATAGATCATCATCATCATTGTGATCATTTTTTTCTGGTTCGGTTGATATTTTTTTTTGTATTCCATGAATTATATAATAAACGAAAACAAAATAAGGAATACAAAACTATAAATCCAGAAGAATAAGAATGATCCAAAAATGATGATGATGATGTTGAACGTTTATGTAATATATAAAATAATGAAGTGGTGTGTAACAATCTGGAACTAATGTTGTTGATCCATTCATTCAACCGTTTTTTTTTTTTTCATTTATTTATTTATTCACAACCATCGCCACCACCAACCAAACAACCGAAAACCAACCATATCCATAACTTGGAACCATATTTTGTTGTTTTGTATGGTGGAACGTTTTATTTTCCTCATTTTCTTTTCTGTTTTTTTTATATATATATTCAATCATTCATCTTACAAAATGATCTTTGATGAGATATATGATCCCAAATCTTTCGTTCATGTATTCATCTCTAAAATACGTAAAAAAAGACAATTTCAATATATCAAACACACGAAAAGAGAGAGAGAGACAGATAAAAAAAATGAACAAAAACTAAAGCTGAAACTACCCACCTTTGCGTGTATGTATGTGTGCAGCCTTTTTATTGATCTGAGAATTTTACTAATCACTAATCATTTGCATTTAATCAGAATCAAATCTTTATCGATAAATGAGCGTTTTTTATCTTTGTCGTTTTTCCCTTTTTTGATTGTTGTCATATAAACAATTCATGAAGAATGTAGAGACAATTTTCTTCTAACAACAACAACAATGATGATGTGATTGTTAATTGATCGTCAATGTATATTCACATCACAGAGACACTGAAACAACAACAACAAGTCTTCAATTCAGGACAAGAACCAAGAGAAAATAAGTGGACCAATCAAAGAAAAAAAATATTCCCGAAAAAAAATACAAACATTGCACGGTTCAATTGTTCCAATAACCGAGAGAAAAAAAACAGACAAACAAAAACATAACGAAAACGGTATCGTTTTCACAGATATCAGTTTTGTCTATAATTAATGAATATAGTGGGATGAATATAGACGCATTTAACATTTTTTTTTGGATAGCCAAAAAAAAAAAAATTTTCACATGTTTTCCCTTCATTGTCTGTCTGAAGATGGTGCAGCATCAAATATGACAAAATGATTCATTGATTTACCACCACCATTGAGAGAGAGAGAGAGAGAGAGAGAGAGAAAACACTGAAAGATCTTGAAATCAATGTTGTTAATGTTGTTGATTATTTGTTTGGATCCACAAAAATGGCCACTAATTGCCTTTTTTTTCTCTATTTCTACGTCATTGACTCTGAAATCGAGAAAATTTCAGATTTTTTCTGTTTTATCATCATCATCAGTCCAGAAAAAAAACACCAACTAATCTTGTTCAATGCAGATGTGTGTGTGTTTTTCCGGTATTGTTTTTTTTCTTGTTTTTTTGTTGTTGTTGTTGGAAACCGGAATATTCCCAATGGAACATTTTGATGAAAAGAAAAGAAAAAAAAATTCCGGTTAATATTCATCTGGATGAGATGAAATGAAATGAAAACACTTTTGTGATTCATTTATTCATAATTTATTGTTTCCGGATTTTTTTTGTTGTGAATTTTAAATTTTTCTTGTTCATTTCCGTTTTTTTTGGTTCTATAGAAAATCGACAACGAAGATCTATAATTAATGATGATGGACAAAATGATGATAATCATGTCATTGATGGTGGACAATTGCCACAATTACGACGATTACAATCAACTTCCGAATCATCATCATCATCGACGGCGAGCTTGATGAAAACATCGATTGCAATTAATCGTTGTTCACCGAAAACATTTGAAACATGTTTATCAATGATGCAAGAAGTGATGGAAAATTCATCATTAGCATTTCCAATCAATTCTAGAGATTTAGATATTACGTGTCGGTATGTTCAATCAATCAATCAATCAATTAATCGATCAATGATTTATTCAATATTTTTCTGTTTATTTTTTGTGTTCAATTTAATCAAACGAAAACAAACAAACAAACAAACAGGAAATTAAAATCAGGAGATTATTGTGCCGAAAAATATATACGTTCCTGTGCCGGTAATCGACAACGACATCTTTATCAGGATATTGTACAGGGATCGAAAAATGTAATACGTTTATTATGTCAACAAGGACGTACACAACAATGTAAGTAGTAATACGGATGAAATGAAAAATTTTTCCTCGTTATTTGTGCATTGATTTCAAAGTGAAACGACGAAAAACGAAATGAAATCGGGCACCACTTTTGTCCAACAACGACCGACATGCTGTGTAGCTAATTTCTTTTTTTTTTTGTTTAAATTCGACATTCTTTTGGAATTCTCATCATCATTTTGGATGATGATCATAATTATCAGATGAAAAAAAAAAATAAAATACACACACTGTTTATAAACAAATGTAAATAGAAACATTTTTTCGAAGATTTAAAGACACACAGAATTTAGAATTTTTTTTTTGCTTTCAAAGATTCAAAAAAAAAAAATATCTACACGACCAGAAAAAAAAACTAAAGAATCGAGATTCTTTAGCGTGAATGAATGCGAAATATAAAAAAAACTGTCATTTAAATTTAATTTGACGATGATCATTGTATATTCAGCATAAGAATCTATTTTGAAACAATATCTAGAGCGAGTGAGAGAGAATGGAAAAATGATTCCATGGCAATATTCTAAATACGTGAATCATTTCGTTTTTTTTTTTGTTGTTTTTTTTTCGTTTCGTTTGGAAATCCAAGCTTATTATCACATAATCATCATCATCATTATTTGTGCGTGTCGGTGGTGGTGGTGGTGGTGGTGGTGGATAAACAGCACAATTCACACACACACACATCGTTGCTTCAATGATAGAAAACAAAAAAGACAAAAAAAAAATAATGAAATGATGATGATGATCATCATCATCGTGGATAATGTAAACCACATCATCATTATCATTGTTTTTTTTATTTCAATGTAGCGAAAATTGTTATTATTATCCATCCACTTTTATTATGTATGTGTGTGTGTGTGTGTGTTCCGGTGTCCTAGTCCAGTCTATTAGTTTGAAAATCAATCGATCCAAATTTTTTTTCACACAATTTTTTTTACATCATCATCAATTCAATTTTAAAATTGAATAATATATTTGTGCGTGTGCATGTGCAATTGATGCAAATCAATTTTTACGATCATTATCAGATAAAAAAAATGTTCATTGTCAATTCGATCGATCGATCGATCGAATTGATTGCATCATGATGATGATGATGATGACGATGATAATGTTTTTTTTTCTTCTCAGCATCCGAAACAAGAATTTCAACAACATTCTTTACTTTATCATCATCATCATCGTAATATTCTGATTATTATTGTTATATAGAATATTCCGCTATATAATCGAGAATTTTATTCTCTCTCTCTCTCTCACTCTGGTTTCATTCATTCACTATTTGTTTGTTTGTTTACGGTTTTTCTGTAACAAAACGAAAACGTTTGATATTTGTTCAAATACGCCCCACAAACACATCCGAATAAATAAACATCATCATGTGACATTTTTTTTCATATGATGACATTTTACACATGTCATAATATCATTTGTGATGATGATGAAAGAAAATTTTATTTATTCAATATTGGCATCCCTTTTTTTCACATCATCATCATCATCATCATCATTGATCCATCATGATCCCATCACACACAAAAAAACAGAACAACGAATCAATCGACCGTGATCTACCGTTGGTTGTGGTTCTGTTCTCTATGCATATCTATAGATATCCATTTTTTTTATTCATTTTGTTTGTTTGATGATTTAAAACTTTTTACATTACTTTTTTTTGGATGACACGCACATATAAACATCATTATATGATGTATATGAATTCTATATCATGGAAATCATTATATGATGATGATTTGAAATGAAATGAAATACGAAAAAAAAGCCACACATTTGTGTTGATTTAATGTTTTGTTATATTTGTTTGGTTGATTGATAAACATGTGTGTGTGTGTGTGTGTGATTTGATTTCAAATTTTATAACCATATCATCATATGATGTTTCCGGTTTTAAATTTTCAAAACAAGAAAAAATCGGTAATCGTCAATCATCAACAACAACAACAACAAAAAAAATATATTGCATTTCATTCGTTTGTTGGTTGTTTTTTTTCTTTTTATCAGATGCGACGATTACATTATTATTAGTATTATGGTTTGCCTGGATTTTAGCCATAAATCTTGTATTTAGATTTACACACACACACACACACACACACAAACAGTGAATCAAATGATATTCATCATTCAAGTACAACTTTCTCTCACTCTCTTACTGGTTCACTAAGGAAAATGGATAAAAGTTTTGCTTGGCTTGGAATATTTATTTTTTTCCCGGTTCAAAAAAAAAAAAAAAAAAAAATAAAACCCGGTATGAATGAAACAAAACGTCAATTCAATGCCGCTGCTGCTGCTGCTGCTTGGATCGACAATGACGATATCGGTACACAGACAAACAAACAAACAAACAAACAAACCAGCACGTACTATTCACATAAATCCTTTTTTTTTGTTTTGTTTTAGTTTCATTTTTCACGCATTGAATTTTCTTTGGAAAAAGGAACAAAAAAAAACTTTTTCCTTGATTCATTTGAAATTTTTGGAACATGATGATGATGATGATGATGGAACTTTGAATCCAAGAAGAAAAAGCAAAGATTATTTGTTTGGATCGCTGTGTGTGTGTGTGTGACATGTAGTTTTTGACCGCATTTAAAGTTTGCAACACGAAATAAATCTTCCAATGAATGAAAATTTGTTTGTTTTGTGTGTTGAAAAAAATTTCAATTTTCTATTAGTTTAATAAATTTTTTTTCGTTTCATTTCATTTCATTTTTCACCAAAACCCGCAAAACCAAAACCAAACTATTATTAGTATATTTACAATACGCTCCATGTTTAAAGGATATATCAATTTCAACGCAAAAATGTTCAACGGTTGTACGTCGTTTTCAATCCATATCGAAAATGATGTCCGATAATGAACAACAACAGCAACAACAAACTCGACAAAAAACTACCAATGATGGCGATAATGATGAACGTTTATTAAGATTCTGTTGTGCATATCAAGAAAGTGTTGATTGTCAAATACGTAATGTAAGAAAATATTGTGGCCAAGAAGGATTACGTTTTTTTGAACATTACATGTCTGAAATGACAAATTCATTAATCAATCAACATTGTGCTGGTTATACTTATAGTGATAAATGTAAACGTTTACGAAGGCCATCAAATCATCATAATCATAATCATCATCATGGTTCATTGGATCGTCATCGTAATCGTCCATCATCATCATCATCATCATCATCGATAATGGATAATAATAAACAAAAATCAAATCTTTTGAATAGAAAATTTATCTATTTCAATAATTCAACTTTAAATCGCCATCATCATCATGATCAACATCAACATAATCATAATACAAATATTCAAGATGATGATAATGATGATTTCATCGATAATTATGATGATGATGACAATGATGATGAAATCGATGATAATGATATGAATTTAAATAATCAAAATAACCGTAATAATAATAATAATAATGATGATGATCATCAATCATCAATCGATTATCGTTCTATATCATCAGCGAATGGATCGATCATTATTTTGATTGATTTATCAATAATTATAATGATGTTGATGATAACTAATTTAATGTCAAATGGATTTTTTTGAATTTTAATATTGCAAAAAAATTCTTTTATTAATCAACACCAATAGCCATTTGATTTGATTTTTTTTTGTTTTTGTAGATAATTCCGTTGCGTCTCAACATTCTTGTAGATTAACTAGAATAGAATGGATTGTATTATTTGATTGATTCTTTGTTCTCCTCATTTTATATTATTATTGAAATAAAATCAAAAAAAAATGATTGGTTTTTTTTTTGTTTGAAAAAAATGGTCGAGTGGCGGCCTCTAGTTTTATGGAATGCAACAAAATTTTTCTATTTTCACTGTTGATTGACTTGTTGTGTGTTTATTTTCTTTCACCTGAATCACGTGTTTGTTGATGTTTTCAATTTCCAAATTTTAATGCCACATGATGATCATTCCTAATTGGAATTGGATTTTTCGACGATTCATCTGTAATAATTTGATGAATAAATCGTATGGTAATTCAATATTGATTCGATCATTATCCAAACAATCGAACAGCAGTAACAATGAAAACGAAAATGATGACTCATTATTACTGAAAGAAATTGCTAAACAAATTCGATTTACCGGTCCATTAACAGTGAATGATTATATGCGTTTAGCATTGACACATCCAAAATATGGTTTCTACATGCGTCAAGATGTTTTTGGTGAAAAAGGACATTTTATTACATCACCAGAGATATCACAAATATTTGGTGAGGTAATTTTATTCTGCATATATCAATAGAATATATTGTAATAATTTCATTTCGTTTTTTTTCTTCTTCACACATGTAAAAAATTAGCTAATTGCCATATGGATAATGTATCAATGGCAAAAATATTCAAATGGACGACAATTGGATATAATTGAATTAGGTCCAGGACGTGGTACATTGTCCACAGATATTGCACGTTCAATGGAACAATTTACGCAAACACGTCCATCATTGAATGATTGTCATTTACATTTGATAGAAATTTCACCATTTCTTCAATCAATTCAACAACAAAATCTATGCAATCATATTCCTAATAATAATGATAATGACAATTTGAATGAAATGAAATCAACAAAACGGACAAAATATGGCCAATCAATTCATTGGTATCCATCGATTGATCAATTTCGATCAATCAACGAACATAATGAAAATCGTTTTCCAATATTCATAGCAAATGAATTTTTCGATGCATTTCCTATACATAAATTTATTGTAAGTAGAGATTAATTTGAAAAAAAATGTTTCAAATTTTGAATTTTTTTTCTTTAAAAAAAACTAGAAAAATTCACAACAACAAAAATGGAATGAACTTTTAATCGATCATGATGAACGTGGCAATCAATTACGTTGGATACAATCAAGAAACGATACACCGATGACAAAATTATTATCATTAAATGGTCATTTTGATCGTATTGATTCACCAAAAATCAATCATTTTGAATATAGTCCAATGATATTTATAACGATCGATAAAATCATTGATTATATCGAACGGCAACAGCAACCACAAAATGACTGTATATCTGGCTGTATATTAATCTGTGATTATGGATTTGATAGTGATCATCAAATAGATCGTGATACATTTCGTGCATATTATCAACATAAACAATTAGATCCATTATTGAAACCGGGTATGGCTGATTTAACAGCTGATGTTGATTTTGCTGCAATTCGTCATTATGTTTCTGAACGGAATGTAAAGAAAAAAAATGTAAATATCAAATGTTTCGGTGCAATTGAACAGCGACAATTTCTAAGCCAAATGGGAATTGGATTTCGATTAAAGGTTTGTTGTTTGTCTTTTTTATTGTATTTAATTAATTTTATTTTTGTTTTTTTTTTGGGAAAAACACAGCAACTATTACAACAACAACAACAACAATCATTTAGCCATCAAGATAATAACAATACAGCTACTACTGTACAACGACAAAAAGAATTGATTAGTTCAGCACGAATATTAATGGATGAAATGGAAATGGGAATTAGATTTAAATTTATGGCAATTTTTATCAATGGTCAACAAATGGATGGCGATGATGATGAAAAACCGGTCGGATTTTGGTCAATGGATAAATCGAATGAATGAATGAATGAATGTGACTCATATGTGTATCAAAATCTATTTTTCTTTTTTCTTTTCACTTATTTGACTCTTTCTTCTAACACACACACACACACGCACACACTATTGTTGACTTTGTTTAATTTATTCGAAAAAAATTTTTTTTCTTTTCATTCATCATCATCATCATCATTATTTGTATGATAAATTTTTAAATAACTCTAGATGTGTGTGTGTGTGTGTGTGTGTGTGTTTTGAATGACTTTTGTCCATTTTTGTATGTGTGAATGGTCATCAAAGAGTAAGATAATAAGAATAATAATAAAAAAATAGATCAAATCCTCTTTGTGGACTTGATGTTGATGACGAGTTTTTTTCTTTCTTTCTTTCTTTCTTCACTACTGTTTTTTTTCCTACTGTTTATTTATTCAATTGTCATGATTTTGTTGGCTGATTGAATTGAATGAACGGAAATGAATGCATTGAATTATTCGGCTAACACAAAAAAGATTAGATTAGATTTGTATTTAATTTTCGAAAGAGAAAGAGAAGAGAGACGTTTGCATTGAAAGATTTTCATTTTTGTTCTAATTTTTTTAAAAAATTTCATTTACATAATTAAATTATGTAAATGAAAATTGATCGATCGATCGATTGATTGATTGATTGGATAGTGAATAAATAGGGTGAAAAATTTTTTAAATTTTTTTTTTTGCAAGAGAAAAAAAACAGCAATTATTAAGGGGGATAGGAACTGTAGAGGGCGCAAAAAAAACACATTTTTTGTTAAATGATTGCTCTTTAATGAAACGTCCGAAATTTTTGAAATTTACCTATTTAATTATTTAGGATTCCTAGAATAATTTAACATAAACAAAAAATAAAAAATATTTATACATCAATATGAAACAATCAGTTGAAAATCAGCTGTTCAAAAAGCATGGTCGGCGTGATATCTTAAGAACCGTAGCTCGGAATTTGATGAAATTTTCGGGAATTATGGACAGGATTAGTGGTTATCGTGAGTGACTAAATCGTTATATATCTCCAAGGAGAAGGGCATTTTTGGGCCAATTGAAACTTAGGGTTGAAAAATTAACAGTTTTTTTCTTCACATTCAGGCTAATATCCGCCATAATATCCGGTTGTGAGCCATGATTTAGTCACTCACGATAGCCGCTAATTCTGTCCATAATTCCTGAAAATTTCATCAAATTCTGAGCTACGGTTCTTAAGATATCACGCGGACCATGTTTTTTGTACAGCTGATTTTCAACTGATTGTTTCATATTGATGTATAAATATTTTTTATTTTTTGTTTATGTTAAATTATTCTAGGAACCCTAAATAATTACATAAGTAAGTTTCAAAAACTTTGGACGTTTCATTGAAGAGCAATCATTTAACAAAAAATGCGTTTTTTTTGCGCCCTCTACAGTTCCTATCCCCCTTAAAGCCAGAAAAATAGCCATAGATTGAATGAATGAATGAATGAAAAACCAGTTGATCATCATCATCATTATCATTATGAATGAAAGAAAAGAGAATGGAAGAATTTTTCTTTTCATTCTGATTGACTTTTGATGATGATGATATATGAATGAAGCATGGGCCATTGAATTTTCATTGAATTTTTTGCTTGTCAAACAATTGCCTTGCCCATTTTTAGCGTGTGTCCACTGTGTGTGTGTGTGTGTATGCTTTTATTAGCATCAATTTTTTTTCCCAGTCTTACTGGTTTTGTTATTTTACTTTTTTTTTACATACATGCATGAATACCAGATTTGAACACACATCATTTTATTCACATGGCCCCAATTAGATATGGAAATACATCATCATCATCATCATGTACACACCAGGATACAAAGATGCATGTATGTGTGTGTGTGTGTGTCGGCAAATGAACAACAAAAAAAAACACAACACAAACATATCTATTGAATATTGTGTGTTGTGTTGTGTTCTACATTTTGGATTTATTTTTTTTTTTTCACTACTATTTCTCATCATCATCATCATCATCAAAAATGATGTTCGTGAAAATCAAATTTGAATCCATTTTTTCTGCTTTATTACCGAACTTTTTTTTTGTTGATCAACAACAGAGAGAGAGAGAGAGAGAGAGAGAGAGGCAATGAAAACAAGTTTTCTTCATCATCATCATCATCATCAATGACCCTTAGCCAAATTAATTGACCAAAAAAACTTTTCGAGGTTTCGATTGATTTGTTTAGCCAGCTACCTTTTGCTATTTGATATTGGTTTTCTCATTTCAAGTTCCAATTTTATCATCATCATCATCGTTATTTGATCATGATTTCACACCTTTTTTTCAATATAAACCGTTCTTCCTTCTATTAATGACTAAGCTGAGTGTTCAAATGTTCAATTTATCATTATTGCGTAGATTTTTTGTTGTTGTTTTCCTTCATCATGATTCAATTCAAGGGTTCAATATGCTTTTCGAATTTTATTACCTTGTGTTTTGTTCATTCGTTCGTTCTTTCGTTGTTTTTTTTTCTTCGCCCAGCAAGGTCTTTTTCATACACACACACACACACACACACACACACATACACAATAACAATTACCTGCTACTACAAATGTACTGCTGTGCTTGTTGTTGAAAAAAAACCTGATCAAGCCAGTTATCAGTCTACCGTTTGTTCTGCGAAAAAATTAAAATAATTGATCACCAATCATTGGATTTCTTCAATATACTCTAATGGACACTGTGAGATCATTGTAGTGGTATTAATAAATGCAATCCATCCATGTAAGTTATGATGAAAAAAAATGGACCAAAATAAAAAAATAAGGTAAACCACCCTCTTGCACTCTTGCCAACGCCCCTAAGAAAATTGTTCATTTTTTTATCATTATTATCGTTCACGTTATTTTCTGTTGCACATGCACAAAACAATCAATTCGAGATTTCGATCAAGCGTCCACATAAACATACCACGCTTGTGTATACACTTTCAAGGAAGATCATACAAGTTCAACAAGTGTGTGTGTGTGTGTATAGTATGTGTGCATGGATGAAAAATATATTGCCATCAGTGTAAAACGACGAAGACGAAGACGACGACGACGAAGCTGGAATTCATGCACATTTGGCTATTTGGCAGCAACAACAAAAAAAGCCAAATGATTGGCAAAAAGCAACAAGTGTTGCCATCATCATCATCATCACGACAATAACAATAACAAAGTTTATTTCATATTTTGAAGAAAAAAAAACGAAAATTAATCGTTTAAAAATCATTAATTATATAAATATACATCCAATAAAAATGAAAATCCAATTTAAAAACAGATTTTCATTTTTTTTTCTATGACATTGTTCAAACTGTGACTAAACGATTCATTTCATTTTTTTTTTAAAAATGTATGCTATTCTTTCATATTCGATCATATACAATACAATCATCGATTGATCGATAATCATCAATCGACGACGAAGTCGTCGTCGTCGTTTTTTTCTTCTTTCAAATGATGCTTTCAACATGATCGTCATCGTCAAAAAAAAAATATTTTTAAAAATGAAGAAAAAAATTTTTTTTTCATTCAAAAATGATGACAACAACTATAGAGTGAAATGCAAAAACAGCAGCAGCAGCAGCTGATGATGATTATTATCATTAATCGATCGATCCTGTTTTGTCAATAAAATTGATCGATAAATTTCTTGAAATTTTTTTTTTCTTTTCATCATTTTTTTTTCATTCATTCATTCATTCTGTCAATCTGTGATTCAACAACAATAACGACAATAACGATGATTCATCATTTGCTCAATGAATAGCTTTGTGGTGTTTGTTTGGGATGCAATCATACATTCTTCAACAGTGAACATTGATCATATTGTTGTAATTTGAATAAATACAAAATGCTAACCAAAACGTTGAATGAATTTTGCTATAATCCATCGATTTTCATATTGAAATTGTGATAATTTCTGTCAGTGTATTTAATTTGTTTTCAGCTTAAAGATAAAATCATCATGTCTAATCAACAACAACAACAACAACAACAGAATTGTCGATGGGGTGAAGTCATATTACTGGATGGTCGTAGTGTTGAAATATTGATTCAGGTATTTTTGGTAAACAATTTGATTACCGATTGATTGCTTGACATTTCGATTTTTTTTCTCATTCTAAAAAACAAGCCACGTTTATTTGCTGGCGATCTTTTCGATATGGTTGCCACACATTTTGATTTGAAAGAAAAGGAATTTTTTGGTCTTGCATTTCTAGATGAAACGTATGTATTTGGTTTTGTGTTTTTTTTCGCTGATTAATTTTTTTTTTTCGTTCAATTTGAATCACTTACACTGTTCATATAGTGGTCAATATAATTGGTTGAATCTCGAAAAACGTGTATTGGAACATGAATATGCACAAAATCGTATTGTACCACCACGTGTTGTTCGGCAACAACGACAACATCAACAACTATCATCACAATCAACGACAAAATTATCAACAACAAAAATTACGAATAATCGTCATAATGTTAACTATCAACACCAACAACCAGAACAGATGATGATAAAATCGACAACAAAATTAAAACTGACAAAATCTAAATCACGATTACCAAATGTTAGTAAATTAAAGAGCTTAAAGAATAAAAATTTAAAACATTCAACGACCACAAAATCATCATCAAATTCAAATACATTAAATTCGTGTATATTTAGTTCTGTATCATCACCAAATTATGATCAACAAACATCAACGACGACACCGCCACCACCACCATTACCAATGGTGCCACCACCACAATTACCATTAATATTGGATACACCAGAAATGATTATTGTGAATCCATCAACAATAATTAAAACAAATATAACAAAAACATCATTAATGAATGATGATTATGATCAAAATCAAGATCCAGATCCCAATGATGATGATGATCCACTTTATGATGTTATAGTGAATTTGGATAAAAATCATCACCATCAACATATGAATAGCAATGATGATGATGATGATGATGATGATCGTGATATGCAAAATAATTGCCATAATCATCATAATGGTGATGTAAATAATGATGATGATGATTTTGATGACAATAGTGATCATCATGATTATGATTTAAATGACAAAAACAATGATAATAATAATTTTCATCATCATCATCATCATAATATTAATGGATCGATACCGGCAATCGATTTATTGGAAAATGATTATTATGATTATGATTATGAAGATGATGATGATGATGATGATCAACAACAACAAGATAACCATGATGATGATGGTGATTATTGTGATCATCTAGTGCTTTATTTTCTTGTCAAGTAAGTCATGATAATAGTCATAGTGACCATAGCATGTATTATTTTTTTTTCTTCCATAAAATTTTCATATATACAGATATTTTGTTGAATCAATCACAATGTTACAGGATGTGAATACAATCGAATTGTTCTATCTACAGGCCAAATCATTATTGATTAATGTAAGTTTGATTTCCATATTGCTTATTTTGAATCATATAATTGAATATATATTAACTGTGGAGAAACAGTGAAAAAAATCCTGTGAAATCTTAAATAGCCAACGCCTTTTAAATTCAATATATAACATTGAATGTTGACTCTTTCCGTTTGTGTGGGTGTATAGGAGTGTGTGTGTTTCATCGATTCATTCCTTCGATTTTTTTTACAACAAAAAAAATGTTCTTTGTTGTTGTCTGAGAAAGAAAAAAAAATATGAAAATTTTTTTCGTTATTATCATCATCATCATCGAATGGCTGGCCAAACCTTTTGTATAACAACGCCTACACGCTAGAAAACATGAAAATATTCACAGATTTCATCATCATCATCATCATCATGATTAAAAATAGGAAACAAAAACTCTGTATACGCGTGTGTGTGTGTGTGTGTTTAAGACTTTTACTTTTTTTACATTGTCTATCCATTCATTCATTCATTGATTGATTGATTGAGAATGACCAAACATGTATGCTTTTTTTGTGTGTGTGTGTGTATGTCGTCACAATCATTCAAGCTTTTTTTCAAGAAAAAAAAAGAAGATAAATAAACAACGAAATATAAATAGATCCATAAGAATAAAGATACACACACACACTAATTATTATTATTAACAAACGGATGAAATTGAGGTGTTGGTGTTGGTGGTGGTGATGACCAATGATGATGATGATGATGATAATGATAATGATTGGCCCATTTTGATGCCTATCTAATCCATACCATCATTGTATCCATTATTTATTTTGGCCACATTTTTCTTTCTCTTCTCTTTTTTTTTGACTTTCTTTTGAATGATAATATATGATGATGATGAATTCTACCACAACAATAATCGTGCAGTTCATTTTTCGTCTCTTTTCGTTCCGTTTTCGTTCCGTTGTTGTTGTTGTTGTTGTTGTTGATGTTGTGTTCATCTCACCCTTATTAAAATGAAAATGGGGAAAAAAACAAAACAAAATTCAGATAATAATCACATTGCTAACCATCATCATGATAATGATGAGCCAGGCCAGCCTGCCTGCCATCAAGCAAGCAAATAATCCATATGCATCTCTAACATCGATACTGATCGTTGATTGATAAAAAAAACAAAACAAAACAAAGATGATATGTGTGTATGTTAACATACAATGAAAAAGATGGATAGCGAAAAAAAACCCGAATTTCATTGAAAAAAAAGAAAGAGAAATGAATGAATGAAAAAAAAAGTTTATTGTTAACCATACACACACACACACACACACGCATGACTATAGTCAACAAGTGAATGTTTGCCATAATAATAATGAAAAAACAAAAAAAAAAATCTTCACCATCAACAGCTCATCAAATTCAATTGATCAATTCAAAATCAAATCGATAACAACAACAACAACAACAAGTGTTCCAGGAACGATAACACAATTTGGTTGATTTTTTTTTAAATTTATTTTGTATGTGTTGTGATTTATGTCTTGTGTTATTTTTTTTCTCTACAAACTAATTTACAAATTGACACCACTATTGAAATCAATCAGCATTTTTTTTTGATGCTGATGATGATTGATTTATAAATGTCAATGTTGAACGTGTTTTTGTATGCGTGTGTGTGTGTGTGTGTGGTTGTAATAAATCTGTTTTGATGTGATGTGATAAAATGTAAACGAATGAATGAATGAATGAATGAAAAAGAAGTGGCAATCTTATAAACTAATCAAACAAACAAACAAAAAATTTTGTTTTGTTTTGTTTTGTTTGCATTTCTGATTTTCAACACACATTATTTTATTTTGTCATCGTTTTGTATATTTATATACATATTTCTCTTCTTTTTACTCTTCGTCTATGTCTATGTGTTTATTTGATAAATTTTTTTCATTTTGATTTTCCGATTGATTTGACTGATTGTATGTGTGTGTGTGTGTTTTGTTTGATTATGATGATGATGATGATGATATTACAACAGGGCGTGTTTGCATTGATTTTGTTGCTGTGATGATGATGATGATGATATCCTCATTAGTTTTTCAATAATAATAATAATATAAATTGTGTGTCAGCTATAACATCGTTTCACATTTTGATTGTTGATTGAGAAGAAGAAGAAGAAGAAACTTGTGGAAAAAAAAATAATTTTCTTTTCTTTATGTACAACAAAATAGGAAATTGTTCAAGTTGATCTCGAAACTGGATTAAAATTATCTGCATTAATATTACAAACAACATTTGGTGATTATAATAAGTATGTGTTTTGTTTTTTGTTTTTTGTTCGATTTGGATCGATTGATTTTTACTGTTTGTTTGTTTGTTTGTTTGTTTTTTTTAAACATGAAAAAATAAAGTTTCAATGAAATTAAATCCCGTAATCGTATACATCGTCTTCGATTGATCTCATCGAATTTATTGGATGAATATACATCTTATTCAATATGGTAAGTTTGGTTTGTTTGCATAATTAAATACCAATAATATAAAATATACAAAATGCCAATAGTCATCATCACGATCATTGAATATTTATATTGATAGCTAAAAATAGTCATTTTGAAACCAAAAAAAAAAAAAAAAAAAACACGAAGGGAAATGAAAAAAAATTTTATACGAATCGTCATGTTATTTTTGTATATATATTACATAAACACACGATGATGATGATTTATTTTTTGAATAAATTTTCATTAATTTAATTTAATTTTTTGTTTGTTTGTTTGTTTGTTTGTTGTTTGATTGTTGTTTTTCATCAATCACAACAGTGAAGATTGTATTATTGATGAATATAGAAAATTATCCGGCATTTCATATGGTGAATCAATATTTTTATTCATGTGTTTGATTGAAAAACAACCAACATATGGTGTTCATTTCTATGAGGTTAAAGTAAGTTATGCGTGTTTTCGTTTTTGTTCTGTCTTGTGGACTAATTTGATTTTTATATTTGGTTTTCTTAAAGGATAAATCAAATCAACCATATTGGCTTGGTTTATCATTCAAAGGTATTGATCAATTTAGCCATAATGATCGCCGTATACCATTGAAACAATTTTCATGGAAACAATTGGAAAATTTATATTTTCGTGAATGTAAATTTTCTATCGAAGTTCGTGATCTTAAACGGTAATTTCCCTCGTTTTTTTTCTCTGATTAAGAATAAAAACGTTGTTTCTATTTTCATCCATTCATTTGTTTGTTTGTTTATTTCTATCTAGTGTTGTACATACATTAAGTTCAATCAATCTTTATGAGAATGCAATTGAAGATCCGGATTTATTTGACGATTTATCCACAGCAATCTGTGATCCAACTACACAGTATGTTTTTTTTCTGATGAATTTTTTTTTTTTTTTTTTGACTGAAAAATAAACTTAAACTTTTTCAGAGTATCTGTAAGTCGTCGTACATTTGGTCCATGTAATGTGACTGTGTTTGTTTGGTTTGCATCAACATCATCGCTAACAAAATGTATCTGGTCTATGGCCATATCACAACATCAATTCTATATTGATCGCCGGATTAACAAGGTAATAAATATATATGAACAAAACAATCTTTTCCCCAACTTTTCAAAATTTTATTTTTAGTCAATAAAACATCAACGTGATAAAGATGAAATCATTCGATGTTTGAATGATAATCGAAAACAACAGCAACAACAACAACAACAACAACAACGAAATAGCTATAGTAGTGGTAATAGTATACGAAATTCATTATATTCAACTTCATCATCCATTGAACCGATGAATCAACAACAACAACAACGTTCATCAACAACATCGATTCCATCATCAATTAAATCGACAAATTCATTGATAAATTATTATCCACCACCACAACCACCATCATCATCATTAACATTACCACGTAATGTATCATTAGGATTTAATAATCATCATCAACGGCAACATCAACATTATCATCATCATCGTCCAAGAACAAATACTACAACAGCATCACAACAACAGAATCAGCAACAACAGAATAAATCATCATCATTGATCTCATTGAATCATATTATCATGCAACAAGATACGGGATATCCATTAGAATCGATAAATAATCAACGAAATTCTCAGACAACAATATTAACTACCAATCAACAACAACAACAAAGAATGGCCACAGCAATGCAATTGAATCGGCAGCAACCATTTCGACATTCAACATCAACATCAAGTATAAATAAAATGTCAACGCCAACAACAGCCATTTATCGTGGTTCAATGAAAAATAATAGTCATGGTGGTCAATCATCACGATCAATAAATCGATTAAGACAATTGCAGCTACAATTACAAAATAAATTGGATGAATTGAATCATTTAGACATTATGGAACAACAAATACTTTCAAAGGCAGCTATTATCAATAATAATCAAATGTCACAACCACATGAATCAATGATAAATGATACAAGTTCAATAATGACATCATTGTCTTTGAATTCATCCAGTAGTTCGAATAGTTCATCATCAACAAATATTGATCATCATCATCATCATCATCGTCATCAACATTTTAATAATAAAAATCGTGGATCAATAGCTTCATCATCGACAACATCATCATCAATGTTTAATAACAATAACAATGTGATTAAGGCACCAAATTCATTGAAAAATTTTTTCGTCACTGGTCGCGCTTCAAGTTCATTATCATCGAATGCAGCACAACAAAATTATCATCATCAATCATTATCATCATCGTCAAATGTTGTAGCCAATACGAACAATATGGCTAATCATCATCATCCACAACAACATAGAGAAAGTCGATCACCATTAATGAATTATCATCATCATCATCATCAAACTCAACAGCCAATAATTGGTGTACAACAACATCAACGTAGCAAATCGGTTGGTGTTAGTTCAAGATTTAGGAATTTCGATCATCATGATGATAATGATGGCCAATCTGTTGGTGATGCAAAATCATCAAAATTTTTATTGGCGCCGCCTATATTACAATCAAATCATCAATTACCACCAATGATACCAACTACAACCACTACCACTACCGCTACTGCAATACGAACAAATCAATCGAAACAACAACAACAACAACAACAACAGCAGCAATCATCATCATCATTATTATTTAGTTCACCATATGTAAATAAATATGATACATCCGTAAAGAATTTATTAAATTCAAATGAACTTTCAAATCTTTATTCTGTGCCAAATCGACGAACATCGGTTGCATTAAATAGTCTTGATGATACAGCAATATTGATGAATCAATCACGATCATCATCATCAACAACGACAACAGCATCGAATATTCCATCAATTAAAGCGAATAACTTTTCCATCATAACATCAACAGTAACATCGTCGACAAATTCATTAACATATTCAAAAATAACGTATCATATGGAAAATAATTCAACAGCGACGACGACCACAAATACAACCGATGATTTTATTGAATCAAGTGTTGATTCAATAGGCGGCTTATCAATCAATAATGAAACCAATAAAAAAATACGACAACGTTATCGTAGTATTGATGAAGAAAATCTTGCCAATTATAGATCATTTTTATTATCACGCCACAATAGTTCTGGATCAAATCGATCATCATCATCTTCATCGACATCATCATCATCGACGACGGCGACAAAGACATCGAAATCATCATCATCGTCATCATCGACAAAATCATCATCAATCAAACAAATGGCCAATAATAATTTTGATGATAATCATCGTATCAATCATCGATTATTAATTCCTGAATCAGAATCAAATTATGTAAATCTGGAATCAAAAATGATGCCATTATCGACATCTGGTGGTCAATATTTGAACATTATTAATAATAATTCAGATTATGTAAATTTAATAATGCCAAGAAATTCATTATCATCATCATCATCATCTGCGGCAGCAGCGAATATTCAATCGCAAAATCATATTTATCAGAATTCACAGAATTTACTTTCATCAATAAAACAGGTAACAACATCAATATCACCACCAATGAGACGATCGCAACCACCAAAAACATGGTATGAAACGGATTTAGATTTTCATCATCATCAAATGAAATTTTCAAAACCGCAACAACAACAACAACAATCATCATCATCATCAATTTATAAACCAATCATAAGGCCATCAAATGATCTAGTCTTTAATAATTTTATCAAAAATGAAAATTGTGATGATGAAAATTCATCGAAAACAATTTATCATCCAATACATTTAGTGACAACAACAATGACCGATGATAATGATGATGAAAAAAATGAAAATGATAATCAACATCAACAACAACAACAATTATCATCAATGATGAATAATAAATTAAATTTAAATTCACCAACTGCACCATCGAATGATATAACCAAATCATCATCATTAATGCTTAATCATCATAATAATCATAAACAACAACAACAACAACAACAGCCGGAACATGGATCAATATGTTTATATTCGAATTTACCATTGCCACAACAACAACAACAACAGCAACAACCACCGCCACTACCACCAACGAATCAATTATCAAGAATTTCAAATGGAATCATCGATCATGGTTCATCATCATCATCATCATCCTCGTCATCATCATCGACAATAAACGATAATGAAATAACAACAACAACGATAAAAACATTACCACGTCCAGTACAGGCATTATCACCAATTTGTACTGTTGCATTTATACCGGCCATTTCACCACAACAACAACATGATGTAATGATTACGACAATGGCAAATTCATCAAATACGGATATTTCGAAATCAACAGCAGCAACTACAACAACAACAACATCCACCACCACCACCAACAACAACAACAACATCACTGAAATACCAATAACATCGACATGCAAAGGTAATATTGTTGAAGTTGATGTTGTTACTGTTGGTCATTTTCAACCTGGTTATGAAGAAACAAAACCATTTACAATGTCTGATTTTTATAAATATAGTCAACGTTATCGTCAATCACAACAGCAAAAACATCAACAACAACCACAACAACAACCACACCAACAACAACAACAACAACAACCACAACAATATGATAATGTATCAATCGATGATAATCATGTGGAAAATTCAATTACCAATCAATCATCTACAATCAATAATAATGATGATAATAATAATAATGTTGTAACCACGATGGTGTATTCTTAAAATTTTATTTATTTATAAATTTTCAATAAAAAAAAACTTTTTTGGAAAAATAAAATCAGAAAAATTTTCTGGAAAAAAAAAATTTTTTGTTCCGTTTTTTAATTTAACGACCACCATATCCATTCACCATATCACGTGTGAATCACATTCTGAATCGTTTTGTTGTGAACAGAAACACACGTTGATTAATTTATGGCCTGGCCATATCATTATCATCACCATCATCATCATCATCATCAATAACAAAAACTTTGACTTTGATGATGAATGGCTAATGTTAAGCAAGTGATTCAATGTTTGTTTTTGTCATGTGTGAGATGTATGTATGTAATTTTTTTTTTTTTTTTTTTGGTTTTAGCAGCCGTGGATATGTCAATTTTTTTTTGTTTTCTCATTTATTTGTTTGTTTGGTTGATTATGATGTAAAAAAAAATTTTGTTTTCTCAAAATTTAATTTTTTTTTTTTTTTTTTGGATTGAGGTGATTACCATCACTCACTCACACATGCACTTACACACGCGGCCGGTAAGTTTTTGGGTAGCTTTAATAACCAAAAAAAAAATACGTCAGTGAATCCACCATCAAAATCAATCAATCAATCATCACCATCATCGTCATCATCATCATCATTATGAGAATAGAAAAAATCGTCATTGAAAAACATGCATTTATTAGTAGAAAATATGAAAATCAATTTCGTGGAAAATGAAGAAGAAGAAGAAGAAGAAAATGAAGCCCCATTCTCTCTTACAGTGGGGGAAGAAAAAAAATTCATCGATTCATCGATTGATTCATTCATCATCATGATGATGTTTAAACAAAACAAAAAAAAAATTTCTTTTTCGATTTTTATGGAAGGACATCCAGGTACACATATGACATTTATTTCATTCAACGAAAAAAAAACCACTTGTTGATTTATCATTTCAACGTACTACTACTATTGGTGCCACCACCACTACTACTACCGCCACTACTACAAGAAAACAAACAAAATTCTTAAATTTTAAAATTCAAATTCAAAAAAACAAAACAAAACAAAACATTTCTTATAACTTCCACTATATAAAGAGATTCTTAACTTTTTGTTTCTGCTTATTAAATGTTAATTATTTTTATTTTATTTTTTTTTTGATCATCGATCGATGAAAATGAGCAAATGAAAACAAAAATTTTTTTTAATCATTCGACCATCACATACATTTTTTTTTCATCATCATCCAACAAAAATACGAAACAAGAAAACGAATGGCAAACAAACAGAAAAAAAAATTTATTCATCCATCAAGGATATCCATCATCATCATCACCACTACTACCATCATTATCGATGGCCATCATCATTATCAGTGATCGCATGGCAGCCGCTACTACGACTACGACAGCAACTAATATAATCTTTTAATGGCGACAGCGACAGCGAACAACGACAACGACAACGACGATGAAAATGTAAAATCGAAAAAAAAACAAAAACAAAACATCAGCCAAAAAAACAGATTATAATTTATGTGAAACTATCAATAATGTTGTTGTTGATGATGATGAAAGTGAGAGAGTGAGAGAAAAGGGAAGAATCCCGAAAAAAAAACAAAATGTGAAAACATCAAATCGAATCGAATTTATAAATTTTCAATCGAGATTCTTTTTTTTTCTCACACACACACACATACACACATTTTTATTTATTAGCAATCGATTAAAGAAGAAAATTCTAAAAAAAAAAATTTCACTCTCTGTCGTTCACTGTTGCTCATCCATCGTGTTTTTTTTTTTTTTTTTGTTTTGTTTTCAATCATCATCATCATCATGAAGTTTATTTATTTATTTTGAAATTTTTTTTTCTATTTCAATTCTGTGTCTCAACATTCAAAACTTTCAATCTGGTGTCTGTGTGCGATTAGCGAAAAAAAAAAACACACACATACAAGAGGAAATTTTCGATAACATGATCATCGTCATCATCATCAAATTCAATGTTTGAACATCATTTCCATCTATCCATCTATTTTTCGCCACATTTTCATCGATTAGATTTTAATAATTTTCCAGTAGAAAAAAAAATTCCCGAATCATTTTTGTGTCTTGTGACAATCGATTCAATCGATCGATTGATTATTAGTATTCTGTTCATCATCATCATAATATATAATCATGTGCAAATATTTTATATATCATCATGATGAAAATTTTTTTTGAGAAAATTTCCATTTTTCGTTTTATTCACTGTTAAATTATACACAAAATTTAATTTGATGTGTGTTGCATAATTATTATTTTGATGATTATGATGATAAAATATCCAATGAAATGGGAAATTTTACATTTTTTTTTCTTTCATACTTTTTACCTCAAAATTCTTATTATGGTAAGTGTGTTTCTTGTAGATTTTCTTCTTCTTCTTTTTTTTGCGATCGTAAACCAAAACAAAGTTTTGGTTTTTATTTACAACAAATTGATGTGTAAACACATGCAATCAAATTTGATCAATCAATCAAACACAACAATGTAATTATTATTATCAACTTATCAATTTTTTGTTTTGTAATGAAATGACATTTTTTTGTTGTTGTTGTTCTGTCATAACAACAACCAGCTCAAATAAATAAAGAAATCGGTTCTGTTGTTTTATTGTGATTCACTGGGACAACAACAGGTGAATTTTTCTATTTGTTTTGATTGTTGTTGTTGTTGTTGTTGTTACCGATCGATCGATCAATCAATCAATTTTTCGTTTGTTTGTTTTTATTATATATTAGATTAATTTTCTTGAAGCAACAGGTAATGTTTCCATTGTTATATTTTATTATTTTTTTCGTTTTTAAAATAAACTTCACATTATCGGCAACAACAGCAACAATGAAATTAATATATAAATCGATTCGATTTGATTGTTTCATTGTTTGAATGATGAGAAATGAAATATGTCAACAGATTGAAAATAAGAATGAAGAAGAAAAAAAATCTTGACATCTTCATCAATAAATGATTGACATTTTATTTCACTGTCAAAATTTTCTTTTAAACATCATCGAGATCAGCATTTTTTTTTGTATAACAATCACACACACACACGTACACACTGAAAAAAAAGAAATGTGTACGACAGTCATCTCCAAATGCAAACACAAACACACACACAAAATTATTGAAAATTTTACCTTTGAAATTTAAATTCAAAAAAAATCAACCAAATAGCAAAAGAAAAAAAAATTTCATCATCATCCAATGCGCAACAAGTGCCATTCTCAATCATTCATTGTGTTTTGCTTTTACATTTGACAAATTCATCATCATCATCAATTCATTTCTGACATTTTTTTTTTGTTCGTTTAAATTCGTCCATCAAATTTTTTCATTATTATCGGTTGTAATGATGATGGTGTGCATGTTGGTGTTGGTGGTGGTGGTCGCCGTCTATCAATTTCATAAATTTTTTTTTTGTTGTTGCTATCACTATACATGTATGTGAGTGCGTGTTTTTTTTTTTGGTTCTGTTATGCTTTGTTTCATTTTGCCATTTTGCGATATAGAATATTTATCTATCAAAGAAGAGAAGAAAAAAAAAATTGTGACAAAATTGATTTCAATTTTCTGTGTATATGTGTGTGAATGTGTGATTAGTGTGTATACGCCATTCAATTTGACTTGTTGCAGTTCACAGTGTTGTTGTTGTTTTTTTTCTACCGGATGATTATTTTTTTTTCTTTTTATTTTCATTCAATCTACTCTGTTTGAATGATGATGATGATGACTATTCAATGATGATAATGATTTGGTTGTTTTTTTCCCTCTGTTTTCACATCATCATCATCATCATCATTGCATTGCATTGCATTGTTTTTTATCATTGGTTACCAATTTCATTCAATAGCTGATTTGGATGTTTCGTTTTTTTTTGTTTGTTTGTTTGTTTTCGTTTGTTTTGACTGAATTTGTTTTTCTGTTTTTTATCATCAAATTTCGTTAATCTCTTAGCCATCGTTGATGTTTATCATCATATCGTTATCATCATTTTCATATTTATTTTTTTTTTTTGGTTCAAATTTTTCACTTTTTTTGTTTGTGTTTTATCAATTTTCTTATTTTTTATTTCATTTCATTTTTTTTTCATTTTAGCATCTGTGATTCATGATCGATGGAATTTATTGAAACGTGTGTGTATGTGTGTGCATGGTACAAAAATGCAATAATTTCGATTCGCTAAAGAAATAATTATGTTCATGTTCATCTAGTCGTGGAATTGAACAACGACAAAAAAAAAAATCAACAACAACCACCATATCATTATCAAATTTTTTTTTCATTCACTTCTTTTTTTGCAATTCCATAGAAAAACAAACAAAGACCAAAAAAAAGAAGAGAAAAAGAAAATGTGTGAAAATACAACATTCTTACAGGTGGGCGATATGATATCGCTTTATGCCGAAGGAAATGTTTGCGGTTTTCTTTCAACACTCGGGTAAGTTTCTGATGCAACGACAAAAAAAAGAGAGAAACAAAACAAAAACATTTTCGATTCATACAGTCAATTTATTGTCATTGAGAAAAAAATCATCAGAACAAATTTTCCATAACATTCCATTCCGTTAATCATGAGTAGCAACTAAATTAAAATGATGCAAAAGTTTAGCAGTAATTTTTTTTTTGTGCATAGATCATTGAACACACACACACAGTGTACACATTCATTTTGTTTGGCAATTTTTTTTTATATAAACTTTTCTCTTTTCTTTCTTCATTTTTTCATAAACAAAAATTCAATTCAAGTTTGGTTGATGATCGTTGCGTTATACAACCAGAATCGGGTAATCCACAATCGCCGCCAAAAAAATTTCGTGATTGTCTTTTCAAAATAAGTCCAATGAATCGTTATTCTGCGCAGAAACAATTCTTGAAAGCAGCTAAACAATCGGCAACTAGTGCTAGTGATGCTGTTTTATTGAAAAAATTACATGTAATTATTATACAATTTTTTTTTGCAATTAATTTCATTTAATTATATAATTATTATTATTATCATTATTAGCATGCTGCCGAATTGGAAAAGAAACAAAATGAAACTGAAAATCGTAAATTAATGGGCACCATCATACAATATGGTGCTGTCATACAATTATTACATCTAAAATCGAATAAATTTCTTACCGTCAATAAACGTTTACCAGCATTGTTGGAAAAAAATTCAATGCGCGTATATCTTGATTCTAATGGCAATGAAGGTTCATGGTTTTATATTGTACCATTCTATAAATTACGTTCAACCGGTGATAATGTTGTTGTTGGCGATAAAGTTGTATTGACACCGGTGAATGCTGGCCAACCATTGCATGCAAGTAATTATGATTTACCGGATAATCCTGGCTGTAAAGAAGTGAATGCCATTAATTGTGATACATGTTGGAAAATATCATTGTTTCTTGATTGTAAAGAAAATATTGACGATGTATTGAAAGCAAGTGATGTTGTACGATTATTTCATGCTGAACAGGAAAAATTTCTTACAATGGATGATTATAAAAATCAACAATACGTTTTTCTACGTTCAACTGGCCGTATGACAGCAACGGCGGCAACAAGTTCAAAAGCATTATGGGAAGTTGAAGTTGTACAACAGGATCCATGTCGTGGTGGTGCTGGACATTGGAATTCATTGTTTCGTTTTAAACATTTGGCCACTGGTCAATATTTGGCCGCCGAAATCGATGATGATGATACATATGATTCAATGCGTTCCAAATTACAGGGCAATGGGCCAGTTTATCAACTAGTCTCTGTACCAGCTAATTATGATATAGCCAGTATATTTGAATTAGATGCAACAACATTAACACGTACAGATGATTTGGTTCCACAAAATTCGTATGTACGTATGCGTCATGTTTGTACGAATACATGGATACATTCAACAACTATACCGATTGATCGTGATGAAGAACGACCAGTAATGTCAAAAGTTGGTTGTGCACAAATACGTGAAGATAAAGAAGCGTTTGCCATTGTACCGGTTTCACCAACAGAAGTTCGTGATTTGGATTTCGTAAATGATGCTTGTTTCGTCCTAACACAGATTTCAAAGAAAATGGAAGCCAAAACTATAGCACAAAATGATAGAAAATTATTAATACAATTATTACAAGATATCATTTATTTTATTGCCAATCTTGAAAATGAACCAAATCGTGCCGGACCATTTGAATTGACACCAACATATACGAATAGAGAACGGCAAAAATTATTACGTGAACAAAATATTCTGAAACAATTATTCAAAATTCTTCAAGCACCATTTATTGACAGTGCAGACACAACGGGTACATTACTGAAAATGGATGAACTAAATGATTCACGTAATGCATCATATAAACAGATTTTTCGCCTCTGTTATCGTGTATTACGTTTATCGCAACATGATTATCGTAAAAATCAAGAATATATCGCTAAATGGTTTGGTTTTATGCAAAAACAAATCGGTTATGATGTTCTAGCCGAAGATACGATAACAGCATTATTGCATTCAAATCGTAAACTGTTGGAACAACATATTACTGCAAATGAAATTGAAACATTCATATCGTTGGTGCGAAAAAATCGTGAATCTCGTTTTTAGACTATCTATCTGATCTGTGTATATCGAAAAAAGTTGCCATCCCCATAACACAAGAATTGATTTGTAAAACGGTATTAGCTGCAAAAAATTCTGACATACTAATACAAACACGGCTGGTAAAAACATCGGTTGAAGTAGAATTAGAAATGGAAAATAATTGTGGTGAAATTGTGCCAATAATAACGACAGAAGAAGAAGAAGAAGTCATACTGATATGGGATAATGGTAAACAAACCAGATCGATACGTGAATTATCATATAGCGCACGTGATGGTAATCAAGATGATCGTAATCTATTAGAATATTATCGCCATCAACTTGATCTTTTTAGTAATATGTGTTTGGATAGACAATATTTAGCCATCGATAATCTGTCACCACATTTAGATGTGGAATTAATACAAAAATGTATGTCAGATGAAGCATTACCATATGATTTACGTGCATCATTTTGTCGTCTAATGTTACATATGCATGTTGATCGTGATCCACAGGAACAAATAACACCAGTAAAATATGCAAGATTATGGTCAGAGATACCGAAAAATCTTTCCATACAAGATTATGACCGTAATAAACGTGAATCAGATGTAGCGATGAAAGAAACAGTGAAACGTAAATTAAGTTCAACAATGAGTTTTGTTGAAGATTATCTTTGCAATGTTGTTAGTCATGAATGGTCATTTATGGATCGTGAACAGAATAAATTAACATATGAAGTGGTGAAATTGGCACGAAAATTAATCTATTTTGGTTTCTATAATTTTAGTGATTTATTACGATTAACCAAGACATTATTGAATATTTTGGATTGTACATCTGATGGTGGTGGTGGTGGTGGTGGTGTTACAGGTGGCGCTGTTTCTGCTACTACAAATACTAGTACAACTACTACTAGTGTCACTACTGCTACTAATGGTACAAATGATGATTTGAATATGAAAATCACCAATAATAATAATAGATTGAAAATAGCCAATGGATCTTCTAATAATAATCATTCAAATTCGAATGATTTACGTCCAAAAGAATCCAAAAGTGGCTTCATACGAAGAACATTGAAAAAACGTATTTCATCATTAATACAACAAAATCAATATGGTGATGGTACATTAACTATCACCGATGAACAAATGATTAAACAATTGAATTCAATGTTAGAAAGTGAAGATGATGTAGTGAATGTGGCGGAAATTTTAGAATCTAATAATAATCAACAATCATCACCTGTTGATTGTTCGATATCATCGAGGAAATCATCATTAATTAGTAGTTTATCTAATGATTCAGCTACAATGAACAATAATAATAATGTTACGCAATTAAAATCGACAAAAACAGCAACAACAACAACAACAAGAACAACAGCGGCGGCGGGAAATTTATCATCATCGGCAACAACAAATGTAACAACGGCAAATAATAATCGAAATAGATTATTAATGATGGATACATTAGTTATGGATACAAAATTGAAAATTATTGAAATTTTACAATTCATTTTAAATGTTCGTATGGATTATCGTATTACAGGTTTATTATCCATATTTAAAAATGAAATCGATATGAGCCATCATAAGATTACTACAGCATTATTGAATAATAATGGTAGTGGTACAACGTCGACAACAACAGCGACAATCAACAATGGTGGTGGTGGTGGTGGTGGCAATTGCACTATTAATCGTGATAATCATCATTGGGAAAATATTCATCAGAATCAATCATCGACAAATGGAAATAAAATCGATAATGATCATAATGGACAATCAAATAACGTATCAATTGGTGATCGTGGATTAGATCTGGATCGTATCGCACAACAAGCTGAACAGATATTTGGTGATGAAATCGACCTGGACGGTATGGGTGGTTGTACATTTTTACGTGTTCTTGTCCATCTTACAATGCATGAATATCAACCATTGGTTAGCGAAGCATTGCATTTATTGTTTCGTCATTTTTCTCAACGACAAGAAGTATTGCAATCATTTCGCCAAGTACAACTGTTGGTGTCAACGAATGATGTTGAAAATTATAAACAAATCAAATCTGATCTGGATCAATTTCGATTGATTGTTGAAAAATCTGAATTATGGGTATATAAATCGACAAAAAATCTGGATGAACATGACTTACGATTGCCAATACCGTCATTATCATTGCAACAACAACAACAACAGCCACCATCAATCATATTTGGTGGTAGTAATGGCCAATCATCATCACAAACAGCATTGAATAATTTGACAAATAACGACAACATAGGTGGTGGCGCTAATTTCAATAATAAATCAACACCAAATTCATCATTAAAATTGAATACATTAGGCTATTCAATGAATGATGATGATTATCATCACCATCATCATCATCATCATCAATCATCATCATCATCATCACAACAACAACAAAATCATAATAAAAAGCAATCAACACCGTCAATGTTATCGAATCATCATTTACAAGCACCACAACAACAAATATCGACAATATCAATATCATTACCGGCATCACCATCAATGTATAATAAGAATCATTATAATGATTCTTTGTTATTACATCGTAATGAATCACAATTTGTTTCATCATTATCGGCATTATTGAATCAACAACAAGAAATTCAACAACAAAATGAATGTGGCCAGCATTCATTTATAAATTATGAGACGATAAAAAAAATTCTACAACGTTTAACTAGGCTTTGTGTACAGGAATCTAGCGGCCTAAGTCAAGAACGTAAAGCACGAAAACATGAACAACGACTGTTGCGTAATATGAGTGCACATATTGTCGTGTTGGAATTATTACGTATTCCATATGATAAAAAAGATATTCGTATGGACGAGGTGATGAAAATGGCGCATGAATTTCTACAACATTTTTGCCTTTCAAATCATCAGAATCAATCGATTCTTGAGAAACATTTGGATCTTTTTATGACACCTGGGGTAAGTGTAATTATTATATATTTTCATTGTTTCGATTAATTTATTGATCATGAATAGATTCTTGAAGCAAAAACAATGTGTGCAATTTACAAGGATAATATTGCCCTTTGTAATGAAATTAGTGAACGTGTTGTGCAACATTTTGTACATTGTATCGAAACAAATGGACGTCATGTACAATATTTAAAATTTCTACGAACAATTGTCAAAGCCGAAGGACAAGTTGTGCGAAAATGTCAAAATTTTGTCATGCAAGAATTAATAAATGCCGGTGATGATGTATTGGTATTCTATAATGATCGTTCTAGTTTTCAATCATTAGTTGAAATGATGCGTTCTGAACGCCATCAATTGGATGAAGTTGGTCCATTACATTATCATATAAATTTGGTGAAATTATTGGCAAGCTGTACTGAAGGTAAAAATGCATTCACCGAAGTTAAATGTCATTCATTATTATCATTGGATGATATATTGGATGTTGTACAGCACGAAGATTGTATACCACAAGTGAAAGAAGCATATATTGATTTTTTAGCACATTGTTTTATTGACACCGAAATGGAAATGAAAGAAATTTATACATCAAATCATATATGGACATTGTTGGAAAATTTTCTCATCGATATTGGCACCGTTTGTAATTCAACACATGATCGTAATCATGCTGATTATGCGCTCAATAATTATGTTACAAATTCAATTATTAATTTGATTACAATATTTTTCAATTCACCATTCAGTGATCAAAGTTCAATTGTACAGGTTTGATTATATTCGATTTTTTTTGTCGATATTTTTTCGCTAATCAAAAAAAAATTCATTTTACCCATTAGACACATCAGCCAGTTTTTGTCAAAACATTGCAAAGTATATTTCGTTTAAGCACCTGTACATGGCTTACATTACCACAACGTATAAATGTTGAAAATTGTCTACGTACATTGGTGGATATATCGAAAAATCGTGGTATAGCCATACCGAATGAATTGGAAACACAGGTGTTGAATATGTTTCAGAAACAAATGTCCATAACGAAAAATTCCCGTGTATGGTTATCGGCTGCACGTTCAGTCGGTATGACCAGTAGTGGTGGTGGTAATACACGTTATATGTTTGGTTATGATTTAGCAAAACTGTATCCACAATCAATTACTGCTGCTACTTCGTCATCATCATCAACAACAAATCATGCACGTATAAAAAATTCTACATCATCATCATCAACAGCAACAACAGCAGCAGCAACACGTACAAATAATGATCGATCAATTATTGATGCATTTCAAGATATTGTAACATTATTAGAAGATCAATTACGGCCATTAGTTATGGCTGAATTATCTGTACTGGTCGATGTATTCTATAAACCGGAAACATTATTTCCATACAATTCGAATGCCAAAAAAATCTGTGATAATGGTGGTTTTATTTGTAAACTAATTAAACATACGGAAAAATTAGAATTAATGGAAGAAAAAGATGAAAAACTTTGCATAAAAGTATTGCAAACATTAAAAGAAATGATGCATGTGGATCCAAATTTTGATGAACGTGGTGAAGAATTACGTAAAACATTGTTGGATCGTTATCTTGTAAAACCACGACAACAACAAAATGAATTATTAATAAATCATTCTATAAATGTTGCAAATAATAATCAACTACAACAACAACGACAACGAAATCAAACCAAATTGATTCAATCAAATGGTGATACGGTCTCAGCGTCATCATCATCAGCATCATCATCATCATCAACGACGATGACAACAATTTCATCGACACCAAAAAATCGTAATCGTTGTAGATTAAAAACGTTAAAACATAAATTTACATTTGATGATAATAATAACAATAATAATGATGAATCAAGCTGTAACAATGCAAAAGAAATTAGTACCATTTACCATGATGATAATAATGGATGTGAAATTGATCGTAATAATAATAATCGTGGCTGTGAAAATTCTGGATCAACAGCAACAAAAACAACAACGACATCATCGTTATTTTCATCATTATTTGCAGCAATGTTTCCATGTGAAACAGAAGAATCAAATGGCTCAAATTACGATACATTGAATGAAAAATCTGCACATCTTTATGATACTGTGGATAGTGTACAGAATCGTTTAATGGCAACGAAAAATCCACGCCGTAATAAAATGATGAATCGTCCACAGACAATATTTGACCGTAAACATTATTCATCATCAAATTCCAGTCAACCAGCATATGGATCATATGGTCCTGGTTCAATAATGTTAACACGTGCTGAAATGACATTACATGAAGTACAATCACATCTAGATCGTGAAGGTGCCAGTAATCTGGTTGTTGAATTAATCATGTCAAATCCAAGTTATTCAATATTTGTTGAATCCGTTGAGTTGGGCATTGCATTATTGGAAGGTGGTAATCCAGTCATACAGAAATCCATTTATCAGAAATTAACACAACAAAATAATTCAGAAAAATTTTTCAAAGTTTTCTATGACAAAATGAAATTTGCACAACAAGAAATTAAATCCACTATAAGTGTTAATTCAAGTGAATTTTATAAAAATTCCGGCCTAAACGATGATAATATTTCTACGCCAATGTTGATTGGTCAAATTGAAGAATGTGCTTCTGGTTTTGATCAAATCGTACCACCGGTTGCATTCACACGTAAACGTTCATCAGCATCGGCAAATAATAATAAATTTTTTCAACAAAATCCCACAAATAAAGTGATAAAATTACCATCCGAAATTGCCGTGATGAGACAAATTTTACGTTTTCTACAATTGTTATGTGAAAATCATAATCTTCAATTGCAGAATTTCCTCAGAAATCAACATCAAAAATCAAATTTCAATTTAGTTTCAGAAACATTAATATTTTTAGATCGTATTTGTGGTTCAACAACCGGTGGTCTTGGATTGCTTGGACTATATATAAATGAATCGAATGTGGCACTTGTTAATCAAACATTGGAAACATTAACCGAATATTGTCAAGGTCCTTGTCATGAGAATCAAAATTGTATTGCAATGCATGAATCGAATGGAATCGATATCATCATTGCATTGTTATTGAATGACATAAATCCATTGGGCAAAAAACGTGTTGATCTTGTATTGGAATTGAAAAATAATGCATCCAAATTGTTGCTTGCTATCATGGAAAGTCGTGCTGATTCAGAAAATGCTGAACGTATACTATATAATATGAGTCCAAAACAATTGTTGGAAGTTGCATGTAATGCATTTCATAAAAAGGTTGTACTGCCATCATTATCATATCAAACATCATTAACATTGCAAGAACAATTGGATCAAGATTCACCAACAATCAATCCAGATATTGGTGATTTACTTGGATCAACATCAATAATGGCTACGTCCACTACGAATGGTATTGATTCACCAAGAAGACGTCCAAGTATTGCATCAATGTCAATGTTACCACCGTCAATAAATCCAATAAATCTAGTTGATCCAAAAGAAGTTGGTCACAATATCTATATACTCTGTCATCAGCTGGCACAACATAACAAAGAATTGGCTGATATTCTTAAAAATTCATTACGCGGTTCTGATCAACTGTTGATGATGAATCATGAAATGAGAGATGCATTGAATTATTATCAATCACATACAGCACAGATTGAGGTATGTGAAAAAAAATTGATTGATTGAATGAAACTTTTACTGATCATCATTTTTTTAATCACCTAACCTATAGATTGTACGTATTGATCGTACAATGGAACAGATTGTATTTCCAGTGCCACAGATTTGTGAATTTTTGACGGATGAATCAAAAATGAAAATCTATTATACATCTGAACGTGATGAACAGGGTAGTAAAGTTTTTGATTTTTTCGAACGTGCTGAAGATTTATTCAATGAAATGAAATGGCAAAAACGTCTTCGAGGTAAATTTGATAGATATATATATTTTTTCTCTTCAATTTAATTGTAAATTTTTTCCATTAAATAGAACAACCATTTCTATATTGGGTATCACGTAATATGACATTATGGAATTCATTTTCATTCAATTTGGCCGTTGTCATAAATCTAATAGTTGCATTAATGTATCCATTTCCAACGAAAACTGAAATCGATCCACGATTATCGGCAATATTATGGGCAATATTATTGATATCAATAGCATCGGTATTTTCATTTCCAGGAAAATATTGTTTCTACATGATGATCTCATCGACAATATTACGATTAATATATTCGATTGGCATACAACCAACATTATGGCTATTAGGATTGATTAATGTATTTATAAAAGCAATTCATCTGATTAGTATAATGGGAAACAATGGAACATTTAATAAAAAATGGGACAAAATCTTGATTGATAAAGAATTTGTCTATCATATTGTCTATCTTTGTTTTTGCATCATTGGTCTTAGTGGTCATTCATTATTTTATTCAGTTTTGGTATGTATCGTTCATGATAATGAGAGAAAAAATTCCGTAATTGTAATAATCGAAAATTTATTTTATATATAGTTATTAAACGTTGTATATCAAGAGGAAACATTACGTAATGTAATACGATCCGTAACACGTAATGGCCGATCAATCATTTTGACTGCATTATTAGCATTGATACTTGTCTATCTATTCTCCATTATTGGTTATCTATTTTTTCGTGATGATTTTCTACTTGAAGTCGATGTGGTCACATCATCATCATCATCATCATTGCCATCATCAATCATGGAATCGAGAAATAATTTGAATAAAATTCTTGAAACAACAAATGAAAAACATTTATTCGTACGAGAAAATCTATCCGATTCAAATTATAATCATCGAATGATGATGAAATTGAATAATAATCAACAATTCAATGGTGTACTATACAATATTTATCGAATGAATAATCAATCATTTCTGTTTAATCACTATCGACAACAACAACAACAATGGAAATGGGAATATTGTTCAAATCAAATTGAATGCAAAATTCAAGATGATTCAATTAATCTAATGTTGAATGATAGCCTAGAAACGGCTTCCAATATTCCAATGGAAATGATAAATTCAAATCATCATCATGAGATTGGCGATGGTGGTGGTGGCGGTGGTGGTGATGATGATGATGATGATGAAACAATCAAAGAACGTGCTTGTGATTCACTGTTAATGTGTATCATTACAACGGTCAATCATGGTCTCCGTAATGGTGGTGGTATTGGCGATGTTTTACGTTCACCAAGCTCAAATGAATCATTGTTTGTTGCACGTGTTGTCTATGATTTACTATTCTTTTTTATAGTCATCATTATTATTTTGAATCTGATTTTTGGTGTCATTATCGATACGTTTGCTGATCTTCGTTCGGAAAAACAACAAAAAGAAGAAATTTTACGTAATACTTGTTTTATTTGCGGTATGTACTTTACCTTGTATTGTATTGTATCGATTGATTGATTGACTGATTTTTTTTTTGCCAAAAAAATAGGCCTAGAACGTTCAGCATTCGATAATAAAAGCGTTTCGTTTGAAGAACATATCTATTGTGAACATAATATGTGGCATTATCTTTATTTTATTGTTCTTGTACGTGTAAAAGATCCAACAGAATTTACTGGCCCTGAAAGTTATGTTGCATTGATGATCAAAGAACGTAATCTAGATTGGTTTCCACGTATGCGTGCAATGTCATTAGCAGCTGATGATGGTGATAATGAACAGAATGAATTGCGTACATTACAATCACAATTAGAATTGACACATAAACAAATGTCATTACTTAGTCGTCAATTGAATGAATTAAAAGAACAGGTATTTGATTGATTGATTCATTAATAGTAATTCAATTTTGAAATTTTTTTTTTGTTTTTTTTTTTCATTTCTCAAATTAGATGATGGAACAACGTAAACAACAACATCGTAAAGGTTTATTTGGTACAAGTTTAACAATGCCTTCGGTTACAACAACAACACCGATTACAACAACAACTATGTCGACAACAACAACAACGATGATAGGCCATCATCATCATCATCATCATAGTCATGGTCATGGTTTTGGTCTTGGTGGTAGTGGTGATAATTCATCATCGATTATACCAAATATCATTGCTGCTGCTGCTGCAGCTGCTGCTTCTGCTTCTGGCAATAGCTCCAATGGAACAACAACACCATACAATATTAGTATGGATAAATAAATAGAAAAAAAATTTTTTAATTGAATAAAAAGATATATATTTTGTTGATAATTCAATGAATTTCAATTTTTTTCTATCAATTAAAATTAATTGAAACTGTCAACAGATGGCAACACATTCATAAATTTAAATCGATCATGATGATTTCTTTTCTAAAAATTTCTTTTTTTAGTCGATCACTTTTTTGTAGTAATCTTGGTCGAAATCTTTTACATTAAATGCCAGATGAAAAAATTCGATGAAAATCATTATCTATAGCAACTCTATTTTTCCAACAATATTGCGCTGCGTACATTTTTCTCTATATGTATATGGGTGTGAATCTGTATATAATAAATAAAAAAAAGGAAAAAAAATGCCCACTATCTATCGCTAGATGTCGCTATTTGAATTTGTTAGAAATATCCTAAAACCATTCACGATTCACAATTATCGGCTTATATGTAGTGATGATGAATACGGCGATTATTCAACTGTGCAGTATAGTGTGCGTATGTTACCAATCAACGTTTCATAGGAATTGATTTTTCAAAGTTTTTTTTTCGATTGTTGTCTTTGTGGTTAGTTGGTTGTTTGGTTATTTTTATTGCAAACCAATAAATTCGATCAGTTACAGAAATAAAGATCAACCAGGCTATAAATATATTTCACTAATGTGGTAGTCGCGATCCTAATCGCCAAACCAAAATCCATTATATATTTCTAGGGAATTTTGAATAACGATAACAGCGATTCATATCATTAAACATCATCATAAAGCAAATTTTTTTCCATATTTTTTTTCTTTCCTCACAATTTGAATCCGTTGATCTGGCACACAAAATAAATGCATCGTAGTTTGTTGTGTTGTTTTTCATTCATTTTCATATTTAAAACGATTCACATTTTGTTGTCGTTTGGTTATTTGTTGATTTTCGACATTTGTTGTATCACCGAATTTCATTTGCCTCTTTGATATTGATCAATTTACTTGTTTGGTTACAAGACTTTATTTGTGTCAGCAAAAAAAAAAAATTCAAAGAATCAGGTTTTGTATGAATTTATTTCAAATTCAATAAATTTCTTTTTATTTTGTTATTATTTTCACAGTCATCTCCACATTATCATCATTTATCGAGTGAAAACTTGGAAAAAAAAAGAAAAACAACAACAACGAAAACAAAAAATGGATCCACAATTAGTATATGATGAATTATATCGAGTACTTCGAAATTCCACTCGAGTATCGATAATGGCCAGTTCATTATTCATTGCCCTTCAAACTGAAGGCATGTTGAATGCAGAAAATCTTCGCCAATTGAATTTATGTAAACGGGCCATGGATACAATCAATACACGACGTTTGGTATTGAACAATATTCTGGATCGATCACGGATCTATGATTTAAATGAACAAGTAACTATAATGCGTCAATTATTGAATGATACTTGGCAATTAACTGTTCATGTGATTCAAGTCATTGATGAATTTTTGTCCGAACAGACTCCTCAATAATGGACATCAATCACCAAGAAGCATTCGACGACGTATTTTTTGTTCACGACATTTTTATTCAATTTTCTGACAAACCACCGCTACTAACAAAGATTTATTTTCTCAGCACGTTTTTTTTTTTTGAATATTTATCACCAAAAACATACACCATTGTCATATGTCTCACCAGATGACTATCGATTCACCATTATACTAACTGTTTATTATTATTATTATTCATGTTTGGAACATTTTATCACCCATACTAACCTATGAACAGATTGATTGATTTGTTTTGTCTTGATTGATTTGATTTGCTTTGATTTTGGTCATGATTCTAAATAATACTAACCAATTTTGAAATAACAATAAAAAAGATTTTTAAAATCCAAAAAAAAGCCTAGTTTTCAACAATTCAATTTTTTCCACACTTGTTGCTTATGAAAAACACATAAAATAAATCTCCAGATGTCGCGCATGTTCAATTCAAAAAAAAATAAAAATAAAAATATCCACCCAATTGTCAGATTGACTGTTCTATATGGATTAGTGAAGAGTGAATAACCATTCTTCGTATTCGTTTTTGAATCGACATGGTATGAATAATAATAATAATCACCATCATCATCATCAATAGTGATTTTATTACTTGTTGCACGAAAAAAAAAATCTAAAACAACACAATCAATTTGAACAATCAATCCATTTCATTTCATTAGCTATTTTTTTCCATGGTAGCAAAAAAAAAATAGATATTTCCAAGGAACTTTCAAAAAAAAAAAACAACGATTCGACAATTCTTTTTCGACGATAATAATAAAACATCACCATCATCATCATCATCACAAATGAACCATCAAAGCATAGTTTTTTTAATGTTCTTGTTTGACAATTATTAACTGTTTGTTTGTTTGTTTGTTGACAATTTCATTACATCGTGGTTATTATTCAATCACCAAAAAAAAAATCTATCAATCGTGATTTGATCGTTGGATTGAGCTGAATTCGGTTTGTTTTCTTTTTTATATTTGTTTGAAACATGACTTGACCAATTTCTGATTTATTTTTCAAATTTTTGAATAGCGTTATTTTTCATTATCCAATCAGAAAAAATGCTTGAATTTCTCATTTTAAGAGAAATGTGTCCATTATTTGGCGATGTCACTAATATTGGCAGAGTATTGAATAGATTGATTGAAACCATTTATATAAATAGAACATTGAACGCAGCCGAACGTCGTACATTGAATGAATGTATTGAAAACATGGAAAGAATTAATCGTAGACGTATCCAGATTAGTTTGGCTATACAACAATTTCAAGATTTAAATCCACGTGGTGGTCAAGTTTGCAATATTTATCGATTATTTGTAATGAATATTGATAGAGTTGAACGAATTTTGCAACAAATTAATGAATTGTTGTCACAAAATGTGCAACAGGCTCAAGAAGATTCGAAGAAGAAGAAGAAGAATAACCAATCAATCTTCAACAATCTTTTGATGTTTTCAATGAATGATGATTCTAAATTAAAATGTGAATTTTTTTAAAATAAATTTTTGAAGAAAAAAAAATCAAGAGATCAAAATTGTTTTCGATTCATATTGCTACTAGGACCGGCAGCATTGACTTGCGATGTTGTCGTCGTCGTCGTCGTTGTTAGAGCAGCAGCAGTACCAATGTTGTTGTTGTTGCCAATCGTTGCAATAATAATTTGTTTATCTAGATCACGATCTTTTAATCGTAATAAACATTGTTCAATCTTCTGAAATGATGGACGTTTTTCCGGTAATTCTTGCCAACACATTTTCATTATTTGAAATATTTCACATGGACACCATTGTTTTGGCTTGTCTAAACGATGTCCTTCACGAATTTTTTCCACAACTTCAGCATTGGTCAATTTTCCATATGGAAGTTTACCCAAACTGAATACCTCTGGATGTAAGTAAGAGAAAACAAAAAATTAGCAAAAAAAATCAATGAAAAAAAACAATACTCACCCCAAGTCAATATACCGTATGCCCAAACATCGGATTTAGAGCTAAATCGTGTGAACCATAAAACTTCTGGTGGTGCCCAACGAATTGGAAATTTAGTACCACCGGATGATGTATATTCATCATCAATCACATAACTGAATATCGAAAAAGAGAGAACAAATTAACCAACTAAAATAAAACAGCAGAAAACAAAACCAACCGTGTTAAACCAAAATCCGCTACTTTTACTATATTTCCATTGCCGACTAGACAATTTCTGGCAGCTAAATCACGATGAATATAATTATGGCTTTCTAAATATGCCATACCACTTGACACCTGTATGCACATGTTCAACAGAAATCGTATACGTTGTGGTGAATCAAGAATTTTTTGTTCATTTTTACGTAAAAATGATAAAAGTGAACCTGTGAAATGGAAAATGAAAAATTTCATTTCAATTTAACATCCAAAAAAACAAAACAAACATACTATGTTTCATAAATTCAGCAACAATACAAATTGGACGATGTTCAATACAAATGCCATGTAATTTAACTAGATTTGGATGCAGTAATTTTGTCATCACTTTAGCCTCTTCGATGAAATCCCGTTCAGACATTGTACCTTCTTTCATTAATTTAACGGCAACATCATATTTTCCTTTCCATTTTCCATGACGTACTACACCAAATTGTCCGGAACCAAGTTCTTCCAGTAATTGTAAATCGGTCACTTTAATTTCCCAGGATTTATCACGTGTCAAATCATTTGTAAATCGTTTACACGATGTTGATGATGATTGTGGTTTTTGATGAAAAGAATTTGAACGATTATTGATCGATGATACTCTACAATTATTATTATTATTCAACAATGAATTCTGCGTCATCATCTTTTTTGTTGTTGTTGTTGTTGTTGTTGCTGTAGTTGTTGTTGATATTGTAAAATCATTGAACTTTTTTGCCATATAAAATTAGCACGACAAGGCACATCGGTCAATCGGGTAATTAGATGGCCAGAATTTTTTCGATAATATTCAATTAATAATTCTATGGATGAAAATTTTTCTTGTGATCTTATAAAATAAACAAATTGATCATCATCACCATCGTCATCATCATCATCATAATTTAAAGATGATGAATCCGAAGACAGTGATGACTCGGTAGAATCTGATAATGTTTTCAAAGATTTTTCTCTTTGAATCAGATAATGTTTTACTTCCAATGGCGATGATCGTTGATTATTTCGGCTTTTTTGTGGTAGTGGATAAAATGAAAAAATTAGAAAAAAAAGTAACCACATATCTTTGAATTCAACTCACTTTTTGCACAATAATGATAATGTAAGACATTTATTCTCAGTGGATGATGGCCGCACTAGGAAACAACCATCCGGATTACATGGCTGTCGTAATAATTGTTCAGCTGTTTCACGATCGATGGTAAAAAACCAAAGCTGTTGAAATAATGAAAGCATTTGTATATCATCAAACAATGATGGCTGTTGTGATGCAATTAACGGATTTGATGATTGTAAAATTGGCAGTTGTGATGGTCTTTGTTTTGTTGATATTTTATGATGATCATCCATTAGTGACAAATGGTTGATTGATTGATGATCACCCATTGAATTACCACCATTATCCTTATGATGATGATGGAAAAAATCAAAATCATCCATCTCATCTTCAATATAATCAATTTTATTATTTTTATCACAATGATGATGATGATGATTTGAATGTGATATTTTCGCTTGTTTAAAATGATTCATTCGATTTTCATCATTTTGTTTATCTTTAAATGATAATTTATTCGTCAGTTTTGTTGTCGTCATTAATTGTTGTTTTTTAGTTGTTTCTTTGGAAATTATTTCCAGATAATTATGTGGCACTAAACCCAATTGGCCACACGAATCACGTGCCATCCACCAATCACCAGTTGAATCAAGAATTTCATATTTTTCACCCTTAATTAATGCTAAATCTGTATCATCATTAACTGGTAGGTAATTATGTCGGGCAATTACATTGAATTTTGCTTTCTAAAATTGTCAAAGAAAGAAAAAGAAAATGTTTTAATTTGATATATGAAACCAAAAAAAAAACCATTTTTAGAATTTTTTTTCTGCTATAGAAAATATATTCAAGAAAAAACTGGTCATGCAACCGTGTATCATGATTTTTTTTTCATTTATAAATTTAAAAAAACTTCACGTTAAAAGTAAAAATGCGTAATAACTACAACAGCTGTAAATGACTCCTGGTTTTCTATTTTCTTCACCATAGAAAAAAAAGGTCAAGTATCGATAAACATCAGAAAAAAAGTGAAGAAAAAACTATGTTTATCATTACCGAAAATAGCTAAAAGATAAAACTTGGCGAAAAAAAACTTACTTTTGAATGATAAAATTCAGCTGTCATCATTGATGATGATGATGGTGGTGTCGCTTCCATCATCGAGGACTCTGTTGATGATGATGGTGGTGTAATTGTCATTTGATCATCACCATTAATAGATGATAACATTGGTGTCACCGTTGATTGATCAATCGATGATGAATCAGTGGTCGATGATGATGTTGACGATGACGATGACGATGACGATGATGTGGAACTAAATGTTCCAAAATTGGATATTTTTCTTGTCAATGTTTTAAGCATTTTTTTCTAATTTCAATCGATTGAAAAGCAATAAATTGATCACTGAGAACAAAAACAAAAACACAATATGCATAATTAATTGATTAGAAAAAAAAAAAAAAATCCAGTCAAATATAATTTGCCTGTTTGTTTGTTTGATTGATTGATTGATTAATTCATGGATTGAATATTGATAATCAACGTACACAAACACACACCAAAAAAAAGACAAAAGCAACGTAAAATTAAAATTTGAAAAATAATGGAAAATGTAGATAGACAGACAGAGAAAAAAAAGAAAAGGTCGAAGGTCATCGTTTAATCAACAAAAATGGAAATAAATTTTCTTTTTTCACACAATGAATTATTGAAACTACCATGCTTGTTTGAGCAATGGTGGATGGTGGCGGTTTCAATGGTGTTTCAATAACACAAATTTCAACGAATAAGAAAAAAAATTTCAGAAACAAAACAAATTATTGATTCGCGAATTCATGGACCAACAGCATTGAATCAACAACATTGAAAAAGAAAAAGGCAGATATAATATAAAACAAGTTAATTGTGATGGTGTTTGATTCATCATCATCATCATCATCAATGAAGAACGTCATTGATGATGATGGTGATGATTAAGTTATGAAACATGAAACATGAAATGATCATCTCAACACTCATCTTAATTCAATGTTTTTATTTTTCTCTTTTATTTTGCTACAAAAACTAAAAAATTTACTAAAAATAATAATGAACACATCCACAATTTGAAAAATAATCATAATCATCATCATTATTACTATGAAAGGAAAATTGAATTTTCCTTTAAAAAAAAAATTCATGTATAAATTGTGTGCATTTGATTCATTCAAATTTATATTTTTTTTCATGTTCTCTAGTCATATAGATGAATATAAATTCATAGTCCAAGTGTGTGTGTGTGTGTGCGAATCAATCGTGATTCATTCATTCATTTTTTTTTCATCATCTAAATGTCAAATGTCAAATTTATCCACTCACGCACACACACACACAGACAGACAGACAGACATAAAGGTATTTGGATCACGAATTATTTGGCATTTCAAAGCAGATGATGATGATACAATAAAATTGTTGTCTCATATAAGCTGTTCTAAATTCAAGGATCATTTTGGAACAATTCTTTTTTTTCGGCTGTTTTTTTGTTGTATGTTCAGATTAGAAACAATCAAGCTTTTTTCATTTCATTTCATTTCTCTGTTGAATAAAAAGAACAAAAATTATTGCTCGACACACACACACACAGACAGACAGGCACATAATTTGTGAATATAGAAACAAAAGAATGAAATCATTGAATTTTTTTTCTATTGAAAATCTCCCCCCAAAAAAAATTTGTTGTTGTTGTTGTTGTAGAGGTTGTTGGAAAGAGAAATTGAATTGAAAAATTTTACCACAATTATGCGGTTTATGAACAACAACAACGATAAATGGCATTTAATTTTAATTTGATTTGAAAACAACCAATAAAAAAACGATAAAACCAAAAAAAAAGATCAGACAAAAACAACGGCCAAATCAATTAAATAGAAAAAAAACATCAAAAAGTTATATATGTATTATTATCATCTAACCAGGAAAGTTTATTTAGAATTTATTATTGATCAGCATACTGATTTTCCAATCAATCGGTCAATAATATATATTTGTGTAAGTACGATGATCATAAGATGATGATGATCGACGACAAGTGAAACAGAGAGAAAATTTCCTCATAGCAAAATGGTGAGGAAAACAAAAACAAAAATGATGATGATGATGATGAGTAAATTGTGAGAAAAAAAATTCTCAAATCTCCAAAATAATAAGATGCTATATAAATAAACAAACAAACAAATAAACAATCAATCGATCGATCATGATCAGTTGATGAAATTGATTCACAGTCAATCGACAACGATGTTGAAAAAAATTTTGTCCAATTAACTTGATGATGATGATGATTTGATTGACAAATAATAAAACGGACAGCAAAAAAAACAATCGACCTTGTATTGTGGCTACTTTTGCGCGTTGTGGATGAAAAAAGAGAAATGAAAAAAAAAGAAACACAAAAATATCTTGATCATCATAAATCATTATATTATATGATCATCATCAAAAGTCACATCGATGTTGTTGATGATGGATATGCTTGTGAAATATAGCACCACCACCGCCACCACCACCATCACTATATTTGTATTTCAAAATGTTTTCTTTTCAAACGTTGCCAAAAAAAAAAAAAAATCATTCAAATATGGTGTGTGTGTCCATTTTTAGTTGGACTAGAAAAAAAAATTAATCAATCAATCAAACTTACCTTTAGAATACTGTTATTTCGATGATTCTGGAATTTTGTTGTTGTTGTTGTTTGAAATTGGATCATATTTAATATCCGAAATTGATTGATTGATTAATTAATGAATCACCGACGATGACAACAGATGATGATGATGATCTTGGAACAATTTTTAAAAACACAGCCATTTTTTACACAGACAGATATATCGAACAAAAGAAAGAGTCACATCCATTTCAGGCAAATATATAACTCGGACACATCTAGAAAAAAAAATAGATAATAGACGATGATGAAAATGTTGACAGACACACCGTACAGTGAGATAGAGAAATGGCAAAAATTGATTTCAAGGGAATACGAACAAAACAATAACCGATTGTATTCTGAAATAAATCATATGGATGTTGATATATAATCTGATCCAGAGACTATTTCTAACCGATCTAAGTCATAGTCTTTTCTATCTTCAAAGATAACTGAAGCAGTGACTAGACTAGATGATTTTGTTTTTGGAAAAAATATTTTTACTTGTACAAAAATCTTGTTTCTCTCATTCACTCTCTCTCTCTCTTGCTCTTTCGTTTTCTTTTAATTTGTTTTTTTTGCTATATCGTCGTTATGTTAAGCTGTTTTTTCTTTCGGTTGATTTCTTCATCATCATCATCATCCAAATCTATCGCTTTCATATTTTCAACGATGATTCACGCTGTATGTGGAATGTTTGAAAAGGAAAAAAAAATGTTTTTTTTTTCTTCAAACCTGTATTCACTTAGAAGAAGGGGGCACACAACAATCAATAGTTGAATGGAAATTAAATCCGGTTGAAGAAACGGAAAAAAATTTTTTTTTTTGTTTTCTTTGCCTTTTTCAAATAACCAAGTGTCTGTGTGTGTGTGTAATCAATTGAGTCATTGTGACATATAATGAATCAAGATAATCAATAATGAGATAAAATCATTGCCAGGCGTTTGCATTTTGCATAAAAATTCAATTGACAATTAGTGACAAGCACACGTATATTTGATAAGTGGAAAAATTTCGATCCACCGATTGATATCATTGATTGATTGTGTGTGTGTGTGTATGATTAACAATGCAAAGTAAATTATAAGATGATGATGATGATGATTATTATTCAGATTTTGATTGACATTTTTCGTGTGTCTGTGTCGCATGACAATCGTTATTTGACATTTGATGATGACAACAATAAAAAAAAACAAAACAAATAATGTCAAATATCGAATATCGATTGTCACCAATATATTTATTCATACCATTTGATAATGATAATTACATCCGTACATGGAAGTAATGACATTAAACACATTTCAATTCGATAAAGAAATTCAAAATCAAAAAATTCAAAGACAAAATTGGCCAATATGAACAAAACATCAATGAACCAAACCTTCACACACACACACACACACACACACACACACACTCTATATCACATGAATCGGATACAAACCGGCAGGAAAATAAATTGGGCGAAAAATTTTAACAAAAAAAAAAATCTAAACATTTTTTTTCGGAACATCACGATGATGATGAGCTTTACATATGGAAGTTTCCAATAAATCGTGTGTGAGTGAGTGAGTGAGTGAGTAGAAAAAAAAGTGAAATGAAATGCACGATTACCATGATTATTAGATGAATGATCTATTCATCTGTTACATCAGCATTCATCATAGTATTATTTTTCTTGCTAAAACGGAGAAAAAAAATTAAATGATGATGACACGATGATGATGGTGATATGATGGATTCATCGAACACGCACAAGCAGTGAAAAAAAAATTTTTCGTTTTTTCAATTTTCAATGAAAACAACAGCAACAACAATAACGGGTCATTTATTACATTTGATTATCGATTATTATCATCATTTGAAAATCATAATCAGTATATCGTGTATCATCATCATCATCATCATTTTATTTTGGATTTTAATTTCCGGTATTTTTTCGTCAATTATTACAACAAATGATTCATTTGATTTTACACGTACATATGATTAACACATAGACACACAGGTGAATCGATTTTTCACTTGAACATTGTAATCAATCGTGAACGCTGTGTGGTTTTTAAGTTGATTTTTCACGAAAAAAAAAAAATTTTTTTCATGAAAAATTAATCAAAAAAAAAATTGAGTAAAACGCGAATAGACTTTTTGTTTTTGTTTTTTTTTATTGTTGACCATGAATCTATTAAATCAACACAGAGACATGATTATCATATGAATATATATTGATTGATTGATCGCTATGATTCGGCCTTTTTACACTTTATTTTTTTTCACATTATAAACAAAAAAAAATGCATTCACAGACACGCGCGCACACATTATGTGAAAAGTCTAAATTAAATGATAAATGAATAAATGAATCCTATTAATATCAATATCAATAAAATAAAATGGAGAAAAATGGACCAAAAAGGTCGCTAAATTCAATTTTTATTGTTATTATTACTATGAATTGATATATTAAAATGTTGGACAAAAAACATGTATGTCAAGTTTTTTTTCCATCTATGAATATAATCCTCTGTTGTTGTTGTTAATGTTTCAAATAAAAGTTCAAAGTTCTTGACGTTGATAATCCAAATGATCATCATAATCATCATCATTATCTTCAGGATAATGATAATCTTGGAATAAATATTGATTATAACGATTGAATAATGTTGATTCACCACGACGACCACCACCACCACCGCCACCATTCATATAATGTGCACTCATACGAATATTTTCACAACGTATCTGATACAATTCGGACATATTTTCAATATTATCTTCACGTTCAGCGGCAGCAATCAGATGTCGTTTTGAATTCAATTTCTGTTGTGTTGATTGTGTACGTTGTCTATTGATATTATGATATAATGGTGAATATTTAGGATTTTTTGCCATTTGTATTGCATCATAATTGGATTGTAGACAATGTATTTGTTTCAAATGATATGAACATGGTTTCCAATTCGATGCTAGCCGACAATAAACATTCATTGTATCATCACTCGTAGTTAAATATAAACGTAAACGTTTCCATGTATTTTCATCCAATAATGGTGTTCGTCGTCGACGACGATTACCACCATTGCCATTACCAATTGTTTTACCGGTTGGAAAATATATCCGTCCTAAACCTAAACATTTTGTCCATTTTGAACGAAATTTTTTCAAAAATTCACGACGTAATTCACGTGGTTCACATAATAATTTCAATTCAAGATCATTAAAATGAATTGATGGTTTTAGATTAATTTTTGGTGATTCTGTTGTTGCTGTCATCACGAAAAATGTTGAATCATCATTGATGATGTTAAATAGAAAACAAATACAACAGATTAGTGTGTATATTGAATTCATAATTTTTTCTTTTGGTTCCAATTCCATTTAAAGCTGACAACAACAACAACAAAAAATGACAAATTTAGAATCAAAAAAAAAGAAAATGAATTTTGGCCAATGAGAAAAAAACAACCAAAAAAAAATGTTGACATGTTGCCATAGTAGTGGCCAAAAATACATTGGAATTGTTCCCATTCAATTGAATCGATTGATTGAATCGATAAATAAATTCTGACCAAAAGAAAAAAAAATTCTAGCTCATTTTTAATATAATTAATTCTTTCGTTTTCTCATTCATTCATTCAATCATTCACAGTTAATCAATAATTAATAATCAATAGAAATGATCAATAAAAATAAGACACGAAAAATATTCACAATATATACGTGTGTGTGTGTGTGTGTAACACTAAAGTAGATTCAAAAAAAATAGCAAAATTTTCAGGCATTTTTTTCCATCATCATCATTATATTGTTTTTAATGACTGAGAGAGAGAGAGTGAGAGAAAAAACAAAACAACAGAAAAAAAAGAAAATTTTAAGCATAGGTGTGTGTGTGTGTAAAGTATTTTTAAATGGTTTTCGAGGTGAAAATATGAAATGTTAACAACAATCATAATAAAAAAAAAAAAAAATAGAGCGGTATTATATTTGGAATGGAATGGATAAATTGAAAGAAACAATGTACCATATATATTTATAATCTCTTGATTCAATTTGTACTATCACTTTTGTTTTTATGTAAAAATATAAAAAAAAATTATTCAATCCGATGATGATGATGATGATGATGGTAATGGTTCAAGAAAATCATTGGCAATAATACGATCAATATTGATATAAAGTTCATCTAATGAACCACCACCATTTAATGTATCAACAATCGATGTTTGATTTGTAATTTTACGTCCATTATGTTGACGACGATGATGTTGTTGTTGATTTGTATTGTTCAATGTCAATGATTTACGACGCTGCTGTTTTATACCAGACGAAGATGTTGTTTGTTGTGAATTTATTGTTGCATTCGCTGAATGTGTACGATATTCAACAAATGAACGACGATGATTATTAGATGATGTTGATGATGATTCATTTTGACGTTCAAGATTTGAATGATGTTGTTGTTGTTGTTGTTGACCATTTGTTGTTGTTGTAAACATTGTACTTTGATTTGAACGTGATAAAACCGATGCAAAAAATGGATGTAAATCGTGTATTGATTCAATCGATGACATTGTTAATAATGGTGTCATTGTTGTTGCATTTGATTTCGATACAACCGGTATTGAGTCCTGTGAAAATGAAATGAAATCAAAAAATTTAAATTGAAAAATTTCATTCCAAATTTCATTAATATTTACCGTTAAATAATTAAGAAGTTGATTAATAAAAACAACATGTGGTACAAATGTTGTTTCATTATTATTACATTGATTCAATGTAATTGTAGATGTAGCAGATGATATGGATGTATTTAGATTGGCTGGCAATGATTGTGGTGATTGTGTATCAAACATTGTTGTTGTTGTTGATGATGAATTTAATGACACTGTTTCCGATAATGATTTAGGAGCATTATTTTCCATCAATAATGATGGTTCTGATGATTGAAAATTTGTTGTTGTTGTATTTGATAAAATAGAATCTGTTTGTACATTATTCGTACTACTACTAGCAGTAGTTGTATTTGTGGTAGCTAAATTCAATACAATTGGTTCGGAGAATGGTGAAATACCACCCAACCAATCGATTGGTTGTCGAATATTTGTGGAAATTGATGGAAATGAATCTGTATTTATGAATGCCCATTTATGTAGCTGAAATTGTGGCAAAATATCCGATGGTAATAGCAAAGCTAGATCCAATAATTTACAGGCATTTAAAAACAATTGTAATTGTGATGATGATATTTTTGGCTCTAATTTTGTTTGACGATTTTGTTGTTGATGATGTATAAAACTGGCTGATGATGATCGATGTATTGATGATTGATTGGCAAGAAGATCCGATATATCCAAATAAATGCCATATGGTGTTGAAATTGTAGCTGAATCTGAGCATTTTAAATCATTGGAATTATTTCTATGGACAAACAAACAAACAAACAATAAATTAATGTTTAAAGTTTTCGTTTCATTTTTCAACATTACATACTTTTGTTCATCACGAATAACTTTGAGTAAAGCTTGTTCAATGCTTAGAAATACTTGAAACTGAAAAAAAAGTGAGAAAGAAAAAGAAATTATGAAATGAAATTTTTTTAAAATAAAAAGATGGCGTCTCATTCGCCACCATATGATGAAATGTGAACCAACCATTTCAGTATAAATAAATGGCCACAATGATGCTAAATAATGTGGTGACATACGCAATAGAATGACACGAAATGCCAACAATACTTGTGATTGTAATAATGATTGTGAATGCAATTGTGTTAATGATTGTGATTGTTGTTGCGATGTACGATGAATTTCAATCAATTTTTCCTGTATTTCAGCCATATAACGTTGATATTGATCTTTTTCTGAACAAAACAATATGAATGCCAAACGTTTAACCAGTTGTGCACGTGGTTCAGATTCCTGATCTTTTGTCGACGATGGTACAAATATTTTGAATGATACTGATGGACTTTGTGCTATTGACATACGTTGTAAAAATTCACGAAATGTATTTTTATCATGCGTCATCAGATGATCGATTATTGTACGCCATGATTGTAAACATTCTGGTGGCATTTGAAAAAATGATGAATCCAATAATAATTCCAATGAATCACGACGCCATGCTTTACGTGTATATTGATAACCAGAAAATGATGCCAACAATCGAGAACAGGCATCAAAACAAGGTAAATTATGTTGACTATGTGATTTAAGATATGGTATTACATATGACATCATATTCACGATTAATGGTATCATTTTTTCTTTTTCATCACTTGCATAAACAACATCTAAAACTGGTGCTGCAAATTCTGCCATTGCATATAATGCTTTTATACAGAAATAACTATAAAACAGATTCTGTGATGTATTCGCTAAATCTTGATGATTCGATCCACTAGTAGCTGTTGTTGATAGATAGGATAGATTAAAATTGAATAAACCAAACAATAAGCTATCAGTTTGTTGTTGTTGTTGCTGCTGCTGCTGCTGTTGTTGTTGTTCCAATAGATGATAATCATCATGAATAGGTGTTACGGTACGTTGACTTGTATTCGAATTCGAAGGGCTACGATCAGATGATTGAAATTGAACCGATGCAGATGAACGAAATAGTCCACGTTTGAATGAAATATTTTGTTCATTATGTGTATTGGATAATGCTTCCTCAGTGATTGGTGTAGCTGCTGCTGATGATGAACCATTCGAACGATGTGATGATGTTGGTGATGGTCGTCCAGTATGATGTTGTTGTTGTTGTTGTTGATGATGATGATGATGATGTCCAATCTGATAATCACTATTGACGGGCATTACTTCAAAATTACGACGAAATGACCAAAATCGTGATTGTAATAATCGACCACCAGCAACACTAATATTTGCATCGATTAATTTTTGTGTTACATCCTGTAATTCTTTTTGAGCACGACGATCTTCAACAAATGGAGATGTAATGACAAATTCATGCATAATTGCTAACAAATGAATATTGATTAATGGTTGAAAATTAATCTGTACTGAACTTGATGGTATTATTGGTTGACGTTGTCTGGAACGTGGCCAAAATGTTTCATATGGAACCGATGCTGTTAGGTTCAGCGCAAAACCATCCTTGATCAATGCAAGCATTGAACGACAAGCACGTAATAATAGCTCACCACGACATGTACGGATGTAAGCAAGAAAAAATTCCAATAATGAAACTTCAATCAAAAATATATTATCAAATGGATTCGATGTGAATGAATGTTGTGTAGATTCTACTTCAGTTGTAATTGATGATGCTGAACTTGTTGATGATGATAATGATGAATTTGTTGCTGCTGTAGTTGTAGTGGTCGCTGTTGACGATGATGCAGATGATGAAGAAGACATTGAAAGTGGTGATGAAGATGGTTTTAGTACGGCTCGTACAATTTGTATTAAATATTCAAGATTTAAAATTGGTTGCAATGATGAAATTAATTGTACTAATTTTTGTTGTGCAGCTGTTGCTGGTGTAATAACCATATCGATTGAATCGGCTAATAATGATGAATACGATGATTGATTACTATTGACAGAATTTGAACGATCACGTAGATCATGCCAAACACGTGCTATTGATTTCATTAATGATACACCATTCGAAACGGCAACAATATCCAATATGGTAATAATAGCTTGACGTAACATCATCGATGAACCGGTTATATACCAGCCAGTATATATTGATGATGACCAACCTAAACTACAATTGGATTGTGAATAGCGACAATTTTTCCAATTTTTTTGATTCGATGTATCTATTGAATGAAATTGCCGTACATATGGATGACAACAAGCTGATGGTTGATTTGTTGATAATGATAGATTGGCTGATTGAATATCGGCGGTGGCTTCATCACGAACAATCATTGTACACCATACTTGAAACAGTGCAGTGAGAACACGATTTAAAATCGTATAATCAAGTATTCGTTGTCTTGTTATAGCTAGATTATTTGGTAAAGTATCTAGTTGCGAAAAAACAATACCTAAATCAGCTGTACTAGATTGATCAGATTGATCATGATTTGTATGACTAGTTGTACCGCTTGAATTCGGTCCACCATTTCCAGCATTCGATCCTGACATTGGCATAATCATAATGTTATGTAAAATAGATGATATCGCTTGGATGGCACCAGTAGATCCATTACTTGTTATCGATGTAGCGCCACCATTTTGACTTAATGTCCATTGTTCATTGATGAACATATTATCAGCATCAAATCTATAACGATTTCTACGACTAGTAATAAGACCAAATGATCTTGCCCGATCCTCTTGACTATCATCAAACAGTTCATTCAATACCGGTGCTAAAAGATCAAATTGATTACGATCCAATAGGCAATATGAATAAATCATAGCAATTCCTTGTAATGTTTGTGCAAAATGTTTATGTATAAATGGTGGCATATTCAGTTGTGATGAAACAAAACATTTAGATCTTGCAAATTGTTCAATTTCTTTTGTTAATGAATCAATATTACGACATAATTGATTAACAGCCGTCAATACTAAACGTGGCATAAATCGGCCAGCATATTGTAATGATGATTCAATAAATGATAACCATTCCGTATGGATATGGCGACGAAAATTCTGCTGTAATGCATAATGTAATGAACTATTCAATAGTGTTTGTCCAAGTAATGGTAATTCTGGATCAAAATTCATTTCAATCATTTCTTTATCTGATTGTATACGTGGTACAATCGAAAGTTGATGATTTAATGATAATGTAGTGGCCGCAGTAGTAGTTGCTGTTGTTGATGTACTCAATGAATCCAATTGTAATGATGAAGATGAATTTTTTTGATTACCAACATTTATTGCAGCTTCAATCAATGCTGATTGTATTCTTGATTCTAATATCATTACCTGTTCAAGTAAATGTAATAATGATTTTTCAAATTCATCATGAAATCCATGCTGTTGTCGATCATCATCAACATGATAATCATTTTGATTATCATTATTCATCATCATTGTCGTTGTATTATCATCATCAACATAAAAATTATTCAAATCAAAATGATTATTATTATGATTTTCTGGATAATCATTATAATCCAATATCTCCTTTATGAATGCAATATCAGCTGGATTCAATTTTGTTTGTTGATTATATTTTGTTTCTGGAAATAGATATGAAGTTTCTTGTCGTTTTTGAAATTTTGTTCGATTTTTATCATCTGTTGATTTCAAATTTTTGCTATTATTGTCGGTAGCGGCACCAGTAGTTGTTGAATATTTTTGCTGATAATGCCAAACAGATGTTGCTAAACATTGCATTACATTACGTTGTACTTGACAACGGGTTAATAATTCTTTTAAATATTGTACAAATGATTTTGATTGACTAAAACATAATAATGATTCACTTGGTTGTCTTTTATGATGTTTATAATTTGATTGTTCATAATGGCGATTATGATTTCGTACTTCAATCATTTGGCTTAGATTACGAAATATTATACGTAATGATTGTGCAGCTAATAAACGTACACGTTGATTACCATAAATAGCTTCAAGATCAATACAATGATTTGAACGAATCTGTAAGAATAATTCATCCAAAAGGCCACCTTCTAAACCTGTTTCACGTGCTAATGGTGATTTTTTATTCAATTTATTCGCTGTCATTGTTGATGCCATATCAGCTGGACAACTTGGATAATAACTAAGAAGATATTGAAGACATATTTGTATGACCAATTCTAATAATGTTATATTCTCATCACCAGGTGATGATGATGATGATGATTCAAATATATGTTGTTTTGAACGTGATCTTGTACGATTTGCTGCTGCTGCTGCTGTGGTTGCAGTTGTTGCAGATGAAACAAAAGAATTTACATTGGCCACATTTGTTGGTTGTTGTACAAAATTTTGATTATTATTATGATTTGAATAAAAACCATCACCATTTATTGAATTACGATGACGTTGATATAATGTTCGTATCTGTGCTGATCTTGTTCCATCAAATATTGATGATGATGATGATGATTGGCTGTTGGTTGCTGTTGAAACATATGATGATGTGGATATAGCCGTGTTGTTGTTGTTGTTTATACCAGGCATATTTGGATCATTAAATAATCTATGTGTTGACATTGCAAATAAAACACGTGATGGCCATGTTTCAATCATTGATATTATTGTATCCAGGGCATATGTTGTACGTAATGAATCATAACGACGTTCATATAATAATAAATGTTGATGCATTTCAGCAAAACGTAGCTTCCGTCCACCACTATTATTGTTGCTGTTGCTGTTATCATTTCTAAAACGATATTTTCGATCATCATTACCGCTTAAATTTGGTGTAGGAGTTGTCGATGATGTTGGTGAACTATGATCATCATCATCATCATCATCATCATCAATATTAATTTTGGTTTGAAATGAAGCCATTCCAGGAAAATTTTTCACTGGTCTAGATTCATCCAATGAAACATTTTGATTTTGATCAAATTCAGCAGCGATACGATCAATTAGATCATTTACAATTTGTTGAATTTGTATGGAATCTGTACCATTATTATCATCATGGATTGATAATTTTTCAAATGGATTTATAATAATTTTCATTGAATCCAACATTGGTGATGATGTAGTATTCATCGTTATTATTGTTGGTGAACGTGATGATGATTGTGGTGGTGGTTGTTGTAGTGGTGGCGGTGGACGTCTACGTACATGATAAATAACATTACCATTAGTCGAGGTAATTGCATAAATTTTTGATTCTTCATTCACGGAATCCATTTGAATGTCTTGGGGTTGTTGTTGTTGTTTTTCCAATAAATTGTCATTATCAGTAGCGTGTAATAACATCGATGGAAAATGTTGACCATCATGGTGATTGGATCGTGTATAACGAAGAATTTTAACATTTTTAATCGATAATCTTGCCGTATTTGGATGTAAAAGAATAAATAATAATGGTTCCAATATGCGGCCAATATCTGAAGAATCATTATCATTATGATTCATAATATCAGATATCAGATGATTGTGATTTTGATTATGAAATTCCGATGTAACACCGAATCCGTTGGGCGATGTAAACATCAGGTTTTTTGTGCCAAATAAATTCGGCTGTTTTATACAACGTAAAAGCCAATCAGCTGATATTGAAAATTGATCACTTAGATTTCTACGCTGTGATAATGCATCCAACATGATGAATAATGGCCGATCAAAATGGCGTTTTAACGTTGAACATAATGCAACCGGTGATATTGGACATGTGATCCTCAGTAGACGATGTAAATCTTGATAATTGCCAACCATAGCACAATTCATTAATGATTGATATTGACTTGAATCCATACCGGTGGCTATTTCAATTTCAAGTTGTGCGATCAATTTTGAACTTGATGAATTTTCATTCACTGTTAATAAATCATTATAATCATTGTTAACAATCGTTGTTGTTGTGGTGGCGGCGATTGTATTGTGTAAAAGACCACCAACACCATCAGAATCACCATCTGATGTTGATCGAGCTGCCGATGCTAATGCATTAACAACTAATGCTAAACGTTCAGAAATAAAATTTATATCACGTATAATTGAAAACATTAAGGCAAATTTGGTACGTGCACGATGTACAATATCCATATTATTATTTGGCATATGATGACGTGATTGTTGTTCAAATGGTATTGGATGATGATGATTTTGTTGTTGTTGTGGATTAAAAAATCTTAAACTATCCATAGATAAATTATTATTATTCATCATCATTGTTGATCGATATGCTGATGATGATCCAACATTCGAACAGGCTATCAATAAACAACGAATTAGTAGTAACAAAATATAATATAAAAAAACATACCTCTACCATTATCAGATTTACAGCAACCACCAACATTACTACCACTGCCAATCATTTCATCACAGATAACAACTTCACAGATAGATTCATCATGCGATATAGAATGTAATTGTTGTAATAGGGCACTTGTTGAATGATGTAATACGGAATCTTGTGCTGATAAATTAGACCAAAGACCACTAGCAACAATTCGAAACCATGTGGTTGATTCATAAACAAATTGTAACATTTTTGGATGAATTAATGGAAAAAAATTCAATCGTCTTGCCACAAATGTACGTGGAAATAGATCAATATTTGTCATATCAACATATGCTGGCCATTGAAATTCTCCATCATTTCCTATCGATAATGCTGTTGGATACATTGATGGCTGTGATACAATATAAGCACGTGTCATTGTCATTAAATCAAGAATTGTAGCCAATGATGTATATGAAACATGACGTAATTGGCAACATATTGATGGCTGTTGTATCATTGATTTTCGTTCTATTTGATTATTTCGACAATGATGACGATGATGCCAATGTGTACAGGAACCAATACCATTTGCTGATAATGCCATTAAATAGACAAACCAACGTGTATTATCGACATTTTGAAAAATGGAATCCGTTTTTTTGATTACTGATTCTTCTGTATGTTGTTTAGAATCAATAATAAATTGTTCCACATTCATTGAATTTTTTTGTTCACGTTTTTTAAATAAAAATGCTGGCGATGACAACAACGGTATCGTACCGATTTCTATTAATAATTCACAAAATAATTGATATAATGGTAATAATTGTGCATTTATGATAATCTCTGGATAATGTGATTGATGACGATTGATTACAAAACGATCGATAATTTGCTGTATATGTTGTTGATCATTTGGTATATTTCGTAACATTATACGACGATAATAATCAATAATTGTTTCGAAAGTTTTCCCATTATTCGTAGCGGATTTTTTCACCAGAATTTTTTCAACAAATGTTGCAAAAAATTTCAATATTCCATCCACGACTAATTCAATTTGAAAATCATCATTAAATTCACATTGATCAATATTATTATCATCAAAATCATTGACATCATCCGGTTGATGATCTTCCATTTGTTGTTGCTGCTGCTGCTGCTGTGATTCTTCATCATCTTCAGTTTCTTCACGTACCAATTCTAATTGTTTGTTTAGTGGTTTACCAGATGATGATGATACCGACGGTGATGATCGTGTTTTCATATGTGAACGTTGTTGTTGTTGTTGTTGTCCATATGTTTGAAACCATACAGCAATATTTGGTTTTTGTTGTTGAATATTTGAATGTTCGTTATTAGTGGTAGCAAAATCTTTATTTTTCAATTGATTCAATTCACGACGATAACGTCGTGTGAATGTTTGCATAATTGCTGGTTTCAATTTCGAACACAATGCCAAACATAATTCAATCGATGCCCGAAGATCAATACGAGTGAATGATTTAACACTTTGACATATTAATCGCAGAACATGGTCAAGAAAATGTATTAAAAATGTATAATTTGCTGTGCCAACTTCAAGTGGTTCTAATGCTGAACAACGATTCATTGAAACTGAAATGGAATTCACGAATAATGAACTTGTACTATAATTTAATACATCAACACGTGTTGGCGGTGGTGGTTGTGATGATAGCGAAAACGTTGTATAAGCAGCAGAATCATCATTATCAATCGTATTGGCAGACGATGATTTTTGTCCATAATAATTTTCATCATCATTACTATGTGGATATGGTTGTGAATCACCCAACAAAAATCTAGCTAATGTACAGGATTCCAATATTGTTACAGATTCTGTACCAACTGGCTGTACTGGACTGGAAAATTTCAACATTTTTCCACAATGACGACAACCATTTGTTAATGAAATTAATAACTTTGTTTTCAATGTTGATTTCTTGATTCGACGTTGATGATGATTTCGATGTTGATGATGATGACCATTATTATTATCATCATCGAATTCTTCATCATCAACATCGGCATCATTATGAAAATTTTCAAATTCAGGTGAACGTATTCTTTGTGGTGATGCATATGGTGTGATGATGATGATGATGATGATGATGATAATGTAAATGTGGATGATGAATTGGAACTGGTAGCAGTCGTTGTTGTCGAGCTAAATGAATAATTATTTCCCATACGTAATGATTGTACATTTTCCAATAACATTGTCGGCACTAAATTCCGTATCCACGATAATGATTGTGAAATTGTATCATCATCATCATCATCGTCGTTGTAACCATCATCGTCTTCTTCATCACTTTCTTCATCGTCATCATCTTGATCAGAGGACTCATCATCATCATCTTCTTCTTCACTAGAATCATCAAGTGATCGTTTTGATTTTTTTCTTTTAACCATTGATGATGATCGTAGAATAATATGCATGATTTTTCGTAATGTAATCGATTCTTCTGTTGCTGTATTGAATGTCAATGCCAAATGATTCCAAATAAATTCTACACCGATATTTGTGAATAAAAGATGCATAACACGATCCAATTCACGTAGCAATTCTTGGCGTTGATATTTCGGTAATTGCTGATAATATGGATTCCAATAATAATGTTGATGTTGTAATATAAACATTGAATCATCGGCATCAGAATCAAATTCTTTATTATTATTGGTGAATGTATGATGACGAATATTGAATCTTGCACGATCATTTATTGTGGTTGGTGTTGTACATTGAATTTTAGCATCATTGATTATATTTTTCTTTATCAAATCTTTCTTCTTACGTGTAAAACGATTTACCAATAATTTTCCATTATTAATTGATGAAGAAGTAGACGTATCACCAGGACGTATTTTCAAACGTAATGGCCTTGTCATTAATGTTTTCATCACTTGTTTCACATTGTTACGATTCGATTCACCACTATTTCCACTATCATTGGTTTTATTTTGACCCAATGGGAATTGTAATTTGATGAATTTTTGTTTAACATTATAACGAAGATTTTGAAATAAATTACGTTTCGATACAGGCACACTATCATCATCATCTACGTCATCATCATCGTCATCATCATCATCTTCGTCATCGTCGTCGACATCGACATCAACATCGACATCATCTTCAGTATATAAATCTAAACCAGGTGAACTTGATGGATGATTATTATTTATCGATGATTCTTTACTATCATCACCATCATCATTATTATTATTATTATTGACGGTTAATCGATTCGATTCTGATTGTTGCTGCTGTTGTTGTTGATCTGATCGATCATTATCATCATCACCAATCGATCGATCAATTAATGATGTATCATCAACATCATATAATGTTTCAGAAATAATTTCATCCTCATCATCATCATTATCAATAACAATATCTGGTTTATCCAATTTATCCACATCATCATCATCAGCATTACAAGTTTTCTTTAAATTTTCCAATTTTCGATGTTGATCTTTTGATTTTGAATTTTTTTTCATTATTAATTTTTTCTTTTTACGTTTAGTAATTTTTTGTTTCTTTTTATCATCATTATTTGATATTCTAAATGATGCTGATGATAATGTTGTTGAATCATCATTGATATCGAATTCCGTTTGTTGTTGTTTATTTCGGTGTTCATTGTTTTCATTTTGATCTTTACCACCACCAATGTGTTGACTAGTGTTTGCATTTTCATCATTATCATCATCAAAACCGATTGCTTCTTCTCTTTCTTCTTCTTCTTCTTCATTATTATTAAACGTATTCAGTGGTGGTGGTGGTGGTGGTACTTCGGTTGCAAGTAATTCAAATTCATGATATAAACCACTAAATGGAAGAGAAAAACAAAAAAATTTTAAAATTTGAAATTCATCTCAAATGAAAAAAAAACAAACCGTAAAATATCGATACATAATTTATCTAGAATCGGTCCGGCAATATCACGTTGATCCATTATACAGATTAATAAACGATAAGGCCAAAATGTTGACATTGAAGAATAACTACCACCGATTGTCATTGATGAAACAGGTCTTGATGGATTACCATGTAATGAATTATTACGATAAAGATGATGATGTCTTGGATTCATGTGCAGCGATAATGTTGATGATGATGGTGATGATGATGACGATGCTGCCGACTGATGTGTTCCATAACCACCAATACCACCGCCAACGCTACCACCATCCATTGCAGGTAAATAAGGCATTGTAAATGTTATAAATGAATTTGTTAATGCTGATGGTGGTAAAAATGATGTTATCGCTGTCAATGGATTCGTTATACAACGTTTAAATGCTTCATTAACCAAATCTTTTGAATATGTATCATAATAGATTAATTTTTTACGTCTTGCTTTTGCCTCCGAAGTACTTTCACGTGTCGTTGCTGATGATGAACTATTATGATCATTTGATGTAGTGGTTGATCCAAGTAATGATGATCCAAAATTACCGATATTATTGCTATTTGTAGATGATGATTGATTTTTGTTATGGCCACTATTATTATTGTTTGAATTAATATTCGAACCACCACTACTACCACCAGCCATACTAGCACCAGAATCACCACCAAAAAACCAAGCTGAAAGACGACGATTTAATGAAAAATCACGACGTAATAATACGGTCAATGCCGCTGTTATGATAACAATCATTTCGGAACGTTTAAAAAATTTTCTTGACATTACTTGTTGTTGTGGTGGTTTTAATGGTGGTGGTGGTGCAGGTAATGTTGCTGTTGGTTGCGGTGTTGTTGATTTATTGGGCGATATAGCTGTATTGTTGGCATTATTATTCTGTTGTTGTTGTTGTTGTTGTTGTTGCTGTGAAAGCATTGTCTGTTCAACTTGATTCATCAGATTTAAATGTATTGGAAATATTGAAATTAATAAATCTAATATTGCACGTTGTACAAGTATATGTTGATCTAATAATGCTGAACAAATGGCCTGCACTAATGTATGCATACACAAGCCAAGAACATGTGCTTGTTCTTTTATTGAACGTTTTTTATTGAAATGCATCAATACAAATGTTATTGCTGATAATCGAATGGATGAATTCTGTAATATACAACGCCATAATGCACCATAAAAATAGGCAATACCAACACCATCAGCAACTTTCATTAATAGGCCATCAGTACGTTGAAATGAATCAGATACTTCTTCATAACAAGGTAATATACTAATTAGAAAACCATCCAATGCTAATTGAAGACGTTCACCAAGTGGTAATAGATGACGATCATAAAGATCCAATACCGATGGTCGTACATTGATTGCAGCATATCCTAATAATGGAAATAGACCATTTGAATAAATGGTCAAATCAGCTAATAATTGTTCAGATCCAAGAATGTTGAATATTAGATCATATGTTTCCAATGCTTTTAGATGAACACCACTTGGTAATAATGGATGCATACATTGTGCTAAACGTTGTCCAACAATAAAACGACGTGGTATTTTACCAAATTTACTATTATTATTTAGTACCTATGAATGGAGAAATAATAATAATTAAACATTTTCTCTAAATAAATAAATTGCTCTTCTTACCCTGTTTAATTTGCCCAAAGCATTGACAAGATCAGCCCATTCGGATGTATATTCAAAACTTTTCAATGCTTTATCAATAGCCAATGCATATTGACGATATTTATTCTCTTGTTGCATTAATTCTTGATCATTATGATCATAGAATGCTAAACTTGTTGTTGTTGTTGTTGTCGTTGTACCACAATTTTGGCCAATAATATTTAAATTATTTGTACTTGGTGTTGGTGTTATCATTGTTGCTGGTATTGATTGATTCATATTGCCAATTCCACCGGTATTTCTATTACTACTATTATTATTACTACTAGTAGTATTATTATTCCCACCACCAGTCATTGTATTCAGAGAATTTTTTTTCTCACTTTTTTATTTTCATTGATTGAAATTCATTATATAAATCAATAAATTGATAATGACATTGATTGATTCATTTTGGAATGATGATGATGATGATGATTATATCACTATATATATATTTATAGTATATATATTGGGATTGGGATGATGAAAAACAAATCACAAATGTCGGTTGTTTTTTATTTTTCAATAATAAAATTTAAAAAAAATGGCTAAAAATGGAAATAAAAAGAAAAAACAAAAAAACAAAATTATTATTCAGTTGATATCATTATTGTCATGTCAATTGTTGTTATGATGAATGAAGAAAAAAAAAATTTAATTATCAATCATCATCAGCAACAATGAAATAGAAATCAATCAATCAATCAATTAAATTCAAATATGTGTGTCTGTGTTGTGAAGAATGAAAATTGAAATTGAGAAAAAAAAACAGGAAAACCACAAACAAAAGACAGCAGATGTTCAAGGCTAAATGAATTTTTTTGTTTGAATGAAAAAATTTCTGATGTTACACACACACACGTCAAACACACACACACACACACACACAGTGCAATTTGGTTTCATCATTGAGAAATGATGATAATTTAGTGTGTTTTAAAAATTCAAAAATTTTGAAATATGAAAATTTCAATCATGATGATGATGATGATGAAGTTATTTTTTCGGATACAAAAAAAAAAACAAAACAAATCAATGCCAATTGGATATAGTGAAATGATGAAAAATAAATGTTCCAATCAATCAAAATCAAAATCAAAATCAAAATCGATCGATCGATCGCAACAGCAACACTTAAGGTACGATTAACAATTGTTTGGATTGTGAACCATTTTTTTTGATTAGTAATCAAATCAATCAATCAATGGTGATGACAATGAAAATTAAAAATAAAAAAACAGTACAGTACAGTACTAATGAATGGATTAAAACCACAAACAGATAGAGAGATAAAATATCAATCTATCTCTATAAGTAACCGAGAAAAAAAAATCAATAATCAATAATCACTGCTCTTTGAGCCGAAAGAATTTTTTTTTTAATTATTGTCGCTGTTGCTGTTGCTATTGAATGCTCAACCAAAAAAAAACATCAATCGGCAACAATTTTGTAAACATAAAGAAGGAGGAAAAAAAAAATTCTTCAAATTTAATAATTGCAACATCTCTCTCTCTCTCTCTCTCTCTCTCTCTCTCTCTCTCTCTCTATTTGACTCATGTGCGTATGTTAATGATTACAAGCAAAACAAAAACAAAAACAAAACAAAAACTTGCATTTCACTATTTTTTTTTTTTGCTGTTGTCGTGTTATATAAAAAAAAAATGAATCTATTGGAAACAGATTACAACCACTTGGATTAATAATAATAATTTGTGTAAATATTTCATCGAAAACAACAACAACAACAACAAAAATGATAAAAAAAAATGCTTGATTGTTGTCGTCGTCGTCGTCGTTGATAATAATAATAATAATAATGATCTGAATCACCAGCACACCAAACAAATGACAAAATTAGAAAAAAAAAATAAAAATTGAGAACGCTCATATACACGGTAAACAATCCGTTTTTCTTTTTTTTTTATTTGTTTTTTTTCTTGCCATAATCGAAAGAGAAACGCCCAAAATGACAAGCAGATAGTGGAACAGAAAAAAATGTCCAAAAAATGTGGAAATTGTGTGAGCCAGTGTGTGTGTGCATGGTCAATAATTATATCTGAAAAATTCAAACTAAGAAAATTGTCTTCTTTTTTTATGCCACCGAAATATAATAGAAAGGGGAGAGAGAGAGAGAGCGAAAGAAACGATTGGATCCAATCTAAATGTCTGTGTGTTTGAATGAAACATTGCTGTTGTCATTGACGGTGAAATGGTCCAATGATCATCATCATGATATATAAATCACACCGACATCGTCATCATAGTGATGATGATGAATAGTTAATAAATTGAAAAACATGAAAAAAAAGACAATAGAATCAAATTCGAATCAAAACGACCAGCAGCAGCAGCAGCAAAAGTCATAAAGTTTTTTTCTTTCTTTTTGGTCCGATAATAACAATAATGAAAAATGTCAGTCAAGCAAAACAAATGTTGTTTTTTTGCTTTTCTTTTCGAATCATTTCCAACAACAACAACAACAACAATGGAACAAAAAATAACCAGACATACATATAGATCAAATGAGATAAAATCAGATTCTGGCTCATGTGTGTGTGTGCGTGTAAGTTTTGGGCGACCGAAAATTGAAAAAAGAATGAAAAACAAAAAAATTTTTAATCAAGAAAATTACATGGAATATATATAATGGATCATTCATAAGAAAATGGACAATACTTACCAGAATCGTTTAGAATTAAAATTTGTTACAAGAAAAAATTCGAGTAAAAAAAAGTAAAAGAATTTAGAAGACACACATAAACACACAAAGAGAGAATTTTATATTTTTTTTTTTTTGTTTTGTTTTGTTGGCAAAAATGGTAAAATTGAAAAAGAATTTTCTTGCTGTTTTTTTTGTTGTTGATCGGATTTAATGACGATGAAATAATATATAAATGTGTTGTTGAAATGTTGACGATGACGATTCTTCAATAACAACGGGACAAATTAACACTCAAAAACATAAACATAAACACATACACGCACACCTACATAGAATGTAATTATTTAAAGACGGATGAAAGAATAAAAGAATCAAAATCAAAAAATGATAATTGTTTTCATCAGAATCAAGCAGCAGTAAGATTTTTCAAAAAAAAAAAAAAAATTGAAAATGGAATTGATAAAAACATTTACTTTTTGGAAATTCTTTTCGATTCATTGTTTTTCACGTTCTCTGTGTTGAATTTCAGAATTTCTTTCTTTCGCATTCAATAAAGATCAGATGGCCAACATCATACGATCATGATGATGATGATGATATCATCAGACACACACACATGTAATGTATTGAGAGAGTAGACCAAATAAACAATTTTCTTTTTTTTTTTTTTTCTTTTCTTAACAACAAATCATTTTTTTTTCTTCTTCTTTTTCTTTTGCTGCTGATCAAAATTATGAATTTTTTCCCCAAATGCGTACAAATTGTATTTGTATTGTTTGTGTGTGTGTAAAGGAGAGAATTGCATTGCAATTCCAACAACAGCAACAGCAGCAAACAAGAATGATACGTAGAAAAAAAAAAATTTTTTTTTTTAATCAAACAAAATGGTACCACTAGTCGTAACTTACATTACTACTACTACCACCAAAATAAAATTGAAAAAAAAAAAAAATGAAAATTATGAAATGATGATGATGATGAAATGAAATGAAACGCCGACATAAACAACTTTGTGCGTGTGTGTTGTGTGTGTGTGTGTGGCAGTAGTAGCAGCGATTATTAAAGATTCTGTTCAATATAACTTGATATGTATGAATTTGGCATTTTTTTTTATTCAATAAATAATTTTGGTGCAAATAAATTTGATTGATCACGTGACAATTTTTTTTTTTCGTTAACATTATTGTATAATGTTACAACCCTAAATTTTTTTTTTTTTTTTTTTTTTGGCAGTTTTATTTCTAATTTTGAAATGAATGATGATGATGTGTACCTGTGTGAGTCATCATTGATCGTGTGTGTACATGCGTAGTACAACATACGTGGTCTACCAACATAAATGTGACGTAGTAGTAATGTATATAACCAACCACGATTATGATCACCATCCACTAGATGGCCATACTGTTTTTTTTTATTTGAAAATAAAATACGAAAAAAAATTTTTTTTCAAGCCAATTTTTTTTTTTCCCGAAAAAAGTAAGAGAAAAAACTGGGGAAAAAATGCAAAAAAAAAAATTTCACAAAAACAAGAAATTAACCGATGGCTTATATAAAGTTGGACTAGAGTAAATATTATGACTGGAAATTAATTTTGACGATAAAATTTCACCAATTCCATATGACGATCAATCGATATTGACCAACGACGTTGTCGTTGTTTTTGTGCATTGATCGTATTATTATCATTCAATGATTGAACAACAACATGATTATTGTGTTTTGATGATTGCAATTGAAAATTGATATTTTTCATCTTTTTTGTTACCGTTGCCGATGATTCCGGTATTGGACATGATCGTATCGAACGAATTTGATCCATTGATGATTGTGGATCATCAGATGATTGTTTATTATTGAATTTGCGACATAAATAGGCTTGTTCTTCATTCAAAATGATTGCTTTTAATTGATCAAAATCAATCATCGAACGACTGATTGTATTTCGATCACATTTACAACCGAAATTCGAACGAATCCAATAATCAAGCCAATATAATTCGCTAGGCATTCCATGCATCACCAATTTAAGTAATGGACCAACATCTTCTTGTTGTTCAAGCTCAGGAAAATATTTTCTCATCACCAGTTCAAATTCATTTAGATATTCATAACATTTGCCAATTTTTGCTCGTTTTAGATTCGATAATAATTCATAACGATTATTGGAATTTTTTTTGAAAACAAATTCCTTCACTTGTTGCTGTTTCTGGGGTCGTTGTTGTTGTTGTTGTTGTTGAACAATAGGTTCAGGAAGACTACGAAATGCTTTAATTGTGGGACTAGGTGGATCTTTGGCCGATTTATCAGATTTTTTTGCACGATCATCACAAAATTGTTGCCAAAATTCTTTGGCCATTGAAAATGATTCACGACGTTCGATTCCATTTTCATGATCATCATCATTACGATGATTAATTGGACTAGAATGACTTTCAAATGATCCGATACCAGAATCAAGACAAAGTGAATCGATAGAAATGTTATCATCTGATTGTGATTTTTGTGCCAATAATTTATCTGATTTCATCATCATATGGCAATCGTCATTGTAATTTGAATATAATTTATCCAATGACCAATCATCATAGTAATCAAAATCAATTTGTTTACAATGTCGACGATAACGACGTTTATTTTTAGCTTGACGATCATTTTTCAATTGTTGTTTATACACTGATGACGATGATTGAATTTTTCGATTACGTTTCGCTGTTGATTCTTGAAATAATTTACCAAGATTCCAATCATCAAACTCGATGATTGATGAAGATTTTTTAATCGTTGACGACAATGGGCGATCATTATTCTTATCGTCGTTATTGCCACCACCACCACCAAACCATTCATCCCAACAACCAACATGAAAATCATCATCATCCAGCACAGATTCAGATGATTGATTAGCTATGATTTTTTCATAATTGAATTTTAATTAATTTTAAATCAATCAAAATTGATTAAATTTTTCAAACCTTTTTTCGGTGTACGAAAAATATGTTCCAATGTTGTTGTCCATTCATCGGAATCAAAATGAACACTGCCACTAATAGGACGATCCAATTGATAACGATGACGACGTCCACGACCACGTTCTGGTTTATTTTGAAATGGTATTGATTCCTGTCCAGATGAATTGGATCCACCAATAATGGTGACAAATGATTCATTGGAAATATCACCGATAATTTCATCAATAAATTTATCATTCATATCACAACGAATAATGTAATGTCGTGAAGATTGATGACGATTATGATTGATAGATTTTTTCATTGAATCATTTCTAGTGAATGAAATTGTTTCTGAACCAAATAAATGATCCAAATTACAAATAGATGAATTGATTACGGATATTTTTGAAACTTTATCAATATCGATATTATCTATATCACCGTCGCCAACACCACCACCACCACCACTACTACTACAATGGCTACTTTCATCTGTAAAACGTAAACGAATCGGTTCCATTTGAAATACACTGCTACCATTATCTTCTGTATCATCGATGGCATCAAAATCTTCTAGTAATGGATTTTCATGTATTGTTGGCAACATTATTACTGATGATAATTCCTGATCGATCAATGTTTCAATCGGTTCATTTGATTTCAATGTTGATGATTGTTGTTGTTGTTGTTGCTGCTGCTGGTGATGGTAGGAGTGGTGGCTTTCATCATCATTTATTATCCGAAAAGATTCTTCAGAAATCATATTGTCACCAGTTTGTTGATTCAGATATTTTTGCTGTTGTGGTTGTTTCAATTGGTAATTTTTAATTTTTTTAAATTTTTTCGATTGTTGTCTACGAAAACAAGCAAAAAATGATGACATGAAAAAAATTTTTATAACAAAAAAAAACAACAACAAGATGAAAAACAATTGAAAGAAAGAAATAGAGACAGAAGAGAGAGAGAGAGAGAGCGAATGGGATGAAAACTTTTTTCAATCAATAATTTTCTTTAAATAATGTTCGATCAGGCCTTTCTCTCTCTCTCTCTGTCTCTTTTGAAATTAATAATGTTCATCATCATCATCATCATAATCATAAAGTTCAAAATTTATAAATTTAAAAACTTGGAAAAAAAATTTTTAAACTTTAAACTTTTCCACATGTGATCATTATTATCATATCATCATCAATTTTTATTATTATATATGTGAAATAAATCGTACAATTTTTTTTTTGACATTTAAATTTTGACTTGTATGAAATGATCAAATGTTTTTTTTTCTCTTTTCACCAACCGCAGAGCGCATATGAATTTTCCAAATGAAATAATATATTATATAGACAGTTTAATGGTGAAAATCAGCCAAAAATGGATATCAATCAATCTGAAATCTCAACAACAACAACAACAACAACGACGACGACGACGACGACGACGTTGAACAGAAAAATCCATCGATTCTCAGAGTCAAAATTTTTTTTTTGTGAGAAAAAAAAAATGGAAAAATCCGAAACTGTGAAAAAAAAATTTATTTTTCCGCTACGTCAAGTTTTTTTTCCACAATTTCGGATTTCTCTTTCTGATTCATTCATTCATTCATTCGTTTCTCAAACTGATGAATGAATGAATGAATCGAAAAAAATGGCCAAAAATTACCGAATAATAAAAAAAAAGAAAAATCAAAACATTCCTGTGTTTGTTACAAATTTATTTATTTATTTTTTTTACGTGGACAAATTTCATTTATGAATGGAAAAAATGAATGAATGAAGAAACCAGTGGAAAGAGAAACCAGTTTCAATCATCGTCAATGATCGATATAATCGATATATCGACTGCAACTTTTACACTCGCCAAGTGCTTGCACACTTGGCATTTGATGCGGGAAGCTGAGCCGGCCATTCCTGCTTATTTTCAGTACAAACATAACTATTTATTATGAACATATATGCCGCTGAACAGTTCGTCCAAATTCTGTGGTATGTAGCTTTGACAAAGCTTTTTTTCATTGTTCTAGCTCAGCGCACGTTGCTGCAGCTTTTGCATCCAATAGATGGTGCACCACAAAAGTGTATTTGATGATGTGCATTCATTGGAATGATTTTTTCTGTTTTGTTCCAAAAATTGTCTGTCTGTGTGAACATTTGTGTGTGTGAAATTTATATATTCGATAAAAATGATGATGATGATGATGATAATAATAAACTAACGAATAATAATAATAAGAGAAACGCCTATTTAAATATTTTGATGATGATGATGATGATGGATAATAATAACCGGATGTATTCGTTCATTTGTTCGTTTGTTGGCATTATAATTCATCAATCATCGTGATGATGATTATTATCTGATTATGTTTTCTTTGTGATATCATATCATATCATAACTATATATAATCAATTAACATATCAGTGACAAAATCACCATTAAATCATTGTAATCAATCACAATGTTTTTGATGGTTACTTGGTCGACCACATTTTATCCGCATTTTTTTTTTTGTTTTTATTTTATTATCATCAGAAAATTTTTTGTTGTTGTTGTTGTTGTTGTTGTTTTCACCTACATTTTTTGAACCAAAAAAAAAATTTTTTTTTTGAATATGAAAATTGATTGAACATCAACATCAACATTATTATTATTATTATAACATAACCTGTTGCATAGCAATGTTTTTTTTTCTTTTCCTTTCCATTTTTATACACACACACACATTTATGATTGATGCTTGCTTTCTAAAAAAAAAAAAAAAATCGGATTGGCAATCATCATCATCGTCATCGTTGTTTATAGATTTTGACAATTTTTTCTTTTTTTTTCCACTTTTTTTTTCCTTTTAATCAATCAAAAAACATTTACATTATTTGAGATCATTGGAAAAAAACCATGCATCATCGTTGTTTGTGTGGTCGATTGTTTGGTTGATTGTTTTTTTTTCTGTTCTGTTCCGTTTTGTTTTGTTTTTGCCCCCCCTTCCACAACTTTCTTCTGGTTGTTGTTGTGGCTATTTTAATCGTTAAAAACTGCCATATTTTAAGCCAGAACAAGTGAAAGAGAGAAGAAAATCGGTTGAAATTTTTTTTTTTTATTATTGAGAAAATAAAAAAAAACCGGCAATAAAAATTGACATGCGCAATGCGATGAATTATTATCGATATTTTCAATTTTGTCTGTTTCATCAATCAAATTGAACAAACTGAACAACAGTTGCAATCATCAAATATAATACAGTGACATCTCGGATCTCAAAAGTCGTCGTTAATTTTTTTTTTTTTTAATATTTCCAGACAGGTATATATATATACACCTTTGAATTGAGAAAAAAAAAGGAAAAAAAATTTTTTATCCAATCTTATAATTCTCGTTGTGAAAAATACATGTTGTTTATCGGTGGTAGTAGTAGTAGTAGCAGTAGTAGCAGCAGTAGTAGTAGTAGGGGTGGTGGTGGTGGTGTTTGTTGTAGTAGTAGTATACTATAGTAAACCATGAATAAAAAAAATCAAAGAGAGATGTTATGATGGAGATGAAGAGATGGGAGGGGCAACCGAAATTGAAAGTTTTTTTTTTTTGTTTTCATGAATATAAAATATATACAAGCCACATACTGTGAATGGGAGAAAAACAAACGGCAAACTTTCTCTTCAACAACAACAAAAAAAAAATACCTTGAATATTGATGATGGTGGTGGTTCATCGTTGATGATTTCACTGTGTTTTTTTTTTTAGTGTCTGATCGTCGTCAATCAACAACAACAACCACTAGTTGCACATTTTTATTATTATTATTATTAGCAGTTGTATAATAATTTTTTTTTTTTGTTGGTTTCACATTTCGACGACGATTTCGATCCAATAAAGCAACGAATAAAAAAAGAAACAAACACAAATCTATAGATTTCGAATCGTCAATAGTCACAACATTTGTTCATCATTTTTTTGTGTGTGTGTGTGTGTGAAATTTTGAAAAATTTTTATTTTCCTGTTGAATTTCACTGTTTTTATTTTGTTTGTTTTTATCTGGTGTCCGTTTTTTTTGTCTCTCTGTGTGTGTGTGTGTGTGTGTGTGTAAATGTGGATTACACACACACAATTCATTTTGTGTTTGTGTGCGTGTTTTTTTAAAAATCTTCATCCGAATACCCGGTGAAACTGAAGAAAAAATAAAACATCCCGGCAACAATCAGTGAAATAAAAAAGAGGGTAAGTTTTTTTTCTGTTTGTTTGTTTGTTTGTTCAAATTTCCAGATCCAAATCCAATGATGATGATTGTGTGTGTGTATAATCGATCAAATTGATCAATCGACGAACAAACAAAAATCCCATATATTTGATTTTTATTGTCATTGTTGTTGTGTGTTTGTGTGTGTGTGTATACTGAAATGCTATTGTTATCCATTATTATTGTTCCTTTTTTTCATAATAATTATAATGATGATTGTTGTTGTTATTTGTTAAAGATGAAAATGATGATTGGATCAATGTTTTTTTTGTTTCATTCGATTCATGCTAGAATTTTGATTCGTCATCATCATCATCATTTCTGATTATTCACTTGTGTGTGGGTGTGTGTGTGTGTGCGTGTGTGATTTGCTGTTTTTTTTCTTTGTTAAAAAAAACGGCATTTGTTTTATTAGATGCTCATTCGTTTTGTTTGGTTTTACATTGACATTTAAACAAATGAAAAATTGATGTTTTCAAGATTCAATGGAATTTTGTTTTGTTTCATCATTACTTCTACTATATAGTGTTGCTGCTGCTGCTGCTGCCGATGTTCAATTTTGTTATTAATCATTGCAATCATCATCATCATATAGATATGTATACACCGCAATGATATATGGTTGAAACCAGAAAAAAAAACAAAACCAAACGAAAACAAAAACGACCAGTAACAACAACAACAACATCAATGATGAATTCCAATGAATTTTGTTGAACAAAAAGACAAATTGTATTGTACAATAATAAAAAAAAACAAAATCTAATGACTAATCTGATGATGATTAATTACAATTCTCGATTATGATCATGATGATGAATTGGAACAATTTGAAAAATCGAATTGAATACACACACACACACACACACAAACATTTCATTTTATCATCGTCGTAGTCATCATCAATACCATACATCAATCAATGATCAATGATCAGTGATCAATGATAAAAAAAACATTGACAAAATCAACATAGAAAGAGAGAGAGAGAGAGAGAGAATGGAAATAGGAAAAATTCAAATTTGCAATAATAATAAAAATATCATTATAATCCATTCATTACATCAATATAGCGGCAATATTATTATAATACATAGATCGAAATCAAAATCGAAAAATAAAAAAAAAAAAACTATCATGTCGTTGTTATCGTAACGTTTTTTTTTCTCTCTTTACCCATTATGATAATAATAATAACAACAACAACAACAACAACAATGATGATGATGATGATGATGAAAAATGGCATTTTATTATCGATGCAATGATCATCATCGATGTTGTTGTTTGATGATGATGATGATGATGATTGTTATCGTTATGGCTACCAAAAAAAAAAAAAAAAATTTTTTTTTTTTTTGGCCAAATATGCAAATGGATTGTTTGTTTGTTTGTATGGCTGCCTGCTTGGTTGCCATTTGTTTTGTTGTTGTTGTTGTTTTTTTTGTTACCATTCATTCATTTGAATATTATAAGTGAGCAAAATGAATGAATTTTGAACGAATGAAAACATAGACACACTAGGACAATAGCTAAAAAAAAAAATTTTTTTGATGATGATGATAATGTGTGTGTGTGTGTGTGTGTGGTGTATGGCAAAATATTTTGATGAAATCCAAAGAATAAAAAAAAAATCCATGTGCATGATCAACTTCACCGGAAGAGGTGCGGCAATCATCATCATCATCATCATCATCGTGGTTGTTGTTGTTGTGTTGTTGTAACGGTTTATTATTATTGTAGAAATAGGAAAAAAAACCAGATTTTTTTCTTCTTTTATTTCCACAAATCATCATCGTGGTTGTTGTTGTTGTTGTTGTTGTGTTGTTGTAACGGTTTATTATTATTGTAGAAATAGGAAAAAAAACCAGATTTTTTTTTCTTCTTTTATTTCCACAAACCACAAATCATCATCACTGTATGTCTATTGTTTTTTTTCCCTTTCCTTTCAATGTTTTTTTTTTTTTTTTCAGCATACATACATTCGTTTTGTGTTTTCAATGTTGTTCAGTGTTTGTTTTTCTCTCAGTGTTTCATTCTTCATCATCATCATCATCATCATCGTCATTTTTAAATATTATCATTCATTAATAATGATGATGATGAATGAATGAATGAAAACCAAAAACAAAACAAAACAAAAAACAACGGCACACGACAAAAAAAAAAAAAAAATGATTAATCAATCAAATGGTACAATCGATTAATTTTCAATTGATCAATGATCATGTTCAATCAATGATCATTCATGTGTTTCTACAATACCAATCAGTCAGTATATATTATTATTATTTGAATTTATCAATCAAATCGAATCGAATCAATCAAAATTTTTTCAATTCAAAAACAAAAACAAAACAAAAAAAAAAAAACATTGTCACAGACAGTCTCTTGTGGTTGTGTGTGTGTGTGTTTTGTCTGTCTCAATTTTTTTTTGAAATATAAAAAAAAGAAAAAAATTTTGGTTTTTCAATTGTCTCCAAAATGTATGTATAGGTATTTGTAAACCAATCCTAGAAATCATGTTCAACACGTTTTCTTTACACCAATTTACTCAATTGATCATGATGTATTCAACAATACAGACAGAAATGATGAATTAATTGATTTTTCAATCATCATTTGCACAACACATGTTGTTGTTGTTGTTGTTGTTGTCTTCCTTGAATTGCACATCACACACAATTATATTGGTTGGTTATTGATGATCAAATGATAATTGATTAATTGCAATGAAAAAACAAAAAACAAAACAAAAAAAATTTTCAAAACATTAATTTTTTAGCCTTGAAAACTTATCACATTGTGAATTTAATATCAAAAATGATCCAGTGTGTGTGTGTGTGTGTGTATGTCATTCACTTTCCTTCAAATCGGTTAATCAGTTTTTTGTTTTGTTTTGTTTTTTGATAATGCACTTGCAACCAAAAAAAAAAAAAAAAAAGTATCCAGTTGTTTTTTGTTTCTCTAAAAAAAAAAAAAAAACTATTTCTGGAGAAAGAGCGAAAAATCACATCCATCCATCCATCCATCTCTCTGATTTATGTATGCTAAAATTAAGTTATCATGATCATAATCATTGATGATCAAGTAGTAGTAGTAGTATCATCCATCATTGGTCATCAATGGTCATCATCATCATCATCATCAAAAAAAAAAAATTGATGATTGGTCGTTGTTTTTTTTGTTTCAGTTGTAAATTTTTTTTTCACCATCCCAACAAAAGTGAAAAGATTCAATTTTCATATGCTATTATTAGAATGCAAAACATGATTTTGTTTCTGTTTTTTTTTGTAAATTTTATATATCATGACTTGATTATGATCAAATTTCAAAGTTTTTTCTTTTTGGTTTTGGATGCCGTTATTTTTTTTTTTTTTTTTTTTTTTGACGACGACGACGACCAATCCATCATTTAATCTGTCATTCACCTTGTTGTTGTTGTTGTTGTTTATCATCATCATTTTTCAATTTTTTTTTAATCCGGTTCAATTTTTGTTGTTGTTGTTGTTGTTGTTCCTTTGACCATATATATTTATATATACCGGCAATTTATACGTCTTTTGTGTGTGTGTGTGTGTGTGTGTTAAACCTGATGATCTTTGTGTATATACGAAAATAAATTTCATTTTCAAACATCATCATGTCTTGTTTTTGGTTTTGGTTTTGTTGTTTCACATTTAAAATTCTGAAACATTTACACAAGTTGTTGAACATGTGTGTGATACAATAAATTTTTTTTTTACGAGCTCGCGTGGGTGAAATAAAGTTGTAAACTTAACGCTGTAGCGCTGATTGATATAACGCTGTACAATAAATTACATTTTGTTACATTGTATATGAAGGGTAAAATGCATTATGTAAAATAGACCCGCTTAGCGCTGTTTGCTTAACGCTCAGAATAAAGTAGTATATTTCATCATCATCATCATTAAAAGTTTTGTTTTTTGTTGTTGTTGTTGTTGTTGTGTTGTTGTTGTAGCTGTAAATCCTTAATGATGATGTGTGACCTTTTTTTCCAAAAAAAAAAAAAAAATCCACTTCACAGTGATTATGTTATGGCGATGAGTGAAATTGAATGAACAGAAAAAAATTTTAACCCATAAAAGGTGCCGCTGTATTTTGGTTGTCATTTTTATTTTCAATTACATATTTCATCATCTGATTCATCATCATCATCATCGTGATTATTTTGAAAGAAATTTTAAAATTTCACATTTTCATTTTCCTTTTTTGTTTGTTGTTGTTTTTTGGGTTTTATGATTTAATAGAAATTTTTCCTTTTCCTTTGCCTTTTCTTTTTGTTTTTTTTGTACGTGTGTGTGTGTGCGTGTTGGCAAGGTGATTGATCAATGTGTCAATGTGTGCGTGTTTGTTGATGTCATCATCATCATCATCATCAATCCATGATCAAGGATTGTTTTCATGTCTTTTTTTTCCTTTTTCTCTCTTTCAAAAATGAATCATCGATTGTATTGATTTATTGGAAAAAAAATTAATCTATATGACATGTGCGTGTTTGTTTTGTTTTTGTTTTTTACCGTTTGTTGAAATGTAAATTGTTCGTCTGTTTGGTTTCTGCGAAAAACCTTTATCAGATGTTTGACGATTGTTGTTGTTGTTGTTGTTGTCGATGAATGATGATATCAATTATAAACACGCACATCATCTTGATGTGACATAATAATAATGACCACTTTCACGTTGTTTTGTTGTTGTTGTTGTTGTTGTTGTTGTTGATGACAAAATCTCATCTTTTTTCCAGTGTATTTCAATCATCATCATCATCAAATGATTATGATTGAAATTCGTTTTTTTTTCATTTTTAATTACTGTCCATTGTGTTTTTGAATGAAACAACAACAAAAAATATTTAAATTTCAATTGTACATTTTTTACCATGAAATTCATGACTTGAATTTTTTTGTTGTTGTTGTTGTTGTTGAAATTGATATGTATCACCATTATCGTTATCATGATCTAAAAATCTTTCTCGTGTATATGTGTGTGTGTGTGTGTCGATCCATTCGTTCGTTTGTTCAAGTTTGTTATCAATGATGAACGAAACAAAAAAAAAAAAAATGCAAACAATTCCAATTGCTATTGCTTGTTGTCAGAAAAATTTTTCCCTTGACAACCAAATCAAAAAACAGAAAAAAACAATCTGTTAATGTGTTTGCGTGATAGAAAAGAGAACATTTATAAAAATCAAATTATAGCAATCATCATCATCATCATCTCTTGGAAATCCGGATGTCAAGCTTTATTATTGTTGTTGTTGTTACTATTGCTATTATTGTTCTGGTTGTTCCAGCAACCGAAATCAGAAATTTTTTTTTTGCTAGCAAATTCCTTCTTTAAAAATAAACCGGAACCATTTTACACTAACTAATCCAATGATGATAATTCTTTTTTTATTATTATTATTTTTATGATTGATGATTAATTGTGATTGATGAAATATGATTGTCCGCTCTTCATTTAATCGAACGCGCTATATTTATTTAATCATCACCATTTTATTATATATATTACGATGATCATGGATCACACACACTCACTGTATCTTGTTATTCCCTTTCGCTCTCTCTCTCTTTCTCGATAATTATATCGGATTGATGATGACCAGACAGGTGCCCATTATTATTCAATTTAATGAAAATGCAAAAAAAAACTTTAGTGACCCAGATAATGATGATGACGAACAGTTATGTTTCGTTTCTCTCTCTCTCTCTCTGGTTGTTGCTTGTTTTTTTTCTGCAAAACACCAAAATAAAAACAAGTAAAAAAATTTAAATTTAATCACACAATCTTTCAATTTGTTTGAAAACGAAAAAAATTCACACATTCTCATCAATCAATAAGAAATTCTAGGTTTTTCAAATTTTCATTTCCGTTTTTGTTATTCATTACACGGAATAACATTAATTGTACACCAAAATGATCAAAATAGATTTGTTGATGTAAATATCAAATCTAATAAAAACAAAAGATTAAAGGTGTGAATGTTGTTGTCGTCATCGTCGTTTTTTGCGTGTGTGTGTGTGTGTGTGTGTGTCTTTGTCTGTGACGGAAACATAAAAACCAGCCAAATTTGCATCATTCATGATGATTTTTTTCAAACAAACAAGACAGAGAGAGAGAGAGAGAGAGAGAGAGGTGCAAGAGGATAAAAACAAAACACGTGAAATTCAATTCAATTTTTGGATAACATCAATGTGTGTGTGTGTGGGTGGATGAATGGATTATTGTGTCTCGTGTTTTCTTTTTCTTTTTCTCCTTTTAAAACGTTTTACGTTTGTTTTTTTAAAAAAATTTTATTTTCATAGTAATAATAATAAATGGTGGGCGTTGTTGTTGTTTAATCCTATTTTTTTCATATTTATTCCATCATTATTGTTTTTTTGTTACAATGATAAATCATCCGGAAAAAAAATTGTGTCAAGATTGTTTTTTTATCTGTTTTCTTCTTCTTCTTGACTTTAATAATAATTCAATTATTGTTTCTGATAAACCAGAGAGAGAGAGAGAGAAAAAAAAAATTCATGTTTAATGCATAACTGTTTTTCGAACGGTGAAAATTATATCATCATCATCATCATCATAATCGTCATCATTTTTCTTTCGATAGATCAAATGTTTGTATTCAATGATTGATTGATTGATTTTTTTTTTGCAATTTGTTTCGTGATTATCGATTTTCAATGTATATTTATCATTGTCATTGTGTTTTTTGTTGTTGTTGTTGTTGTTGTTAGAAAATATTTTTTATTATTGAAACTTAAACAACAACGGAAACAAATAAACACCTTCAACATTTTTTGTTTTTCACTTTTTTTTGGTAACAATAAAAAAAATGAAAATGAAAAAATGAAAATCTATGTCATTCACGATTTTATCATCGTAAAGAATTTTTTTTTTTTTGTTTTTGATGATAAAATAAAAAAAAAAACACAAGCCATTTGATTTCATTTTTGTTCGTTCATTCAACCTGATTGATGATGATGATGATGATAGACCGGAAAACTAAAAAAAAAAAAAACAAGCCGGTTAACTCACACTAATGGATACACTGGATACCAGATTAGACGGTATCCACATATGTGTGTGTGTGTGTGTGTACATGTCAGTGAAAATTACCGTAATAATCCAAATATATATTATGCAAGTCATCACACCAACACAGACCGGAAATGGAAGTTTTAAATTGAATTTTGTTTATGTTTGAATATATACCGATATACAATCTGTCTGTGTGGATTTTTGTTCTTGTTGCCACCGGGGGAAAAAAAAAAAAAAAAAAATTCACACATTTTCAATTTCATTGGCATCATCGTTGACAAAATTTTTTTTTTTTACTGTCTCTACCTGTATTTTGTTTGGTTGTTTGTTTATCTTGGTGTGGTGTGGTGTGGTGATAATTTTTTTCTTCTTCTTCTTTAAATTCATTTCTTCCTTCTTTTACAATTATTATCTTTGAAAAAACACACACACAGACACACAAAACAAACACATAAACATTTATACATACACATCGATCGATCGATCGATCATTCTCGATCAATCATTGAATGAATGAATCAATCAAATGTCCATTGATTATGAGCATGCGCTTTTTTGAAATTTTTGATTTTATTCATCACATCAATGATGATGAATGCAACGTCAACAGCAATTATTATTATCATCATCATCATCATTTCGCCAATATAAATATCGAAATCAATGATGATAAAGTGAACATCGACTAAATCACACACACATACATACCACAGTAACCAACCAACCAACCAACCAACCGAACAAACAAAAAACGACGACGATGATGATGATGATGAAAAAAAACCGAAAAAAATTTTCTTTCGTTCGTTCATAATCATCATCATATTTTTTAAACCAGAAATTGTTGTAGCTTTGTGTGTGTGTGGTGAATGAAAAAAAAAACAACAACGATCGAAATATCGAACTATCAGCCACTACTACCATAATTATTGTATATACCACCACACCACAAAAATTGTTGCTTGCTCACTAAAAAAAAAAAAAAAAATTTTTCTTTCTCTTTCTATACTTTTTTTTCCATTAAATGTAAGCATGTGGAAGAAGCATTGTGTGTGTGTGTCGACAAATATATTTGATTAACAAGTGTGTGCCACGAGTGAGTGGTTGTTGAGTATTACGCGGCAATAATAATGATGTTTATGAACGGTCCATGTACTCGCTATGGTTAAAATATATTGATGATGATAAAGATGATGATGAGACATATGTTTTATATGGTGATGATGATGATCGTCAAGTTAATTTACGTTGATGTTTGTCAATTTTTTATTTTTTATTAATATTTCATTATTATTGTCTGTCTGTGTCTGTGTATGGTATGGTATGGTGATGATAATGTGCTCAAATAAAAACGACCACAAAATTGAAATATAAATTTTCATTCCAATTATAAATTTTTGTTTTCTTCATATTTTAATCATCAAATCACATCACATTCAAAATTCAATTCAATTTCAATTAATCGAATTTCTTCTTATATTTATTATTTATTATCAACAGGTGGTTTTTTCACTCTCTCTTTCTCTCCGTGTGTGTTTGTGTATGTCGTCTGTGTCCACTTTGATTTTAAATTTTTTTTTTTTTTTTTTTGTTGTGAAAATTCTTTTATTGTGAGAAAAGTGAATTGCAAACAAAAATAAATAAATTTCGTCTTGTTGTTTTGAAAACACAAGAAAAATCAATAAATACACAATTATCTGGTGGCGGTAAGTGTTTAACATTTCACCATTTTATATTGTGTGTGTGTGTGTGTAAAATATTTGTAAAATAACAAAATGATGAATCATCGTCGTCGTTTTTTTCTGGGTTCAATATATATAGCTATTTGTGACCTATCGGTCAATTTTTTCCATACACACACACATTTTTTAATCAAATTTCCAAACATTTTCCAATTACAATTTTTGCTCATTTATTACGCCTGTTCCAGATACATCAATCAATCAAAGACAATACAGAAAGCTCAAATATCACATAATTAATTATTGTTTTTTCATTCATTTCATTCATTCATTTCTTACCATTGCCATTTATAATCGTAGAAAGAAAAAAAAATTAGACAGACAAGCCAAAAAGACAGATGGAACATACATACACAGAGAGAGAGAGAGAGAGAGAGAGAGAGAAAAAAATTAAATTAAATTTGATCTGCCATCATCATCATCATCATCATCTTTGAAGGGCGACAATAATAATATTTTTTTGGCGACAAGAAAAAATCATTTTTGTGTTTGTGTGTGTGTGTATGTATGTTTGAGATTAAAAAAAAAAAAATACCACCAACAATCATTAATGAGTGTATAATATATCGGTATTTTGTGTGTGTGTGTGTGTTTCATGATCTCTTCTTTCCATCTTTATTATTTTTTTTTATATTAACTATCTATAATATATAGAGAGAGAGAGAGAGAGTAAGAAACGATAGCATCATCGATCAATATCAGTCAATTTTCTTGTGTGTGTGTGTGTATATCATATTGCGTTCATTTTCCGTTTAGGCATTTTTTTTTCTTTTCATAAAATTTTCTTTGTTCTTTGTTTCCAATATATTCCTGATATTGAATTCTGTTCTAATCTTTTCATTTTTTTTTTTTGTCTCACAGATTCACATTCCAAACTCGATATTGGTTCGTGATTAAATTTCCAAATTAATTAGCATTTTTTTTTGTCTCCAATCTCAATTGTTTATCATCAATATTTTAAAAAATCAACAAAATGCCACGAGCAATCAATGTACGTGTTACAACAATGGATGCCGAGTTGGAATTTGCCATCCAACCGAGCACAACTGGCAAACAATTATTTGATCAGGTAGTGAAAACTATTGGCTTACGTGAGATATGGTTTTTCGGTCTACAATATACGGATTCTAAAACCTATACAACATGGTTGAAATTGAATAAAAAAGTCATGTCACAAGATGTGAAAAAAGATAATCCATTACAATTTAAATTTCGTGCCAAATTTTTTCCTGAAGATGTTCAAGATGAAATTATTCAGGACATTACATTGGTAAGTGATCTTGTTGATTGTTTTTTTTCTTTAAAGTGAATAATTGAATTTGTTTTTTTTCAGCGTTTGTTCTATTTGCAAGTAAAAAATGCAATATTAAGCGATGAAATCTATTGTCCACCTGAAACCTGTGTATTATTGGCATCATATGCTGTACAGGCAAAATATGGTGATTATAATCCCGAAGTACATCAAGATAATTGCCTACAGAATGATCGTCTATTGCCACAACGTGTTGCTGATCAACATAAATTGACACGTGAAGAATGGGAAAAACGTATTACAGAATGGTGGCAAGAACATGGCGGTATGGCACGTGAAGATGCTATGATGGAATATCTTAAAATTGCTCAAGATCTAGAAATGTATGGTGTTAATTATTTTGAGATTAAAAACAAGAAAGGTACTGAATTATGGCTAGGTGTTGATGCGCTTGGTTTGAACATCTATGAAAAGGATAATAAATTGACACCAAAAATTGGTTTTCCATGGAGTGAGATTCGTAACATTTCATTTAATGATAAACGTTTTGTTATCAAACCGATTGATAAGAAATCACCGGATTTTGTTTTCATTGCTCCACGATTGCGTATCAACAAACGTATATTGGCATTATGTATGGGCAATCATGAATTGTATATGCGACGACGAAAACCGGATACGATCGAAGTGCAACAGATGAAAGCACAGGCACGTGAAGAGAAATCGGTTAAAAAACAGGAACGTGAAAAATTGATGAAAGAAATGAAAGCACGTGAAATGGCCGAAAAGAAACAACAAGAATATGAAGATCGTATCCGCCAGATGCAAGAAGAAATTGAACGTCGTGAACGTATCCTTACGGAAGCTCAAGAAACTATTCGACAATTAGAGGAACAATTACGTCGTGTACAATTGGCCAAAGAAGATATGGAACGACGTTCAAAAGAATTGGAAGAATTGTATTCCAAATTGGCTGAATCCAAACAAATGGAACAAGCTGAACGTGAAAAATTGGAAGAAGAAGTACGTGCAAAACAAGCTGAATATGAACGTGTCCAAGAAGAGGTACGGGCAAAAGAAGAGGAAACAAAACGTTTACAAATTGAAGTGGATGAAGCACGTAAACGACAGGAACAATCGAAAGCAAATCTGGCAGCGGTAACTGAAACGCCACAGAATCATCATGTTTTTGAAAATGATCATGAAGAAAATGATGATGAATTGACTAATGGTGATGGTATGAGTTTTGATTTCACATATAAAGTTAAAAATTCTAATAATCCATTTTTTTAAAAAAAATTTCTTTGTAGTTGAAGTTCATTTCAATGGTGATGCTGATAGTGCTATCGACGTACCACGACCAGAAGAGGATCGAACAACTGCAGTATCGAAAAAGAAAGATCTTCAAGAACAGCTTAAGGTTTGTTGTTGTTGACATTTGATTAAAATTTTTTTTTCACTAATTTCTTTTTTTAAACACCATTATTATTATTATTATAGCAACTAAGCAAAGATCTTGCATTGAATAAAGATGATACAAAAGTAACGGCCAACGATAGGTTGCATCAAGAGAATGTTAAAATGGGACGTGATAAATATAAAACATTACGTGAAATTCGTAAAGGAAACACTATGCGTCGTGTTGATTATTTTGAAAATATGTAAACGTTGTGTTTGATCCAATCCAATCGAATCAATCAATCCATCCATCCAATCAATCAATTTATTTTAAAATTCGAACAAAAAAAAATATAAAAGACACCTACACACACACACACCTACATACGTATAATATTACCCTTACACATACACATTATTATTATTATTATTATCGATCATCAGAATCAATCAAACGAAGAAAAAAAAATTCACAAACAAAACAACAACAAAAAAATATATAAACTATTTTGATACATCACAACTATTTCAACAGCAAGCAACACACACATTAATCTAATTTTTCATAATTTTTTTTTCTTTTATGTTTTGTTACCCCTTTAATTATTTTGAATTTCGATTTGATTTGATTTGCATATTTTTTTTTTAAATGAATTACTAGACACGTGCTGCATACACAGACACAACACGATGATGATGATGATGATAAAATTTTGTTTTTTTATCGATTCTATTGCACAAACCATTATGAACACACACACACACACACCACAGAAATACAGACACACCGAGATACTTGATGATGAAAAACATTCGCTATTTAATCAAATTTTTTTTTCACTCTCATTAATTAATTAATTATTAATTACTATTCCAATTTTTAATTAAAAAAAACCAATCAATCAATCACACCTCGATCATGTTTTGTTACTCTTTATTTTTTTTTTTTACTGTAGAAAATATTGTGACACACAACAACAACAACAAACACACATTCACCAAGTTTTTTTTTTTTTTTTTTTTTTTTTTGATTCAGGATTTCGAAACAAGAGAAAAAAGAATTTTATCCCCAAAAAAAAACAAACAAAAAAAATTGTCCAGATTTTTTTTTCATTATTTTTCATTTTTCATTTCATTCATTCCTTGATTCAATTTTTTTTTTGTTCATTTGTGCATTTTCAATTAGATTTTGAAATAATAAATGATGACTTAATGATTCTTCAATTTGAAAACACAGCTGTCATCTGTCCGCAGCGAAAAGAACCAATGCAACAACATTTTTTTTTTAAATTTTCACTTACAATGATTTTAAATGACCAAATATATATTATATTATTATTATTATCGTTATTATTAATGAATGAATCAATGAATCAATGATTTTGGAAGAAGAACAAGATAGATAAAAAGAGAGAGAGAAAAAAACGAACGAAGATACAATAATCAGTAATGTGTCCGTGTGTGTGAGATACAGATAAAGATAAGTGAATGTGTGTAAGAAAAAACAAAGCGAAAAAAAATTGAAAATTTGAAATATCCAAATGATGGCGATGATGATGATGAAACAAGGATCATTTTCTTTTCTTTTCGGTTTTGGTTTTGGTTTTGGTTTTGGTTTTGGTTTTGGTTTTGGTTTTGGTTTTGGTTTTGGTTTTCGGTTTTCATTTCAATCATCATCATCATCCATTCAACGTATTGAATTTGTTGAAAAAAAAACAAAGAAAATTCACTTTATATATGCATTGGTGGTGATGTGTCTGCGTATGTTTGTGTGTATGTGTAATATTCATTCAATCAATCAATCAATAATAAAATCAAATTAGCACAATCAATTAATAATAATGATAATGATCAGTTTAGTTGTTTTTTTTGTTTTCAATAATAATTAAATGATGGTGATGATGATGATTATTGAATAATGATCAATAATGAGTAATAATAATCATGATGAGATGATGAAAATTCAAAAAAATTAATTAATTATAATAGTCCATTCCTGATGATTTGTTGCTGTTGTTGTTGTTGTTGATTGAAATGTCGTGAAAGCAATGAGAAAGAAAAATGGCGACAATAGTAATGATAATGATAATAATGGATTTCTGAACGTTTTGTTTTGTTTTGCCAAATTATTATTATTTTGTATATATTATGCTTATGATGATGATTAATTTGAAACTGTACAAATTGGATGTCATTTTTTTTCACATTTTATCATTCATGTCTATTTATTTAATCATCTATTATTTTTTTTTATTTTTTTTTTTTTTTTTTGGTCCTAATACAATCAATATAATGCAGATCGATCATATATGATTCAATTGATTTGGAAAATGATTGATGGAAATTTTTTTTTTGTTTGTAGAAAATTCAATTTTCAACTATAAAGTTGATGATGATGATGATGATAACATTCAATAATAATAGTTTTATTCGACTACGATAGATGGCATTCTAGGTACCATGGTTTTATTATTATTATCCATTCATTTATTTGTATTTATTTTGTTTTCCTGATTTTTTTTTTGTTTTTGTCTGTGTTGTTGTAAATGATGATGATGATGAATGAGATAAAAAGAATGAATGAAAAAAAAATCTGTAATATTGGGCCGTGTCAAAGTGTATGCGAAAATTATGGATGAATTTTTTGTTGTTGTTGTTGCTGTTGTCGTCCATTGATTTGATATGATACGTTATTATGATGATGTCGATGATGATGATGATGTTTTGTTTTGTTTTTTTTATTCTCTATTTTATCCAATGATTTGATGATGAAGAGGTGTATGTATCAATGTTAACATTTAAGCCATAGCACCAACCATACTATTGATACCAGCTGAACCAAGCATTGATCCAGCCGTTGATGGTAATGTTAAACTAGAAAGACTTGCAGCCGGATGATGTCCACCACTATGATGTCCAGCCATATGATGTGTCATTGATGGTGTACCAATGAATGGTGAACCGGTCATCGATATAGGCATATTCATATTCATCGACATATTCATATTCATGTTCATGTTCATATTCATGTTCATATTCATATTATTCATTGCTGCTGCTGCAGCCGCTGATGATGGTGTTGTTGCCGCTGCTGCATGCGCATGTTGCATATAATGATTTACAGCCGACATTGCTGACATTGAATTCATTGCCGATGATATTTGTCCTGGTCCAAATGTTGAACCAACAAATTTATTATGTTCATTACCAAATGGTTTAATACAATCAGACATTGATGATATTAGACTTGATGTATTTGATTGTCCACCATTACCACCACCACCACCAACACCGCCTATTAATGAACCATGTGAACCATTATGACCATTACCAAGATTACCGCCACCAATATGAACACCACCACCGCCACCACCACTTAATGATCCATGATGATTATTTACACCATTTCCATTTTTTTTCTTTTTTCCTTTCGATGATAATTTACGATTACGTGTTTGTATGCCTTCTTTTTTCATTGTTAATGGACGATTTACCTATTATTATGTGAATTATTAGAAGAAGAAGAAGAAGAAAAAATCAAAAATTGAATTAGATTAACGGATTAAATTTAAATATTTCTGTGGAAAAAATGGATAAAAATATCTTATTTCCATCATCATAATGGATATGAAATAAAATTTCAAAAGGGAAAACCCGAACGGACAGCCAATTTGAAAATTTATCGCATCAATATTCATTGCACACACACACACACACACGCAGCTAAATCCGAAAAAAAGATGCTCCAGTTTTAATCATCATCAGTGGAAACGAAAAATAAAAAAATAAAACTAATCTTCGGGCAATATCAGCCATCGTGTCTATGGAGTTCCAATGAAAAAAAAAACGAAAAAATTTCCGCAATCCGATATTGATAAATATCCAAATGGATGCTACAATTTGCATATGAAAATTTTTCTTTTTTTTTCGAAAAAAAATCACGAAAATTTGTGTGTGTTTGTTTTTAAATTAGAAATACAACAATTATAATTTGGTTTTACCATTTTTCATCATAAATTGGTCATTTTTAATAATAAAAAAAAAATTTAAAAATCCGTCACATTGGATGACAAATGAGTTTGAACATAAATGTTTTTTTCAAAAACTTTTTATCGGAAACTTTCTATTTCGTTGTGAGACTTGGAAAAAAAACAGACACAATCTAGGAATTCATGTCAAAAGATAAGAAATTCAAACAAAAAAAAATTCATTTCCTTCTCAATTTCACATCTTTATATATGTGAAGATAAAAGACAAAAGACGACCACCGAAATGTACATGAGTGTATAATTTCATCATAATTATGCAATACAATTAGCAAACAGAAATTCCTGATTCTGGAACATTTTTTTTTCCTTTATCGTTTGAATGATAATAGAAACAAAAAAATTCAAGTGAATAAAAAACCGACTTTTTTTTCCCCAAACCTTTCGAGAATAACAACGAAAAATTAATTAGATTTATTTTTTCGTTTCCCGTTCCATGAAAATTTTTCATCTATTCATTCTTTTTCTGGGTCATATCAGTGTACAGTTCTGGTGAGCCCGTCCCGTCAGGCTTGTGACTTTGGATTTTTTTTCTTTTTTAGAGTGAAAAAAAAATTGGTAAATTGATTCCAGATTCACTACATACACACACACACACATCACTTAGATTGACATAATTGTGAATGCGTGCTTTATTATTTTTTCCATGGAACACGTTCTTCTTTTAAAAAAAAAAATTTTCACAAGATAAAAAATAACCATTCACTGGAAATTAGCTAAAAAAAAAAAATTTAACGTTTCTTTTTCTTTAATTATGTAATTGAGAAATTTTGAAAAAAAAATCTGGTTCATGTTAAATAATCAAAAATTAAATCCTTCAATCAAGTTAATCGTGTGAAATTAAGATAATGAATTTTTTCATTTGAAAAAATTTTTTTTTTTTGGTGGGAATTTTTCCGAAAAATTTGTTTCCAGGAAATTTTTTTCAAAACAAAAAAAAACATCATTTTTTCAAATTATTACCATCATAATTGAATCAAGAGAAGTAAAAAAAATTGGTGTGCACATCAAATGATCAAAATGAAGAGAAAAAAAATCTGTCAATCATATTGACAAACGTCATTGATGTTTTTGGTGGTGGTGGTTACGGTGCTGGTGGTGGTGGTGTTAAAACAATAGATTTCTTCGCCAAAACAAAAAAAAACCAGGATGATTGTTTCACACGCACAATTAGCCACCAAAATCACTTGTCAATAAATGTTGAAACAAAAAGTCGGTCAAAAATCACACAAAAAAAAAGATTCCGAAAACAAAAACAAAAACAAAAACAAAATCTGATGGCAATCAAATTATTATTGATTGACAGATAAGAATAATCATCGTTATACGGTAGCAAACAAGACCACCACCACCACAACAACATCCACAACCACAACCACAACCCAGAATTAGCTGAATCAAACAATGAAAAAAAAAGAAGTTTCGAGATCAAGATATTTTCGTACTTTTTATTTTGGTGATTAAATCACAGACAAAAAAAAAAAAGAATAGACTCTGATGGTGATGTGATAAGATCAATGTGTAAATGTCAGCCACACACACATATACTGTGTGTGTGTGTGTGTGTGAAACCGGGCTTAATCTTGTTATATCGTTTTGTTTTGCGATTATCATCATCATTATTATATGTCGATGTTATTTGATTGTTTTTTTTTTGAAATCGGGTTGATCAATGAAAAATAGAGAGAGAGAGAGAGAGATGAAAAAACCCTGAAATTCCCTGAATTGAATCAAATTTCATGTTTTTGATTTCAAAAAAAAAAAAAATTTTTTTTCTCTTTAAATTTAAAAATTTTCAAATTTATTTCAGCCCCTGGATCTACTATCAAGCACACGTGCTCTGTGTGTGTGTGTGTGTGTCTGTCTGTGTTGCTAGTCTGTTGGTTTGTTGGTTTTCATATTTTCTTGCCTGGCTACATTCAATCAGGTTCATTGGTAGTTTTTTTTTCTCTCTTGTTCATATAAATAATTATGTAAAATGAAAAAAACAATGGAATTTTTACACCATCAAAAAAAAAATGATGATTATGAATTTATTGATGGCCACCATTCACATTCATTTAACTAGCTTAACGATAAATTGTAGTTACTATGGTTAGCTATGGTTGATTGAAAAAAAAAATTTCAATAATGAGATGGAATGTGAATGAGAAAAAAAACAATAGCAACATCAGTGAAGAATGTAATCAAGAAAATCATTTCCAATTTACAACTAACAACCACCACCACCAACACCAACAAAAAATGCCAATAAATGAACAACGATCATCATTTTGTGTTTTAATAATTAATCAATTTCTCTCTCTGTGCGTGTGTGTGTGTGTGTGTAGTACAAGCCCAACAAGTTGCTTGCTTTCACCAAATGAAAAAAAAAGAACATCAAACAGAATAAATGATGATAAACATGAATGAAAGCCGATGAGAATCCTGTAGCAAAAAAAAAAAAAAACCCGAGAATCTAATGTGTTAGGTTTCACACCTTTTTTTCATGTTCATATTCATATATATCTCATTTAAATGATTCTTGTTACAAATGAGAAAAACAAAAACAAAAATGAATCTGTTTTCATTGTTGTTGTTGTTGTTTTTAAAAACACACACACGCACACAATGAAAGTTTTAAAAGAAAAATCCGGGAGAAATTTTCTCGGGAATAAATCAATAAGAAAAGTTTTTATCACATGTACTGTGTGTTTCTTTTTGATACAAAATAACATTTTTTTCTGATGAACAAGCGTATGGATGGATGGATGGATGTTGTTTTTTTTGGATAGTTTGATTTGATTTATTTGTTTGTTCAGAAAAAAAACATTGAAGATAGGAAGAAATAATAGTGTTAATAAATTTAACATTCTACACACACACACACACACACTCGAACACAAACAACACCAACAAACACACAAACACACGCCATATATACTGTAATAACTAATTAAATGTTTACTACAAATAAATTATGGCACCTTATTTGATGATGATGATGATGCACAAAAAAACGATAAAGATCGATTCGTCTTTCACTCTATGTTCACCTGTGTAACATTAAAGTATTATGGTCAATATAAATTTTAACCTGTCACACACACACACACACACACACACACACACACACACAAACACATTCCTTAAACAGATAGTGAGTGAAAGATGAAAAAAAAAATTGTTTTGAAATGTTTTTTTTTTTTTGGTTAGTTATATTTCGTTGTGATTATGATGATGATGATCAAATGAGATGAAAATAAATTTCATTTTATTTTTTCCGGATTTTTTTTGAAATACAAACATACACACACAAGTACTTTGACCTTCAACCTTTTGCAGAAAAAATGTGTCAAAACACATTGCTTAGATGACATAATTTTCATTTGAATTTGACCCCCTTCGATCGGATTATCGATAATGGAATGGAAAATTTTTTTAGAGAGAGAGAGAGAGAGAGAAACTAGCGAGAAACAAAAATGTCAACAACAACAACAACAACAAAAAACGAAGAGTTTATTTTTGCATGACATTTCTCCATTTCCTTTATTTTGACTCGACATTTTTTTTACGTAATCAGTTTTTTTACTTGATTTTTTTTTTGTCCACAAAAAAATAACGTTTCAAATCCATATAACCACACACCCACACACACACACACGCAAACTATTCGCGTGTACCCTTGCAACAACGACAACAACAAAAAATTCAAATTTCAGCGCAATGATGATTTAGTAATTTGAAACTTTTATTGTTTTTCATTCATTCATTCAATCATTTGTCGACTACTACTACGACTATGACTACTTCTGTTTGACTAACTGAGTGGAAAAAAATGAGATTTTGTCATTAAGATTAACTATATCGATAATCAAGAAAAAAAAGAGAAAAAAATTTGGTCTAAAGAAAGTAATTTGAAACCTGGAAATAATGAAACTAAACAAAAAAAAAAAAACTCAATGGAGAAAAGACGAAATTCAATTCCGATGATGATGATGATGATGATGACAAGATAAACAACCAATTAAAACATCGTTACATTGTCAATTTTGTCTCTCTTCATCTCATGATGTTGATGATGACATTTTTAAACCTTTTTTTTATGGTTTAAACTTTGACCTTTTCCTATCATCATCATCATCATCATATTTAATATCGACCATCCAAAAAAACAAACAAACAAAAACTGATCCGACATTCGATACACGGATTGTTGACTGTGGACGAAATCCATATTTTTTTGTCTGTTATCCAAAAAAAAAATGTTACACGCGAATTGTGCTGAATATATACGACTTTTTGGCGTCGCAAGATGATGATGAAAATATGACAAAAATGATGTGATGTGTTTTTTTTTATCAACAACAATCAGACAAAACAAAATGGAAATCGATTTGAAAATCTAAAAATTTCCGTTCAAAACACGGATATTTTTTTCTCGTTTACCAGAAAAAAATGCCGACCAAATATTTGTGAAGATGAATGGAGAATGATGGTCAGGATTTTAGACAGAAGAAGAAGAAAAAAAACCACAAACCATCATCATCGTAGTCGTCGTCGTGGTCAATGGCCAAATGTTCAATTCAATTCATTCAATCTATTGATGATGATGATGATGATGACACGAAATGAAAACGAAACAATCAATGAATAAATAATGATGATGATAGTGATGATCATTAACACCCTTGGTGAAAGAGAGAGAGAGGAAAAAAATGATGATAATGACCGACACACAGACAAAAACGGTCAATGATCATCATCATCCGAAAAAAAAGAATAATGATCATTTTTTTCGAGTAAAAAAAAGTAACAAAAATGAAGAATTCAAAGAAAATTGTTCTTGTTTCATCATCACCATCATTATTATATGATATATAATGTGTTTTTTTCTACTTTGAATGCTGGAATTTTTCCCCCTAAAATAAAATTATAAAAATAATACACGCATGCGTAATTTTCTTGTGAATTGTAAAAAAAATGTCATCAATTCTTTTGTTTGAAAACATAAATCAATCTAAAATGAAACAAAACATCATTGTCATCGTCATCATTTCTGTTTGATTGAATTTGTATTCAAATATCGAAATCATTGAAAACATTGTAATGACGGCTTCATTTTTGATTCATTCATTCATTAAATCACAGAATTCATTCTTAAAAATATAAAAACAAACAAACGATGATGATCATGATCCTTATGGATAAGTCGGACAAGGCGACGTTTTGTCCAGACACACACACACATTCAAACACACTTTAAGACGTCGAATAGTTGGTGTATGTTTGTCGATAATGGCGACAACAATTCTCGACGCAAATATCCAAACACAAGAGTGAGTGAGAGAGAGAGAGAAAATTTCTAAAAAAAAATTAAACTTAAACAAAACAAAATGTTTAAAGAAAAAGAAATGAAAAAAAAATTGAAACAAAAACAATCCAAAAACAAAATGGCAAAAGAATCATTGGTCTGTGAATAACGACAACAACAACAACAACAACAACAACGACGACAAATGACAATCCATATAATCCATGAATGAATGAATTGAAATGAAATGAAATGGTTGACCGGTTGTTGTGAATACGACTACGTCCATAATAGATAAGAAAGCCAAAAGAAATGGAAAAAGAGAAAGAAAAAATTTTTTTTTGAAACAATTCCTTCATTCATTCATTTATTCAATGCGATATTGTTGTTGTCTTTATTATTATAACATGACCTTTGACCGAAGGTCATTAAAAACGGTGTAGTAATATAATGATGATGATAATTTTTTTTTTCAACTAAATGAATGAACCATTCTTTCATTTATATTCTACAATTACAATTTGCAATGATTTGTTGTTTTTGTGGTTGTTTCAAATTTCGAATTTTCTCCAATTTATAATGATGATGATGATGATCAATCAAACAAGTAAGAGAGAGAGAGAATTTTGATAATTTTTAGTTATTTCATGTCTTGTTTTGTTTTGTTTTGTTTTGTGTTTTTGGTTACACGCGAATCATAATCATTATATATATCAAAATGATTCAATAGAATCAGGAACTATGTGAAATCTAAACAAATAATAAGCATTATGCTTATCATTGACCTTTGACATCTTTTGTGATAAACAAGCACGAACATCTTGTGTGTGTGTGTGTGTGTGTTCAAGTCCATTTTGGTTATTTTTTTCTATGCAATGTACTGATCAAATTTCCATTTCGTTGTATTTTTCTTTCCTTATATTATTCATTTCATAGTCGATCCAATTGGAACATTTATAGTCAGACAGACAAAGAGAAAGACAAGAAAATCAATTCAAATGGCTAAATGAATATAAAATTTTTATGTGAAACCAATAATTTTTTACTGTTTTTTTTATTTAGCGAAAGAAGACAGAGAGAGAGAGAGAGAGATGGCTATTGTGATTTTCCATTTTTACTTCTTTTTTTCTCTTATTTATTTCTCGTTTGACTTTTATTTTCATTTCTTTGTCGTAATCATTAAAGGTGAATAACAATTGGTGAATAATAATAATAATGATAATAATTCAATGATTGATTGATTGATTGATTGGAAGAGAAAAAAAAGCATGAAAAAAAGACACTTTTCATTCATTCATTCAAATCTTACAATTATTCAATAATAATGATTCCATTTATTATCATTTTTTGTCAAGTCAATTGAATATACATATGTGATTGATATAGAAAGTTGAATTGAAACAACACTCAACAAAAAAAAAAACATGAAACTCGGAAAACAACCAACTCCTATTTCATGGGTAAAAAAGCTGATTACTGTGTCTTTGTATACACACACACACACACACACACACACACAAAAGCCCTTTTCAAGTTAATTTTGACTTTTTTTTATTACATTATTTCTAAATGATACAAAATGTCCGTGTGTGCGTTTTTTTTTTGTGTACACGACAATGAAATTTTTCAATAAAAGAAAAACAAACAAACAAACAAACATATGATCCTTATTGTGTGTGTGTACCACACAATTGAGAATGAATAAAGAAATGTTATTTTTTTTCACAAAATTTAGGCCATTCAAATTGAAATTTTTTGTTTGTTTGTTTTGAAAAAAAACAAAAATATTATTATATGAATGGGCTTGTGCATGTGACACGAGCGCCACCTATTTATTTATTATTGTTTTTTTTTCTCTCTCTCTCTCTCATTGAGTTAATTAATTATATTAGTGTGCACAAAAAAAAGAAATGATTCTGGAATGGAATGTTTTGAATGTTTGCGGGAAAAAAAATTCCAAAAATTTCTTCTCTTGAAAACTAGATCAGAAAAGTAATTTTTTTTTTGCTTGTCTCCTATGCAGATGATTATTATTACATGAAAAAAAACACCACGAGAACAAGACCTCCCGTTGTATCTGATTATGTACTTTTACAACATTTTTTTTTCTGTTATCTGGTCATACACACACACACCGAGAGATAGTGAGAAACAAGACACAAAGGATTCATCAACATAGAAATAACACTGGACCAAAAAAAAAAAAAAACAATCAACCAAAACCAAACATGGACAGTCAGACTAGTCAGACTTTATCAACCGTAAGATTAACTAATTGCTTCTTGTGTACCCGTATACAAACAAAAAAGAGAAGGAGAAAGAGAGAGAAAGAAAAATTAAAACAAAACAAAAAAAAATTTCTAAAAATCAAACTAGACCAAACGAGAGTAGTGTTGAGAATGACCAATGACATTTTGAAAAGTCAAACAAAAAAAGTCACATGGTCTAGACTAGTTCTAGGTCCACGACGACCACGACGACGACGACCATGATGACGACGACGACGATGATGATGATGATGACGACAATAATTTTGAAATCATCGTCGTCGTCATTGTTGTCGTCGTCTTCGTCATAGTTGAATCTGTCTCGTCAGGTCATGAAATTTTTTGACAATTTAAATAACAAAATATCGAATGAAATGATACACACACACGAACGGAATTCGGACACAATAATTTTATTCTCGTTTGCAAAAAGAGATAGATAGATAGTGAGAGATTGTTTTTTTTCTTTGACCAAGAAAAAACATGGGCGTCAGCGAATCAACAAAGAAAAAAAAATTCAATTAAATTAATTGAAATTTTTTTTTTTGCATTTCATTTTCATACTTTTTGGCTTCATACACTAGAATATTCTTGTACACATGGTTTCCAGTGTTGAAATTGAATTTTTTTTTTTAAATTCAAAAAAAAATTCATATAAATCACCAACATCAATATTATCGTTGGATCATTGATTGAACATTGAAAACAACAAAAAAAAAAAATTAAAGAAATGAAAAAGATTCATATCACAATTGTGTGTGGTGGAAAAAAAATTCTGGTCAAAAATATAAAAATGATCAATATCATGGATTCACGACAAGAAGAAAGAAAAAATGTTTAATCTAGAAAACAAAAATTTCTGGTTAGCCCAGTGTGTTTGTGTGTGGTTTACAACAACAACAATTGGACATGTGGTGTGTTTGGTGTTATATGCACGGGCGAGACGATTTATTGCTGCCAAATGCAATTTTTTTTCGTTTTTGACAAACCACTCGTAAATGCCTTTAAATGTGTGTGTGTGTGTGTGTGTGTGTGTAGCCAGAACCGATTGAGAAACCAGATCAGATCTGTGAATCAGATCAAAAATACAGACAAAATCAAAAAAAACTACGAAACCACAAAAAATACGATTCTATGTGCATCAATAATATGTTGTAATGGTGTGTGTGTGTGTGGCTATCCAATTTCAAAAATCTTTTTTTTTTCTTTTTTTGTTTTGTTACAAAAAAAAATTATTCCAGAATAAGAAAAAGAAAAATAGACACTTACGTTATGTAGTTTATAATAAAGTCCACATGCATTACATACGGGTTCACCACTATGATTACGGCGCCATAATGTCGTTGTTGTTGTTTTACAATTGGCGCATGATGTTCCTGCACGTCTGGCTGCCGATTGTTGCTATTTGCAATTTGTTTGATTATACAGAATCGTTGTCGTTGTCGTCGTCGTCGTCGTTGTTATTTGAATTTGAAATTCAAAATAAAAATTCCAAACAAATCCAAGCATATCAAATGGAAAAAATCAAATACATAGAAAAAGAGAGAGAAAAAAAAACAAAAAACAAAACAAAACAAAAAATTAGAATTATAAAATTACAAATTGAAATGTGTCTGTATGTAAACACATGCGTATGTTTCTATGGATTCCTATGAAATATCTAACCAACAATATAACAATTACACAGTTAGTTATATTTATATATTCAGTTGAATGAATAAGAAAACAAAAAGTAGCCAATTTCCATGTTTTTATTGGAACTATAGTTGTTGTTGTTGTTGTTGTTGTTGCCCTTCAATCCGACACACACACACAAACCTTTGATATAACATAAAATGTCAATTCTCTTTATTTGATTGTGTGACAGACAATACAGACAATACAGCCAACAACAACAACAATAACAATAACAAAAAAAAAGTCAAATTGAGTGTGTTGGTGGCAATAGTGGTAAATATGACCACCAATGGTGGTCTACAATTTAATAGTCAATATATATCGAAACTTTATCTCAATCGATTCATCTATAATTGTCTGCCTGAGTATTTTTTTTTTTTTATTTTGCAGACAAATTCATCAAATTCTCTGCGAAAATTTTTTTCTGGGATTTAAATGATATCGATATATGATTGATTACACGTTTGTTTGTGCGTGTGTGTGTGTGGCTTACAAACACGCGTTAAATTATTATTATTTTACCGTTTTTTTTTAAATTATGACAAATTACCCACACACACACACACACAGACACTGACTAATGTGTCAAATTACAAACACAAAAAAAAAGATGATTGGACAAAACAATGATGGCAATGTTTTGTTTCATTTTCATAATTATATAGAAAAAAAACAATGGCCAATTGAAACTCAGTTCAGCACTGCTCAGCTTCAGCAAGTTTTGCGTGGCAAGAGAGTGAAAAACTGGTTATAACAAATGTTGATGATGTTTTGTTTTGTTTTGTTTTGTTTTCACATTTTAATATTATTATTATTATTATAGGGACAACAACAGCAACTAGAATAGAGATATTGACAATGAAGTGGATTTTTCGTTTTGTTTTTCTGTCTGTGTGTGTGTGTGTTTGCCATTGTCAATCAAATTCATTTTTTGTTTTTCTTCTTCTTCTTCTTGGTTGAATGAACCTCGAATAATGATGATGATGATGATGATGATGATCTAATTATATCTATGGTCATCGTTTATTATTAGAGAATTTAATTCATTCATTCATTCGTTTTTTTTGGGATTATAATGATAATGATGATGATGATGATGATTAAGTCATCAATTGAATTGAATTGAATTGAAGTGAATTGAATTTTTTTCTCTCTCTCTCTCCTTCCAATTCAATTCACATCACATCAATCAATCTAGAAAGACTAAATAAGCTCAGTGAATGAATGAATTAATTTTAAACAACAACAACAACAACAAAAACGTCGACAAAACAAAACCGGAAGATAGTTTTGTTTCCTATTTTTGAAAAAAAAACAAATGGTTATGGGTGCTTTTTTTGATTTTTTTTTCTTTATTTGTTGGGTGAAAATGGTCATTGATTATTAGCCGATCAACGACGATATGATGATGATGATGATGATGAAATGGTGAAGCAAGAAAGAAAAAATTTTCAGCCACCAGCCACACATCATCATCTTCACATCGTAATAAATGTTGAAGAGAAATTAGAATCGTGTTAATAAGTTGCGATCGATGGATTGGATTTGTTTTTCTGTTTCCAGCTCGCTTTTTAGCTTGTTTGTTTCATCAAGTGAATTTTTTTTTTTTGCTTTTTCAACACGGCTCACCTTGATTTTTTGTGTATTAACTTGACTTGTTAAAAATTATTATTTTTTTGCTAATTATTGATCCAATACACACTCAACTCAGACACATACACCAAAAAGTACGAAAATAAAGATCGTGAACAAGGGTGTTTTTTTTTATTTCGTGAGTTTGTTGTTTTTTGTTGTTGTTTTTGAAAAAAAACTGAATGAAAGAATCAGAAAACAAAACCAAAAAAAAAATTCTGTAAATATTTTCATTTCAAGCCGACAAATTTCTTTTTTTTTTGGGGGTTTTCATTCCAGATAAAAACTTGACAAATTGCCCTTTGGTCGAGATTGGTGATTTCTACAATACATATGTCTATATCTGGATCAGCTGCTATGTTTTTTGTGTGGTTTTCAATCAATTAGATTAATTTTTTTGGAAAAAAAATTTACCATAATACAAGATTTACAAATATGACTGTGTGTGTGTGTGTGTGTGTTTAATCAAATTCAAAACGAAACAAAAAAAAAACAAAAACCTGATTTTCAACACTAGATTTAGTCATTACATCAATAGTGATCATCATCATCATCATCATCATCATCATTCAATCATAAAACAAAGATTTTCTTTTCTAATTTCCAATCTCTTTTTTTTCATTCATCAAAAAAAAGATGTATCGAATAATCGTGATTATAATCAAAAAAAAAAAAAAAAAAAAAAGCTGGGTGGGTGGTGGTCATGGTGGTGGTAGTGATCGAGGAGGATGAAAAGAAACAAACAAAACAAAAAAGATTGGCCATTATTATCCGCTTGATAATCGATAAGGACGGTACAATTTCTATTTCAAAAAAAAGTAGAAATGGCCTGTGTGTATGTATATATCATCATTAATCACATAAATCATCGATATACTTAATAGACAAAAAAAAAATTTTCTCTCTTTCTCTCACATGAACAAATCGAGATCATCATCCATTGGGGTGGGGGCAAAGGGGAGAATTGTTTTTTTTTGATCGAAACCATGAAACAAATTGCAAGAAGAAACAAAAAGTAAGACGCGCGCATGAAAAAAAACAAACGAATTGAATTGAAAAAAGGAACGAATTGGATAATGAGATGAAAATTGGCGTGTAATTACAATTTCACAATCATCAGCACCACAAAAACAAAGTGAGAGAAGAGAGAGAGAGAGTGAGAAATGCTGCACGTTTATTTGTGGTTGGTGGTAACATTATTATCGACTTTTGGTAGAAAGAAAAAGAAAGAAAACCAATGAAAAGAAAATTTTTTTTTTTGTATAATAACAAAAATATTTCCGACAACAACAACAACAACAACAATACAGGTAGGTCAGGTTGAGAATCATCATCATCATCGATCGATTCATTCATTATATAATCTGGCCAGTTTTATTTTCGACCACCACCAAAAAAAAAACCAAAGATGTGGTTTTGTTGGCCGATTCTTTTTCATAAAAAATTTTTTTTTCTGTTCATGTTAACAATCGATTCGTTTCGATTTGTTTTTTTTTCGATCAATTATCGTCATAGACATCATTATTATGATGATGAAAATATTGAATAAATTACAAACAAACGATATATTGTTTGGGTTGGGCATTGGTATATGGATTTTCCATTTTATTTCAAAAAAAAAACAGAAAATCACACACATGCCTTTGTTGTTGTTGCTCATGATGATAATTTGGCGTGTGTGTGTGTGTGGTAATTTATTAGATTTTTTTAAATTTTAAATTTTTTTTCCTTTTGCTTGGATCTGAATCTAAAATCTAATTAATCCAATTTGGATTATCCAGCCGAAATTCTTTTCATTTCCATCATCATCATCATCATCATGGTAGTAATGAGATAAATTATGGATTTGAAGAAACAACAAAAAACAAAAACAACAACAGACTAGGTGGTCAACAACAAGAAAAATGAATAAAAAAATATTCAGGAACTAAAATTTGTAATTTTTGGAAAAAAAACCAGAAAAACAAACAAACAAATAACCACAACAGACCAATCATTATTATCATCATCATCGTCGTCGTCATCACTATTATTAGGGCTATTATCGCCCATAATTATGATGATGATGATAATGATAATAATAACTGATGGATTATAAATAACATAACATGGCAATTTGAATTTTTTTGTTTTGTTTTGTGTAGAAAAACAAACAATTGTCGATCATATTGGTAATAATCATAATGATAATAATGATAATAATAATCTGGCTAATGATGGATCAATCAATCGATGTGGTATTGATATAATGATGATGATTATTATAAAATGTAAATCAAGTTGTTTTATGAAGAACAAAAAACAATGGAAAACAAACCAACAACAACAACAACAACAACAACAAAAAACGATTGGCAAATGTTGAATATATATATATATATGTAAATTATTTCATATTTGAAATTGAATTTTTTTTTCTGTTCTGCTGAGTTTCAGAAAAATGATATTATACACACATGTATAATATCATTTTTGAGTGCAAGAAAGACAGGAAAAAACAAAACCTCTGATTATGATCATGATTTGATCTTCATACTCATCATCATTGATATTCACTAGTCACGAGTCATGTCGAATGTGTCTGTGTGTGTGTGTCACGATGAATGAATAAATGAAATGCTATCGATGGATAAATAAAATGAAAACTAAAAAAATCTACACTGGTCAAATAATCACATTTTCAATGTCTAGATGTTTTTTTTCTGTGTTAGGCTCAATGCTAGTATAACAAGGTGTTGACAGATGATTTGTGAATTGGTCCAGGTAATTTTAACAACAACAACAACAACAACTAACAGCCAAAAAAAAGCGAGAAAAAAAATTCGTGAGACAAACGCGGAATCAAATCAATCGAGAAATCGAAAAAAATGTTATGGTGATATTGATGATGGCGGTTGAATCAGCCCAACAACAACAACAACAACAACAAAACCGAAACCGAAAAAAAATGCCGCTCGACAAATTGCCAACGGTATCCAACAATTTGTCAAAAAAAACGTAACGAAACGAAAAAAAAAAATTCGTGCAGCACCCAATTTTTATTGATTAATCGAAACATTTCGAATGAAATTGATGACATATTATTTTGATTTTCAAATCTCTCAATATTCATGCTTCATACTCACACACACAGAAAGATATATGGGGCCATCGAAATTGTAATGTTGATTATTAATAAATCATCAATTTTTGTGTGTGTTTGATTTTTTGGAAGGAAAAATGTGATAAAAAGAGAGCACTATTTTCAACAAACAAAAAAAACGATTTGACCTTTCACCATTCAGTTTTTTTCTATTGGTACCAAATACTTCTGATTCGTGATATGGCCATTTATTTTTTTTTTCTCCGGTCTATCTACCCTGTTTATTAGTGATTCACCATCATCATCATCATCATCATCATCAATCGTTATTAATCACATGCACAAACACGTAGAAAGATTAAAATTTAAACTTTTGGCAAAAAACAAAACAAAACAAAACAATTGAAAAATTGAACGAATAATCGGTATTGTCGGTATTTTTTTCGATAACAAAAACAACAACAACAACAACAACAGCAAAGATTATCTTCAGATTTATCATTTTATCTGTATTTTGGACCAGTGGAACAATAACAATAATCTAGATAAAAACATTATCATTATCATCAATCTAATATACATTTCACACCAATTTTTTTCGTCATCGTCGTCGTCGTTGTTGTTGTTGTTGTTGTTTGATCATTTATCTTTGGCCAATTATCGTGATGTGATAACAAGAAATGATATGATGATGATGATGATGATGATAGATATGATATGATATGATCAGATGGGATTCTTTCTTTCTTTTTTTCACTCTACCACAATTGTTATTATCATCATCTTTGTGTGATGAATGAAAACAAAAAAAGAAAGAAAAAGAATTTCTCGAATTCAAAATTAACACCTTCAACCATACAGAAAAAAACTACCGTATAAATTCTCATCATCATCATCATCATCATCATCAATCAATCACTTATCAAGAATGAAATTTCTTTTCTTCTTCAATTCTTTGATGTTTATCTTTTCATTTTGGGTATCGTTGATCTAGATCTTTTTCCACATTCATTCATTGTCTAATTTCATATCACACACACACACACACACACACACAGACACAATATATGGATATATGGATGATGATCATTCATTATTATTTTAGTGTCGGCTCTATGAATTTATGTGTGTGTGTGTGCGATGTAATCTAGAGAAGAAGAAAAAAAAATTCATTTTTTTTCATCCTTTTTCTCCTCATTTAATAAGTTGTTTTGATGGTGATGAGAGATAGAGCATCACACACACACAAAAAAAAATTTTTTTTTTCAAAATCATAATGCTACCTGATGATGATGACATTATCTTAACATTTAATCTTTTTCTTTTCACTTTAATCCATTCATTTTTTTTTTTTGGCTCTTTTTCAACACTTTATATTTCATTTAATAAATAGTTAACATTATCATCATCATCATCATCATCATTGATATCAATAACCGCAATCTTTTTTTTGGGGCCACAATATCATCATCATCATCATCATCAACATCACCTGTACATCATTTTGGGTGTCCAGTATATATATATATATATATTCAATTTATGAACGTGAATGTTGTAATTATTTTTTTTTTATTTCGTCATTTTTTTTCCAATAGCTGCGAAATGTTGAATGAAAAAACCCCTTTTTTTTGCCTGTGGCATCGGCTTGATTTTTTTTACACAGACACACATACACAGACTCAAACTCTCGACACGTGTTATTGTTGTTGTTGTTTTTTTTGACGCTGGTCAACAACAACAACAAAAAATGACATTCAATATGGATAATCATTATTATGATTGATCAATAAATGAAAAAATTGTGGATGCCAAGAAAAGGAAAAAAAAACTTTGACCATCATCACTTTGTGTGTGTGTGTGTATTGTGTGAATGATGACCATAATGATAATGGTGATATGTGTGAATCTCACACATGCCAGAAAAAAAGCCAAGCAAGCAGGCAGGCAGGTCTGATCACGGATACGGATGCGTCACAAATCGAAACAAAACAAAACTAAACTAAAAACGATGCTAAAGAGAATTTTTTTTTTCTGTTCATATGAGATGAACGCATCTATTATATTCTCTATGTGTGTGTATATAAGGGTCATCGTCATCGTTGTCGGCTTTTCTATCTATTTAAATGATGTATTTTTTTCTCTGGTTCGGTGTGTTATTATTTCGATGATGATGATGATGATGAAGAAAGGAAAAAAAATTCAATGCACGATAAATAACAATGATGATGAAGAAGAAGAAAAAAAAGAGAAAAAATTCGGGCGCTTACTAGCTAATGATCATGGATGATAATGATAACCACATTTTCTTTTACGAATTGTGAAAAAAAAATTCAATTTTCATTCGATTATAAATAACAACAACGAGATCCGGAACAAAAAAAAATTTTTTTCTTTCAACTGGCTAGTTTTTTTTTTTGTATTGATAAATCAATCGGACAAAAAAAAATAAATAGAAATAAAACGAGAGGAAAAAAAGTAGGCAGAACACAGATCAATCAATCAATCAAATTGAAGGTGTGAATGTCAATGTCGATGAAAATCGATCAATCATTTTAAATCTAACAAATGATCATCATCATCATTATAATTATCATTGAAAATTTTTGTTTATGTTTGTGTTGTATGTGTAAAATAGTGAGAAAAATAAAAAAAAAATTTCGCTTACACTTACACTTACGAGCCTACGTTTAGGCTTGATCAATGGTCTATTCTGGCCATTCATTTTATGATATAGGCCACATGCATTACAAAGATAATGTCCAGTACCATCACGACGCCATAATGGTGTCGATGTTGCACCACAATTGACACATTCACGGCCTTCTGTAAAAAGAAAAAAAAATAATAAAATTAAAAAAAAAATTAAAACAAAACAATAATTAAAATGTGAAAATGTGAATATATGCATGAATATATCAATGAGAATTTTATGTACAAGTTAGATAGATTAGTTTGCTATAGTAGAAATGATGAAAGTTTTCAAAGAATTGGTTATTTATAGAAAAAGAGCGAGATAGAGTGAGATAGAAAGGATGGATGTTATATCATCATCATCATCATCATTATTATTATAGGGAAAAAAGCAGCCAATTTAAATATTCATTTTTTTTCCATTGCCCAGACATAGACACACACACACATATCCACACGCACACATCATTTTTGATTTGCTTTGGTGAATTGAAATTCAAATTTTCAACATTTGTATGGCAAAAAAAAAATGATGATGATGATGATGGACGATTTCATATATGCAAATGTGTTGTGGAATGAGGAAAAAAAAGGCAAGCCAAGCCGTTTATGATTTTAATTTTTTGTGTTTTTTTTTTTTTTTTTTTGATTATTACATTGCAGAAGCAGAAGAAGAAGAAGAAGAAAAAAGTCCAAAGTATGTGCATATATAGTATTTATATAGTTCTTGATCGATTATGATGTGTGGCTAAAGCAAAATTTTTTTGTTTTGTTTGTTCTTTTGTTGTCACTTTACTGTCTAATACCGGAATAATTAAATGAATGAATGAATAAAGCATCAAATTAATCGAACAGAAAAATAACCAACGAAAGGATTGAGCAAAGAAAATGGAAAAATAAATAATAAAAATAAGGAAAAAAACAACGAAACAAAATTAAAATTAAAATTAAAAAATAAAAATAAAAATAAAAATAAAATAAAAAAAAAAAAAATGAAAACCTTTTCCAGAACTAGAACGGCCTTTGGCACGATTATTATTTGTTTTCTGGCTAGTAAATGATGTTTGATGATGATGATTATTATGATGTGGATGATTTAAATAATGTTGACCATGATGGATACTATTTCCACCACCACCACCAATACCACCAACACCACTATTTAAACCATTATTACCATGGTGATGATGATTATGATGATGTTGATGTGAATGATGACCATTTGATGATGAAATTGGACTAATATTGCCACCAACACCACCACCACTGCCACCTAATGCAGCAACGGCTGCTGCTGTTAAACTTCCACCTAATTTAGTTGTACCTAATAATGATGTTTGATTTAATGGTGGTGATGATGATGGCTGATGATGATGAGGATGATGAGGATTAAAACTAGCATATGGATTCTGTGTACCATATGGATTATGATGATAATGGTGATTTGCGGCAGCTGCCGCTGCTGCTGCCGCTACAGCAGCTGCGGTTGCCGCTGTTGGATTTGTTGCTGTTGTGGATTGTTGTTGTTGTTGTTGATGTTGTTGTAATGATGATGTTGTATGTGAATGATGATGTGGATGATGAGCATTATGAAAATGTGATGAATGATTCGAATGATGATGATGAGGATGATGATGTGAATGCAATGATCCCAACATATGATGACGATGATCATGTGTAGCGATTGTTGCTGCAGATGTATGTGGTGAATGATGATGTGAACCGATTAATGCGGCAGAATTTACAGCAGCCGCAGCTGCTGCCATTTGTCCATATGCTGATGTATAATATGGACTTAATGGTGATGTTATTGATGCTGATGATGTATGAAATAGATTGCCACTATTATTATTATTATTATTACCGGTAATATTATTTAAAATATTTATAGAATTTGTAGAATTTACAACAGAATCATTATTATTTTCATTCTCATCATCATCATCATCGACAACATCATCATCTTCTTCATCAACATTTTCATTGTTGCTGTTGTTGTTGTTGTTGTCACCGTTATTATTATTATCATTATTGTTTCTATCATTGTTTGTTGAACAACTACTGTTACTATTACTACTACTATTACTATTATTATTATTTGAATTACTATTTGTTGCTGCTGTTGTTGTTTGTGTACGATTATTATTATTAACTAGATCAATTGAAGAGGTATTTGAATTTGAATTTGTATTATTATTATTATTATTATTAGTACCTTCACGTGGTTTTGTACTTGCACAACCAATCAATCCTTGTGCTGCTGCTGCAGCGGCTGCTGCCGCTGCTGCTGCTGCTGCATTACCTAATGCAGTAGCTGAATTTAATGTATTAAGCATATGATGATGATGATGATGTGGATTATGATTATGATGATTATGGTGTTGTTGATGTTGTTGTTGTGATGTATGATGCGGATGTGTTGAATGATGATGTTGTTGTTGCTGTTGTTGTTGTTGTTGATGAAGATGATGACTTAAATGATGTGATGATGCAATTATCGCTGATGTTGATGATGATGTTTGTGATTGCGTTTGTTGTTGATGATGTGTGCCCGGATGTAATTGATGTGTTATTGATCCATTATTACTACCACCGCCTGGTCCACCACCACTACCGGTATTACCCGTTTGTGTTGATTGTAGATTCTGTGGTTGTTGTAATTGGCTAGTTTGATGATGTGTTGTTTGTTGTTGTTGTTGATGATGTTGTTGTTGCGGTGGCATATGATAATATGAACCAGGTTTAATATCAATTGCAGCGGCTGCTGCTGCAGCTGCTAATGCAGCAGCTGCAGCTGATGTTTCAGCCGCATTCGGCACTAGATCCATCATTAGTGATGTTGTTGTCGATGATGATGATATTGAAGGTATTGTTGTCGTTGAAGATGCGGATAATGATGAGAATCCGCTTTGTGATGATAATGCAGGTGATGATGATAATGAAGATGATGATGATGATGAAGCTGCTGTAGTTGATGCAGCAATAGCGGCTGCAAATACACCAAATGGTGGTGGATGTGGTGGTTGTGCCGTAAATGACAAATGATCGGGCGTACTACTATCTTTTGGTGGTGTTGGTGGTAATGGAAATGTCAAATGACTACCATTAAAATGACCACCACCACCGCCACCACCGATGAAACCACCCGCGCCACCAATGATGCTGCCACTCAAACAGCTGTTATTAGTGCTAGTGAAAATATTTCGCTCAATTTTGTATGATTTTAATTGCTGTTGTACGTTTGAAATAATTGGAATTTTATTTAGAAAATTTTCTGACGAAAAAAAATTTTCACTCCGTAATTGTTGTTGATGATTAGAATGTTGATTGTTTGACTGGATCAAATATTGATTTCTATATCGATTATGATGATGATCAAATGACAATGATGATGAATTATTTCTTGATGATTGATTTATTGTTGAAGAATTCGTTGTTGTTGTTTCAATTTTAGCATTTAAAAATAAAGAATAATCAGGATTTTGATTTTTACTATTAGTAGTAGTAGTCATACGATCTATTATCGATTATCATCATCAGCATCGTTGCCATGACAATGAAAAAATGGTAAACGTTTGCAAAATTTTTTCCACATCAATCAGATCAAATCAGAAGAAAAAAAAGAGTTTTTCATCAATGAATGAATGAAAAATCACTATTGGAAATAAATCATTCAACGATATATAAATATAGCGAGGATTTTTTTTTTTGATTCGTGGTCGATATTGATTTTTGATGATAGAAATTCGATGATGATATCCGTGAATAGAAGTGTAGAGAAAAAAAAATTTGACGATGATAATCGGTTTGATGATGTGATTCGTGATGATATGCACACACACACACACACACATATATGCATTTGAAATAAACACCGACAGACACACACACACACACAGAAAATTGAGTTGATAATGAATATTTTTGGATTTTTTAGTTTGGTTTAGTTTTGTTTTTTTTTTTTTTTTGATTTCGATTAATTTGATGATAATGATAATGATTAGATTAGATTAGAAAGACCATTTTACAGTTGCAATTGTTGTTGTTGTTGTCATTGTTGATTTAATATTGCCAAATCGATCATCATCATCATCAACATCATTATCAAATTTGCACCGGATCAATTTTGAATTGAAATAGAATTTTTTTTTTTGCCAGTGTGTGTATGCGTGTGTGTAGGTGTTTATCATCATTACCATTGAGGCAATAAATAATAGAAACAAGGACGATGGTGTAAAGAAGAAGAAAAAAAATAGTCCATTGTGATGATGATGATGATTGAAATTAAACGGAAATAATCAAGAAGTGAATTTTGCGTTTGCGTTTGCGTTTGTTGTTCACGAATTATCGAATACGCAATCCAACCGCATAATGATGAGAAAACCAGAGAGAGAGAGAGAGAAAAAAAAAAAAAGAATTCATATTAATAATGGGGAAAAAAATTTTTTTTTTCATTCAAAAATCAAAAAACTCACACACACACACACACAACAAAAACACTACTGACACAGTCAGGCCCGTACATGTGTGAATTGACAACGATTTGAATAGAAATGTTTGCAAAAAGAAAAAAAAAAAAAAAAACTTTTAATCATCAGAAAAATGAAATTTGTGTGTGTAATCAGTAATTTGGGAAAAAATTTTTTTTTTTTTTCGTTGCCGTTAATAATATAAAGGCAAATAAAGACAAAGACGAAAAAAAAAATTGATTTGATAAAACGCTCTAACGATAAACATTTGTGAATATGATGTGGTTATTAAAGATTGTCATTTTTATTCGTCTCTCTCTCTCTCTCTCTCTCTCTCTGTGTGTGTGTGTGTGTTGAATTTATTGGAAAAAAATTGCAATCATTTCACTATCGAGTACAGATCATACAGAAAACAAAAAATTTGTCGTTGTCAACCAAAAAGAAGAGAAAGAAAAACACACACACACAGTTATCATCATCAACGACAGTAGTCGTCGTCTTCTTCTTCTTCAAATTTTGATAAACAGTAACGATATTTGGTCTTGATATTGAAAAAAAAACCTGAGAAAAAAAAAAAATGATGATGATGATTTGAAGAAGAAGAAAATAAACCAAACACACACACACGCACGCACCAAGATTTCAACACTAGAAAAATAAAGTCAAGGACAATGGATTTTCATGTCGGATGATCACAGCTGAAATTGATAAGAAAAAAACCAAAACCAAAAAAATGAAATGAAATGAAATGAAATGTACAATTCATTTCAGTAAAGATAAGTGAGTGTAGAAAAAAAACAGAAAAAAACCAGTGGCTGATTAACGATTGATTTCAAAATTTTTTTTTGTGATGATGATGAAAATCATGAAAAAAAAATTATTGAAATTTGAAACCAATCAAAAAAAAAAAAAAAATTATTACCATACAAATGAACAAACCAAAACGAAAAAAAAAACAAAAACCGAAAATCAAAATATGGCACAAATTCAAATGTGAAAAAAAAAACGATGAATTTTTCAAGATGTAAATTTTTTTTTCAACATGAAAAAAAACTTGAGTTTAAAATTCAGGACCTCATACAGTCAATTTCATTCAGAAGAAAAAAAAAAAAAAAAAAAAAAAATCCCTGGCTTCATCTCTGGTGTTTGGTATTGTGTGAGATCGAAATGTTTTTGAATAAAAATAAAAACGAAATGTGGGCCTGGTTGTTGTCGTTGTCGTTTTCGTTGTCGTTGCTGTTGCTGTTATTGTTGAATTGATTGTTTGAAAGAAAAAAAAAATGGTCCAACCCTCATGTATGGTTTTGTGAACCATCAAAAAAAATGGGCCTAGCTTGCACCTTTCATTCTGGTCTAATATGTATCTGTGTGTGTTTTTTTTTTTTTTGATGTAACCAATATTTCACCAGAAAAAAAAGAATGAAAAAAACGGATTTTTTTCTTCTTCATTTTTCGTTACCAATATACATTAATGGTGGGCTGGACCTAATTCATGCAACATGAAAAAAAAATCGCGTGTCGTTTTGTTGTTGTTATTGTTGTTGTTTCTGGATCATTGTTTTTTTCCTGTTTGCCCCTTGTTGTTGTTGTTGTTGTTGCTTTTTTTTGTCTGTCTCTTCATCTATGTCTCTCAATGGATGAATGACAAATTTGACAAGGCAAACAAAAGAGATAAAAATCAAATTTTTTTTCTTTCTTTATGGTGCTAGTGGTGGTGGTGGTGATCCATTAGTGAGAATATTTGAACCATAATATCCATATATATTTAGATTTTTCAATTGAGATAAAATAATGATAATAATAAAAAAAAGGTGAAAGGAAAAGAACAAAAAAACTTTGAAATTTTTATTTTTCATTATCCTCAGACAGACAAGCAAAAAAGAGAGAGAGAAACAAAATAACCGTTCAAATCAAATGAATCGATTTTGGATCGCTAAATTGATCCAAAAAAAAAAAAATACGAAACAAAATGATCAACCATAAATGACACACCCGGCTGTGTATAAATTTCAAACAAATCTAAATAAAATGATGTGATTTTAATACACACACACACACACACATGCTGTGTTTTGTTTATTCAAGCGGTTTTTTTTGTCTACTCTCTCTCTCTCAAACATAACTATGAAATCGAGAAAAATGTCGCTTACGATACACACACACACACCTTGGCTGAAAAAAATAGGTTTCAATATCACGAATGATCTGACCTTTTGTTGTTGTTGTTGTTTTGTGTTAAAGGTCGATAGGTTATATTGCTAATGTTTGTTTTGTTGTTGTTGTTGTTTGTTGTTGTTGTCTATTCAATTCAATTAACTAACTAACTACTGATGTGTTTTGACGATATCCACATGGAAAATATTATCATCATCATCATCATCATCAAATATCATGAATAAATGAATGAATGAAAACAGAAATAGCAACCAGAATACAGGTAATTCCGGTAGCGATAGTGTGGTGGAATTTGTTTGTTTTTTTTTTTTTTTTTGTTCTCGATTGTAACAAGCGTAGAATGCTAGAAATATATACAATCAAGGTGGTCAATGATGCTTGGATGGTGATGGAAATATTAATTATAAAAAAGTTGGCAAAAAAAACTATTCACATGTTCTATGAGCTAGGATTAATGATTATCATCATGATCGTCTGTGATCATATTTTGTGGTGAAATGAAAAAATTGAATTTTCATTATGCGAATAAATTTTTCTTAATCTTCTTTTTCGATCATCATCAATTCTATCACACACACACACACACACACACACACACACACAAAACTTGATTGTAAATTCAATTTATTTGATGATTTACATTACACATTTACTCAAAACATTGTGTTGCATGCAAGTGAGAAGAAATTTTTTTTTTTTTTTTTGTTCACCAAACATGTATATATTTAGCATCATCATTTGGTCAAATCTAGGAAGACGAAGAAGAAGAAGAAAGAGAAAATATCAATTAACCACACATTGAATTCGACACTTGCAATATATGTAAAAAAAATCATGGTGTGGAAAAAAACCAAAAAAAAAAAATTTTGATTGAATAAACCACCACCACCAGCAAAAAAAAAAAAAAGACCACCATCATCATCCAGCATCAAGATCAGAAGAATCATTTGTCTTCAATGCTTGTTGTTGCTGTTGTTGTTGTTGTTGTTGTTGTTGTTGTTATGGTTGTGGTTGTTGTTGTAGTTGTCCCCCTCAACAAATTACATTTTCATTTTATGGAGTCCAAACGAACACCTGAGAAAAAAAACATCATCACCATCTTTAATCGGCATCTTGATGATGAAATGAAATGATGATTTGAAGAGTGAGGATATTTGGGCAAAAAAATAACACACACACACAGACAGAGACAGAGAAAACATGATGACCTGGGTCAAGAGAGAAGTTAATGATATTTTTTTTCCCATTTCTTTGGTGGCCAAAATACATAATTAATATCATCATCATCACCATCATCATAATCGAAATGAAAAAAAGAAATTGATGAAAAAAAATCAATTAATTAATTAACACCACGATCATCGTCATCAGAAGGAAGAAGAATTTTTTTTTTTGTTTATTCAGAATTTGAACAACAACAACAACGGCGAAAAAAAATTGATTTTCATTTTTTTCAATTTAAAACATTGCTAAATAAAACTGAATTTGAAATGGTGGTCTGTTTTTTTTTCTCCTCATTCATTTAAATTCATATGAAAAAGAAAAGCTTAAATAATGACCAAGGAAATTGTAGCCAAAAAAAAAAAAAAAATCAAAAGAACCAGATATTTATGATTGCCAATTTTGACTGAAAAACATCAATCACATGTAAATGTTTGTGTGTGCGCTGGTTATGCCAAAGAGAGAGGTAACTGATTTTTTGGTCAGACATTTATTTCATCAGAAAAAAAAAGAAAATGAATAAATTCATGGTCTGCACAAGTCACATCTAGCTTATTATCATCATCGTCGTCTTTATTATTATTATGGTCTCCTATCGTCGTTTGTCAAAATGATGATAATCCATGTTGTTTTTTATTTTTATTTTAAATCGTCGTGTGTTTGAAATTGTAACAAAAAATGACAGGATTTTTTCTTTTTCTTTTTCTACTTTCCAACTAAACGGGCGCCATTATCAACGGTGATTGTAAAAAGAAGGAGAAAAAGAAAATTTTCAAAAAAAAAAAAAAAAAAAAAAAATCAAAGCTCAGCTTGAGGCAAATGTGTGGTTAAAGGAAGAAGAAAATGAAAAAAAAACAAAATTTAAATAAAATTTTCGTACTACACCGTTGTGCAATGAATTGAAACTGTTTTTTTTCTTTTTTTCACCTGAATCAAAAAAAAACTGTTTTGCCTTCCAGCAATACAGTGATGAGATAAATTGTATCAAAAAAAAAAAAAAATTTTTTTTTTTTTTTTTCGTTGAAAATTTCCATCATTCTTCAATTGATTGTAGGCGGATTTTTGTTCTTTTTTTTTCTTAATTTCGGTTGTTAATTTTTTGGCAAGACAAAAAATTCTTTCCCATGAATCCAAACACTAGTGGCGATGATGATGATCAGTATGAATTTAAATCAAACAAAACTAATCAC